CAGCATCTTAGGGAAGCTGGGTCATACAGTGAATATAGTCCCCCACATGGCAGCCTACCTCCGGTCCTTCTACCGATGGTTGAAGAGTTGGGTCAATCCTCAAGCAGAGAGGAAGGTGCCTTCAGACGTAAAGGACGACCTGGAAGAGTGGCTCACCTGCTTGACAACTTTTGACTCACGTCCACTAGTGACGTGCTCGAAGCCCTTGGAAATCGGTTGGGTAAATGACGTGTCGTCGTCTTTCGGGTGAGTGTCACGTACCGTATTGTTTCGTTACGTTGTAGGCCGTGACTAACCGGACATGCTTGTTAGGATCGGAGTACTGGTGGATGCTAACTGGGCGAGTTTTAAATTTATTGAAGGCTGGCAAACTTTTCGGCTACAAAATGGGAAACGCTCGATAGCTTGGGCTGAGACCGTAGCCGTGAGGCTGGGTCTCCTGGTCCTGGACAAGATCTCGTCAGTGAGAGGAAAAACATTTTGGGTAGACACCGATAACACGACGACAGAAGCCGGCCTTCGGAAGAGGAAGTCTAAGGATGCCCTCGTAAATGAGGAGCTGAAACAAATCCAGCATCTACTCACTAATTTAGGTTGCAACGTGAAACAGAGGAGAGTGGTTTCCGGGGATAACAAAGCAGATGGACTATCCCGAGGCATCCTCGGAGATCTCGCTTGGTACAACGAAGTTCTGATTCAGGTGCCAGAAGATCTTCGCTTCATTTTGCATCAAATTACCCTGAAGAACGATGAGGAAATCCCCTTCTAGAAAGTCAGAGACAGTCACCTCGAACGAGCCGACGGAAGGTGATCTGTGGAAACTTACAAAGGCGTACGGAACATTCAAGAAGAACGCTCATGGAGTAGACGTCTCAAGAGATGACAAGGTCCAAACCCATTTCTTGAGAGGCACCTGGGCAGACGGAACATTAAAACACTACAATTCAGCTATCGTGAAGTTACACAGATTCGCATCAGTGAAAAGGTTGAATGCAAATGAACTCTTACCGATATCGGGAGACAGGATGAAGGAGTTTGTCGTATGGGGTTCTAAGAAGGTAGAGGAGAGGGCGAAAGACGATGAATTGGTCAGCTCGAGAACTCTAAAAGCCTACGTAGCCGGGATCAAGGCATGGCACCTCTTCCACAACGCTGTTTACCCGTCACACATCGACGGCGCGGTCGCAGGGCTCTTGAAAGCCTCGCGTGCTATTGAGGCAGAATTCAAGAACAAGGAAAAGAAACGCCCACCGGTGATGGTGTCCGATCTCGTCGTCCTGTGCGAACACCTTCCGAACAAGGGGGAGAAAGGCCTGGCAATCCTAGCTTTGGCACTCGTCGCATTCTGGGGGACAGCGAGGTTAGGCGAGTTGGTTACCAACAAGGACTCGGACAAGGTACCTAGATGGGAAGACGTAGCTTGGGGAAAAGGAGACGTCAACGTCAGAATCACCTTGAGGAACGCAAAAACCGCGGGTCCGGGAGAAGTTCAATTCATACACCTCCAAGAACAAAAGTCGACCCTGAATCCGGTGAAGGCCCTACGGAAGCTGTTCGATTATTGACCCAGGAACCCGTCAGATAGGATCTTCTCAATAGGGTCCGGTAAAAGTCGCGAAATCCTCAAGAAAAATGAAACAGTGACATACCTGAGAGAGATTTGGAACGAGAATAGATCAAAGAAAAATCAACTTCTGTATGGTCATTCGTTCAGAATCGGGGGGGGCCTCGTTAAGATGGAACCTCGGAGCTTCGAGAGAAAACCTCAAATCCTGTGGAAGGTGGTCTTCAGACGCGTACAAGATATACCTTCGAAAGTATTCAGATAGGGAGCTAAGTTCGACGAAGAAGCTACTGAATGATTTGAAGATTTCATACGGAAAATGACAAGCGGTTTGAGAAGACCTCGGGCGGGGGAAAAATTTTAAAAAAACCTCACTCTGATGTGTATATGATTTAGTTGGAAGGTAGCTTCAGCGTCCTTCGAGTTTGTTCAGAAAATAAAGTTCTCCTTTTGTAAGGATCAGCGCGCAGATCATCTGAATTGGCCGCGGATTTGTGGTGACAATATAAAGTTTAATTTCCCATACAGAAAGGATGCGTTTAGGGGAAAGATGAACGGGAGTGTTGAGAGTTGTTGAGACTCACGCAGACGAGAGATTTGGGGGCTTCTCATGGCTCACGGCTCTTCGTTTACGTGAGTCTAGGGGCTGAGAAGCCCACATCTCCGAGAGCTCTGTTCTCGCCTCAGAGAGGTTCGAGGTATGATCTGAGGATCTTATAATACCTCTGCTCCTGTCTGGGGCCCACCCCACACCACTTTACACACAAACAAACAAACATGTAAGTCTGTGTCTAAGGTGGAAGAACTTTTGCTCCTGGTATTGTAGGTTCCTTAAGCACGGGCTCAGTCACCAGTCATAGTCATATTCGACATAGACTTACCACCTAACAACTGTCTATCACACACACGTGAGAAATAGATTACCGGTGTTCCCAAAGCCCGCGACGGTACACAGGAGTCTATTTCTGAGGGCAGGGGTGAGAAGCAGGAAGGGCGCGTGCTCTCATAGGGGCACGCACCGACTCTCCAAGAAGCTGATGGGTTTCAAGTTCGGAAGCGTGAGAAAGGAAAAATTTTTCCTCCTCCCACGCTTCCAAAATTCACAGCTCTCCCTGGGAGACTTCCTGCTCAGCTCTTCTCACCCCTCTTCTTTTCTTCAAAAAGCCCACCCTCCTCCCGGGCTGAGAAGCCCACATCTCCGAGAGCTCTGTTCTCGCCTCAGAGAGGTTCGAGGTATGATCTGAGGATCTTATAATACCTCTGCTCCTGTCTGGGGCCCACCCCACACCACTTTACACACAAACAAACAAACATGTAAGTCTGTGTCTAAGGTGGAAGAACTTTCGCTCCTGGTATTGTAGGTTCCTTAAGCACGGGCTCAGTCACCAGTCATAGTCATATTCGACATAGACTTACCACCTAACAACTGTCTATCACACACACGTGAGAAATAGATACATACATATATGGTTCGGTCAAAATTTCGACCTTTGAGATCTTGCAACTTTTTGATGATGGTCGATCTGTGTAAGTTGTTACCTCAAAGGTCAACCTAGCGAGGTTTCCATGTCTTCATGCGACCTCCAACACGGAGCAATGTCAATTCGCAATGGGTATCTGATGACCGTTTTGAGAACGATCGATCGATATAGCCGATGTGGATTGAGATTGTGGGGTAAAACTCGGTCTATTTATGTCGATCTCGGTCCGAGCCCGGTAGAAGTCGTCTCGGATTTTTATTTGATGCACAGTCCATTCTGCAAAAATAGCACAACTTTTTATTATTTTGCTCAACCTCAACCTTCTCAAAAACACAAACATGGCTACACATATTCGACAAGTATTTGCTAATAAAGCGGCTCAAAACTTACCTGTCTTGGTTACCTTTCTTACAGCAGGTACAGTTTTTTTTCATCTTTTTGTTTGCATTTGACCAGTACAATTCTTTGGGAGGGAAAATCAAATACTAACTTTTTTTTTGTTTCTTACTAGGGTTTCCACATCCGAAATATACTGTTCCATTGTTATTGGCTTTAGAAGCAGGTGGTGCTGATATTTTGGAACTTGGAATTCCTTTTAGTGATCCATTAGCAGATGGAGTAGTAATCCAAGAAAGTAACAATGTGAGAATACTATTTTTCATATGACCCTTACTCTATCGATGTGTGTCGAATTGAATCTAACTTGGTATTCTTTGATAGATCGCACTTAGTCACAATGTGAACTATACTACATGTTTGGGTTATGTTAAGGAAGCAAGAAAACAAGGACTCAAGGCACCTGTCATCCTCATGGGTAACCATCCTACTTCTTTCCAAATTATTTGAATATCATCCTGACCATCTTGGTTACGATGTGATCTAGGTTACTATAATCCTCTTATGTCATACGGTGAACAACTGGCTGTTTCAGAAGCGAAAGAAGCTGGAGCAAATGGATTCATCGTGGTCGATTTACCTCCGGAAGAAGCCATCAAATTCAGGAAGATCTGTACTTCTTCAGGGTTTGCTTATCCTTCTCTTCGGCTCAAATCATTATACCTTACGAGTTAATCTGATATTTCGAATTTTGCATTTCGTAGGCTTAGTTATGTACCTCTCATCGCTCCTTCGACTTCAGATTCTCGTATCACTTTTCTCACTTCGATAGCCGATTCATTCGTCTATGTTGTCTCGAAAGTAAGCATCACAATACATACCATATATATCATCTTATACCTACTTGGATCGTAAATTTCTGAACTCACAATATGATTTACCTCTAGATGGGTACAACAGGAGCATCAAATGCAGTCGAATCTTCACTACCTCAACTCGTTTCTCGAATCAGATCTCTAGCCACCGCTTCAGCTGAAGGACCTGTACCTCTAGCTGTAGGCTTTGGTGTTTCGACTCCAGCCCATTTTGATGAAGTAGGAGCTGTAGCAAATGGAGTGGTGATCGGTTCCAAACTCTTAACGTTTCTGAAAGAACAAGAAGGAGATCAAGTGATCAATGCCGCCACATCATTCTGTGAAGAGATCTGTGGAGGAAAATCAGGTCGAAAACGAATGGAATCCACTTCAACTGTACCCACCACCAATGGAAACCAAACGAGTAATGGAACTACAACCACCCATTCGGATACTCAAAACTCTTCGGATTATCGGTTTGGAGAATTCGGTGGACAATACGTTCCAGAATCATTAGTGGATTGTTTGGTTGAACTTGAAGCATGTCATAAAGCAGCTAAAGCAGATCCAAGTTTTCAAGCCGAATTTCAAAGTTACTATGGTTATATGAATCGACCATCAGGTTTATACTATGCCAAAAGATTAACTGAAAAGATTGGAGGTGCTAAGATCTGGTTTAAACGTGAAGATTTAAATCATACTGGATCACATAAGATTAATAATGCAGTAGGTCAAGCTCTTTTAGCCATGAGACTTGGTAAGAAACGAATTATTGCAGAAACGGGTGCGGGTCAACATGGGGTTGCAACTGCCACTGTTTGTGCTAAATTCGGATTAGAATGTGTGGTTTACATGGGAGCAGAAGATGCTAGACGTCAGGCTTTGAATGTTTTTAGGATGAAGATGTTAGGTGCTAAAGTGGTAGCGGTAACAAGTGGAAGTCAAACACTGAAAGATGCAATCAGTTGAGTCCCTCGGTCCTTTCCCCTTCATACAGTCGACTTCTTTCGTTCTTTTCACTTAGACTATGAATGTTTTACTTAGATGAGGCTATGCGTGATTGGGTCACGAACCTGAGCACGACACATTATCTTGTTGGGTCGGCTATCGGTCCACATCCCTTCCCTACCATCGTTCGTGATTTTCAAAGTGTGATTGGAAATGAGATCAAGGAACAAATGCAGGCTCAGATAGGAGGCCTTCCCGATGCAGTTATTGCATGTGTTGGAGGTGGTAGTAATGCAATTGGGTCAGTCCACAATGTGATTCTCGATTTTCTATTTTGGAGATTGACTGATGTGAACGATTTGCTCTTGTAGAACATTCTATTCATTCTTACCTGACAAATCAGTACGCTTAATCGGTGTTGAAGCAGGAGGTTCAGGTACCTCAGGCCATGAACACTCAGCTACATTAAGTAAAGGAACCAAAGGAGTTTTACATGGAGTTTTGACTTATATCTTACAATCATCAGATGGACAAATCTCAGAAACTCATTCGATTTCAGCCGGACTTGATTATCCAGGTGTCGGACCTGAACATGCTTATTTGAAAGATGCAGGTAGAGCTGAATACCGAGTAGCTACTGATGTGGAAGCTTTGAAAGGCTTTAAAATGTGTGTTGAACAAGAAGGAATCATTCCTGCTTTAGAAACGGCTCATGCGATTTGGAGTACAGCGGATGTGGCACGTGAAGTAGGAAAAGATGCAAATATTGTGATGGTATGTGTTAATCCGATTTTTTGGTTTAGATCAAGATTTGAGAATCATGAATTGATCTAAAATTTTTCTTTTTTTTCTTTTTTCTTAGTGTTTATCTGGAAGAGGAGATAAGGATGTAGAACAAATTGCTCAACAGTTACCTAAGTTTGCAAATGAATTAGATTGGCATATTGTGTAAGATTTGACAATAAGTCAGATCAAACTTATTATGTAGACGAAGAAAACAAGATATGGATTATACAAATAAATATATATCATAGACAAAGAATTATTATATCCCCATTCATATTGTAGACTTATCTTTTATTGATGAGAAATTTATCACATCACTTTTACTGATCTGATTGATGGTGCATAGTATACTTCTTAGCGAGTCATTATCATGAGCGATTCTTTCTATACATATAGATTGTACTAGGGCAACTCGAAGATGTGTGATCTTCATAATCAGTTGCTTTGATTGACATGTCAGATACATTTCAAGGAAATTATGGTTTGTCGTGCGGATGAGATGATAAATGAGGACACGGTGACATGTACCTATGCTCTTTCGTGTCTCTGCGAGAAGGATTTTGTCATGGTAGACAGATTTGTGCGGGCGATGAGGGATGAGGGGATGTAGAAAATTCAAGTTACAACTGAACTTTTGCTTGCATCAAATTTGGTACAAAGATGTACATAGAATCTCTTAAGCAAAACAAACAACTCTGAATTTATATTTACAGTCTTTAAAAAGCTTTACAACATATTATTGAAAAGATAGTCTTTCCATTTGGTGGATTTTAAGTTTTGTGTGATGAGATGAAATTTCCTTTCCGGTGGTGAGGCAATACAGAAGTTAAGCCTAATTCCGGTTCATCGATGGGTATTGACTATCATCAAAACCTCTTCACGATGGGGTGCAAGTGGCACCAGCTGTTTTGGCAGAGCGAAACATTAGGACAAGTTAGAAGGGCAGAACATCAGCCCCATGTGCAAATCAGGGTAGACAAGTTCTCAAAATTTTGAACTGCTGCTAATCTTGTCTATGTGAGAAGGAAGGAAGGAAACATTGAAACATCAATATGTGGTCGACTTACTTGGCAGTTGCAGCTCGCCGTATTTGGCGCCTGTGTTCACCTTTGTTTCTGTGGCGTATGTGTAATCCCACGAGTCGCTTGCTGAAAAGTCAAGACGTGTCAAATAATTAGTCAAGTCACTCAAGCGTACATGTGAGTCTGACGCATAAAATCTTAGGATAGCTTTCAAAGAAGTTGGAGAGGCTCTTTGGATGTGAAATCTAGCTACGAACCACTGTGATAATGTAAGGCGTCCAACTCTTTTCCTTTGTGGTAGGCCTTACTGGCTGGATAGACAAAGCAGAACAAATGAGATGCAGATGTAGAGTTCAGCTTCTCAGCCCGTGGGGATGAAGATGTTGATGATGCAAAATCGAGAAGGAAAACAAATCACATGCGACACAATTCCGTTGGGTCTTGGTATCGATCAAACTGTTGCAGACTTTGATTTGCATGGTCGTCAGCTTGTGTGTGTTTTTAAAACGGGAGGGAGAGAGAATCAAAGTATGATGGTGTACTGACGGAAACCTCCCTGTGGATATCTGGCCCAATCACGACTACAACGGTGCTCAGAGATGACCATGATAGCAATGGATAGAAGTAACAAAACAGTAACAGAGATCTGATTCAACATATTGAAGGGCTCTGTAGGATATTTGAATTGATAATTTTTGTGAATGGATAAAAATTCGAGAAATCAATCGATGAAGTGAGGAAATAAAGAAATCCTCAATGGAATCCTGTTCTTGTGTATACATCTCACAGACATGCTACGTCTTGACCAGAAATGTGACATTCTTGCCCAAGGAATCTCTTCTCTCGTTTTCATCATCATCGTATTGTTGACCCTGACGTTACCAGTTAAACGCTGGCCGACGTCATAGTTACAATTCGAGGGTTACTTTTGCTTATTGATGCCACTACCGCTACAGTTTGGCACCCTTCGCTTCATATTTACCTTGTCGTTGTCTCCGCTGCGCCAAGCGAGTTTGTTGATTCTAAAATCATGATCTTCGACACGTTTTGTCACTTTTGAAAGTTTCATGAGCTCTTTATTCGCAATTGCCAAAAGTAACAGGAACTCATTTACAAACGGACTACTGTGTGCTTACAGTCTGCCACCCGCCGGTTGCTCGGCATAATTGTAGGGTGAGTATTTCTCAAAGTTTCCAGCCCCAATATCAGTAGTTTGTGGTATGCAACCCAGTATTGAGATGCACCAATCTTACAAAGTGCCTCAAGGTTGAAAACCAAGTCAGCTCACTCATGCATCGACGTAGTAATTTTTCAGTTAATGGTGTTCCAAATGACATTCAGATCCAGTTACAAAGCCAGGTGTAATTGAACAAAAACTACATATAGGTGATGAGAGATTTTTTACATTTTAACTTCGAGTACCCACAGAGTTGCCACCAGGAATGATTGATAGAGAACCCTAAACAAACGACATAACCCTAACAAATCGCTCAAACTCTTTCCAAGCGGTTAGAAAATTTACCACAAGAAAACTTGAACTATGAGACAGATCCTTTTAGTGGTGGGTCTTTAATTACCAATGAGATATTGAGGGCAAGACAGGCCTTCTTAACTTGATCTTTCAAACGATTTTCATGATGACGTAAAGACTTGATGAAATGATCAGAAGTAGTAAGCTCCAATTCCTGGAGCTCAGGCCAGGCAGGGCGACTTATGAGTTCGGGAAGATGCAACCAATCTAAAGAACTCAAGTCAAAATAGTTAATTTCTTGCAGAGCGTTACACTTTTCAAAAGCAGAGATGAGTAGTGGGTATCGTCCCTCGGCGTAAAGGGTGAGTTTGGTGAGCGCTGGTAAAGTACACCGAGGTTCGTTTGGGGAAAAATCCGAAGAACGGTGTAGATCACCACCAAATTGCAGAGTAAGAGTGACAAGTTGAGGTGCAATGTGTTGCAAAAGTTTGTGAAACTTGAACCCATAAAAACCAACACATCTCATGAGCGTTAGTTCAGTGATCTTGCTAGGCCAGGTAAACCGAGTCCAAGTTTTAAATTCGAAATCGGTCGCGTAAAGATGAAGGTGAGTGAGATGATCAAGTTGAGAGATCGATTGGCCCAAAGCGAAGCCATCCTGCGCACGTCCATCATCAAGCATCCTTCTTGAGTTGTTATCAACAGGGCAGCCTAAGCAAGAGAATGATGATAACATGGGTAATTGATCCAAGAGAGAGCTTATCAAGGTGATTGGTAAAGGCATTCCGTCTTGCAACAAGATACTCAGTTTTGTCAGCCGGGAACACTTTGGTATGAACCGATTCAACCGACGAGACATTTCATGGATAAAATCCGATTGACTGATATCACCCATCGCGCTGATCGTTGGGCACCTAAGCTTAATCGAGTTGATATTAGGACACAGCTCGAAGATTTTAAGAATCGTACCGGGAGAAAGCCCTAGAAAAGTTCCATAGCAGTGTACATCCCGTTGTTCGATAATTTGCTGCCGATTATTAGCTTTGTAGATGAGCGTGTTCTCATACTCAGGTGGGTATGAGGAATTCGGCGAACCGAAGCTTTCACCCAAGGTGAAGGATATATCACGAACGAGATGACCGTGTTTTGGTAGGATATCATCTGTCCATAGGGAAATTGAAATGGGGAAACGCGTAGGAAACAAGAGCTTCTGAAGATGATTAATGAAAACGCCATGATTCTCAGTCAATATCAGCTCCAATTCAACTCAACCTGCATATTTGATAACTTCCTTGAATAAATTCTACGAGGAAATTGACTTACTTTCCACAAGATGGGTGCAGAGAGCTGATAAAAATACGTGTTGACCGAACCAAAGGACTCCGCACTATCAAGCATCGGATCTCGGTCACGTTGAAGATAGCAAAGATAGTAACTAATCGTCGAAGATGCAGAGTCAATCGAAAGTGTTTCATTCGATGTTCTCATCGGGATCGTTGGTATCTCCTTCGCCAAAGAGCCCAGCGAATTCATTGCCCTGTTGACTGTAAGACGACAGTGTTCACGCTCTGCGTATGAGGCTACGTGTTCAATAATCCTCGTAATCACATTCTGTGGTAAATCCAAAAGGGTTTTCTTCGAGTCGGACTTGTAAGTTCCAGTCTTGATTTCATTTTCGTCGATTATACTGAGCATGATTATAAAAGTGCTGGCTGTTTAACGCGAATGTGAAGTTTGAGCAATCTCCGTCAGGCATCATGAGTTAGTTCTTATAGTGGATGTCACAAAGGCACGAGGGTACAATGGCTTCCATGAGACTGGAACTTGGCGCGGTGCAGGTGGAACTGTGAAAGGAAATTGGGAAGCACTGGAGGTTGAGAGAGTTAAGACTTGCCTTCGAAAAAAATCATTTCTTTCTCGAGAGAGTGGACATAGGGCACCGGAGCCTGGCTTGCCGAGGGGATTTATTGCAGCTCAGAACAAAGTGTACCATTCCGCTCACATCGAGTTTTTCCTGCACAAACTTCTCGAGTTCTTCGCAACTGACCCGCGGACGCGTGGACAAAAGCCCAGAGTCTGAGAGCGATTTCCTTCCCTCTGTCCCGAGCACACCAAGGTAACCGGTGGTATTGATAAAGACGTGACTACTAGCGCAGGATCGGGTCACTCGAGGCGACAAAAGACAACATTGCGCTAAGGATGATGAGAATGGAGAACGTTTAGAATCTCGTGTTCTTCTTTTTTGCGAATTTGCTTCTTTTGTTCTCTCATATCGGGCAGCCAAAGCTTCTGATCCTGGGGTCCTTGAAGAAATTGTAAAGTGTCACGATTGATGGTTCTGTCAATTTTTATCAAAAAAATCTAGCCCTGACACGCAGAGCTGGATCGGCCATTTCGTGCGGCGCTCAATTCTCATTCATCATACCGCCGCGCTTCAGCTGCGGTTGAAGCGGAGGCTGATGTGATTATGTCCCAACAGCTCTCTTCAGAAAGGGGAAGCTGCATCTATATATGGCAATAGTTTATGTTCTACAACAAGCTCGACCTTCTTGCGGCCATCATGTTTGAGTTCTAATATCAGTGGTGGAACGCATTCGTACTTGATTGTGCAAGTCCTTCGATCAGTTGTCGTCCAGATTTTTCGAGCCTACAAATGATTGACGATAGGGCAAAGTAATCATCAAGGGTCAAAATGTTGTACCTTCTTCCGTTGAGCCTAGGAAGGTCATTTCACAGGGCTTCATGATTCCTTTCCTAAGTCTTGCGCGAAGGAAACTTATTGCAGAAGCAAACTTCTCAAAGAGTGGCGAAACTTGGTCACTTCGTTCACTCTATTTTCACTGAGCTTCCTCGGCGAGCGACATCCACGACTTCGAATGTTTTCACACTCTCATCAAGGATAACGTCACCATGTCAGATACGTGAGACCTGTAGTGACTAGTCATGAAAGAGTTGAGTCCTTTGAACAAGTTCCAAGGAACCTCAAGGAACATCCTCGATTGGAAAAAGAGTTCCTCGATCGTTGAACTGGTTCCCCGACATACTTTCTCATCCCGCGTACAAAGGGCAAAAAGTCCTTGCCACTTGGTTCTGAGCTAAAAACAAGGGCGAGAAGGTCAAAGCTGAAGTGGTTGATTCAACCTTTTTTATCTTTATCTTGATCCACTTCAACATTCATTCATTGGTACCAATCCATTTCATTCCCTTTCACAATCTTTTTTATAATCTATCAACAATCATAATAATCTCCATCAGCTTTCCCCAAACAGAATACCTTGAAGGTAAGTCATTTCATCTTTCGGTGATTTCTCAATCTTACACCTATATTCATATCCCTTTGCTCCTCAAGAATTATGTCATCTTTCTACAATTCCTCCTGTTTGTTCATCATTCCACATGATTGAAACCCCCTGCGGATGTCTCCTAAACTATCTATCTTTGTTACATAACTAAAACTCTCATCTCATCAGTTATGACCTTCATACGCTGCTTTCTCAAACTGACTCATCAGTCCTTTGCGTTTCACGGTTTGGCATCCAGAATTCCTAATTAACATAATTTAGTCAACAAGATATTCGATAGCACTTATCAACATCTTTGTGGAAAAATGAGAACTAATCCCTCAACACTTGCCGGCGTTTTCGTCTTATCTTCAAATTTTATCTCTATCTTTGCCGATAACTTCGTTCCTCCACCTACACCAGTGATCGGAGGTGATGGACCTAGACCTCCAGCTGTAACGGCCACTGCTGTACCTGGTCCATGGACCCCGCCCAAATCTAACGTTATCATCAATGGTCAAAGTTTTCCGCCTCCTTCAATGACCGGCATGGGGCGACAAATGCAATTAAATAGGTTTGTAATCCATCTTGACTCAATGTATCCATAATCCGACGTTTATGAAAGCGCCTGACGTCATTTTATCTCTTTTTTCTTGTTCAGTGCTACAGACTTTTGTATCCTTATGCCACCAGATCCTACTACTCAAAATTTAGTAGACGCTGAAGCAGTTGCAGTCACATATTGTATCAACCCTTACAATAATACCAGACGTGAATAATTCTTATATTACAGAAGATATGTTCATGAATTAGATTGTCTTTCACTTGCTCATCATGCCTTTCATATTTTTTAGCTCTACCTGATGGGTTCATTAAAACTGCTCATTTTAGGAAAACCTCTGATTACGTTCAGATCTCTGGAACGTATAACCCAGCTAAAATGAATTTGGGAGCAAATGATTGCGGGTCAGTCGAGTTCTCTCATATGTCTGACGGTTCACCAAGAATGAAGTCGAGGGCTGACTTTCCTTGAGTCTACAACAGTGGCGAGTACGATAACCATGGAGCTATGGGAGGTAAGTAATCACGAGCACTTACGTATCTGAGGTCATATTTCATCAGATTCAACCTAATGTTTTTTTGGTTCTACTAGTGGGTAATCCTGTAGGAGCAGCAGTCGACGGAGCCCATGACTTTATGCAATTTATGGGTAAGTTTAACATCTTGGATCTATCTTTTCTATTGTTACATTTGAATTAATTTTCACTTCAAATAAAATGATCGAACCAGGTGGATGTGATATTCCTGGAAATGCAGTGTTTTGTTTACGTGCATGTCATGGACCCAACTCGTACCCTTATTGTAAAAATACCTATGATCTCATGGGCTGGTAAGTGAAACATCCCGATGGTCTACAACCTCAAATTCTTTTCAAGCACTAAACCTTCATCAAATCCTTTTTTTCTTACACAAGTTTATGGACCATGCCAGGAGATTATGAAGAACCAGGTTTCACAAATTGTGAAGCAAACTTGGATTTACCAGTAGGAGCCTATCCCGGAAACGGTACAACATCCACATCAACTTTCGTTCAAGGTCAAATGCCTACTCCATTACCAGTAGCAGCACCCGCTTCATCTCTTTGTCAAACTACCACTTCACCAGCTCCTTCTGGTGTAACTTATTATTGGGATGGTACAGCTCCTGCTCTACAAACTGGAACAGCTAATGCAGGTAAACAAGGTAGTTCTAGTCAAAACGGTAGCTCTGGTCAAACTGATACTTCAAAGGGAGCAAAATCAGATGCTTCTATATTGCGAATGAATTCTTTACTGTTGACCACTTTTTTTGTTGGTTGTTATCTCACATACAACTCATAATCTCTTGGAAACATGCTGTTTTCTTTCTCATTTTTTTTCCTCATCCTCATTTGATTAAGTGCATTTTATCAATCGTTTTTTTCATCATTTCATAAACTATTCTGTTGTTTTATCTAGATCCATAGATTAAGGTTTCTTTTTAGTCTTCTTTCTAGTATTTGTTTTAGTTGACTTATGGTTCACCAGAATCTTATCACATTCAATCTTGAGACTCCACAAGTTTCAAATGATTTCATTGTCATAAATTAAGCGCAATCCAAGACTAAACATGCATTCCATGGAACAATCTTCATTGAATAAGGATCATATCATGAAGTTTGTAATCCTAATAGACTACAAGTGTTCAACCACCCAACACGCATAAATATTAGCCGTGTTCAAACCAAACCCGGTTGACACAAAAACCCAGTATACCCAGTTGCGTTTTTGGTGATAACTTTGTTTATCTAGTGACAGCTCTTGACACCTTCCAGCCAAAAAGTTGACCGGGTGTACCGGGTTTTTGTGCAACCGGGTTTGGTTTGAACACGGCTATTCCACAGCATGAAGAATCACCAACCCACAAACCCTAGACACCCTGAAATAAACAGGTGGAAAAATTGTTCAAAACTGATGAGAAAAATCCAAGATCTTCATAAAATGCTTGAAATTATCACCTAAATTGCACTCCAATCAGATTGTTACAACACAAGAAACATACAATATATATATATATATAATATAATAAAAAAAATGAAAAAATCCTTCAGTGAATTTCCAACTTAACAAAACCTTCACCAAAAAAATCCAAACAAAAAAATAAATAAATAAAACGAGCAAACGCATTTCAAAGAGAGAAAAAAAAAGATGTTTCATATAATTTAAATTAAACCCAAAGAGAAAAAAAGATTGATGATCATGATAGATTAAACTGGATCAATCACTTGTTGCTGTTGATGATTTTCTTGATTCGTATCTAGATTATTACTATTAGCACCTTCAGAATAAAAAAAATCTGTACTGATAGGCACTGCAGGGATTTCTAAATGACTGGATCAAAACCCCCCCAACAAGAAAAAAATAAGTAAAAAATCTCTGCTCTTTGTGCGCTTATGTTCTGAAGAAAGAAAGAAATAAATAAAAACCTACTTTGGTATTTCAACTCTTTCCCCACTTAAATCTAATAATTTAATTTGAGTACCGATTTGAGTTAAAGTAAAAACCAATTGAGCCGATTCTTTCGTAGCAACCATTGCCCCATCTTCTCTCAATAAATTCAATCCATCTAACCATTCTGCATGAAGTTCAACAGAAGAAGGTATCAAGATCGCCAAGGTTTGTCCTGCTCCCATCAATGCAAGTTTAGGTATTGTATTATGATGATGATGATTTAAAGGATGTGATAATTGAGGTGTAGTAGGTGAACTATCGGTGGTGGTAGAAGTGGTGGAATGAGTACTTGATCTTCGGGTTAGGTTTCGGATTCCAGCTGGTTGGGGTAATTCAGGTGCTCCATTCCCGCTAATGATTTCTGTGATTGAAGAAATCTCAACTATTGAAATTCAAAGAAACACACACAATTCTTCATCAATTTCACCATCATCTTCCAACAAAATCTAGAAAAAAACATCTTGAAACTTACTTCGATCTGGCATTTCATCTACCCCATTCTTAACCGGCACAGTAGGTAATTGACTCTCCAAATAATGTAAATATTTCTTATTAGGTGCCAATCTATAAAATCTCCACTTAGCTTGTTGTTGTTGTTGTAGAACTGCTCCACCTAAAGTAGGTGTAGTCGAATTCTTTTGATTTCGAGTATTATGATTATGACTTGTGTTTAATTGATTTGGTATATTTGATGAATGTACAAACCAACTTCCTTGCATTAATGAATTAATTCTTTGAGATTTTATAAATTCAACCGAATCTTGATACAATTTTCCTCTTAAATTTCTAGATAACCAGATCGATAATCCAACAAATGATGAATGAAGAAATCAAGGATAAATCAGTTTTCGTATCGATTTGAAAGTCTTGAATGAAATTCGAATCTTGAGAAAAACGCTTACCTAACGGGTGGTTTGTTTAACAAACTATCTTCAAGAGCTAGTTCTTGCATTTGTCGATCTCTAACTCTTACATAATCAACTGTTTCAAGTTCACGAATAAGTTCAGCCCATTGAGGTCTAGATCCTTGTCTTTCTGTACCCGTAATAGCGATTCCTCTTAATACATTCGAAAGATGTGATCGTACTAAAACTCCTACTCTTGTGAAATCATGTGTCGTTGCTCCTGATGCTGACCACATTAATCTAAAGAATTTCAATACATGTGAATGTAGTTTCGGTAATTGAATCATTAAGGGTTGGTAAGCTGTTGCCATATTTAGTCTTGGTGCTTGTGATGTTTCAGTTGCATTCCATTCGTAGATCTCGGCTAAGATCTGGGAAAGAATACACAAATTATGAGTCAGAGTTCCATGTGGAAAAGTGAAGGAAGAGTAAACCAGAATGAATATCACAAATGATTGACCTCTGCACATTTGTTTGATGCTTTAGCAAAAGGACATCGTTTAGCCTCTGGTCTTGATAACTCTTCCAAAATAAACTATTCAAAACCAATGAGAATCAATCAAGTCAATCAGTAAGCAAAAACTCAAAAGTAAGATAATATGTTTCGCAAATCTAACCTTATCGAATTCAGGTGTATGAACAGTAATGAATCTATACATGAGTTTAAGTCCAAGTGATCCAACATTTTCAAAATCATCTAATAAATTCTCAGATTCGAATCCAAGAGTTTTCCATTTCCTAGCTTCACGTTCTTCAAGTTCATCTTGATTTTCATCAGCCTTCGAATCCAATTCACAAGCTCTATCTGCCATCTCCATTAATTTATTCACATCTCTTTCATATTCAGATGACACTACCATTTCTCTTAATTTCGTAAACAATTGACCCGAAAGAGTTTGATAACCTAAAACCAATCCATCTGATTCACCTGGTGCTCCTTCTTGTAATCTAATCACTGATTTTGACATCCCTGCTTTTTCTAAAGCTTCTTCGAAATTTATAAACGTATCTCGATCTGATGTTAATAAGGATCCTCTAATCAATTCATTGACTAATGCAAGTGTAACTTGAGCAAGACCGAAATCAGCATTAGTTGCACCTGCAACTCGTTTTGCTAATACACTCAAGATTTCTTCTGTTCTTTGTTCTTCTTCATTATCCAGAGTCGAATCAAGTGCTGGCCAAACCGTTTCAAACCCATTCTCTGCACTTACTAATCTACGAATAACAGCTGTAGTTGGACGTAAAACATTCACAAGTGCTGATGTACTAAGAAGATGTGCGAAACGGTGTAAGCCAATTGGTGTGAATAAATCATTTGCTCGATCTTGTTCGGCTAAAACTTGTAGTGCTGAAAGTGCATATGCAAGTGTATTACCGGCTGAAGTTTGTTCACAAAGTCTTGCAAGTGCTAAAGATCCACCTCGAGCTTCAAACTCAGCGGTAAAATCAGCTTCCTAAAGAACCCCAGAATTTAATCAGGAAAGGATCGGTCTATAGCATAGAGGGACAAAAACAAGTGAAAAAAAGAAACTAACTCTCAAGTAATCTTTTAGGCTGAATAACATAAGTTTGATCATCTTGTCATCAGCTAAATTGTTCGATAATATTTCAGCCATCTCTTTAGCTTCCAGTGTAGGTGAAGGAACCAATTTAAGTGTCATACACCCATTCGAGACCTTTCTATGAACCTAAGTAAAGCAAAGAGAAATTCGATATCATGAGTTTTTAAAAGTCATTTCAACCGAATGATGATAACAAACTATAAGAAAGATTACAAACGTTTTCATTGGTTATCAATTCGTTGTTGGAAGCATCTCTCAACGAAAAATGATGAGCCGGTTCATTGATAGCCAGTTGAGCCGAAGTACACAGTTGTCGTACCACTTCATCTAAAGGAACATTTCGATCGATTCTTGCTTTAACTGATCTAGGTTGAGAAGTTAAAGGATGTTTATAAGTTATTAAAACTGTTGGTAAGGTGATTATATCAGGTGCGATTTGAGGTGTGATTCCAATTGGTTCTATTGCTTGGTTTTGATAGTTTGAATTTGAATTTGCAGTTGATGGACCTGGACTTGGTGGTTCTGATGTTGTTGAGGGCATTTAATCTGATTTTCGATTCCAAGAGGTTTGATAGTTGATGGTCTCTTTCTTTCTTTCTTAAATGCTGAAGTTTCGAAGGAAGTGATCTGAAACAGAACTCATTCAAAAGAACATTTCACATTTTGTCGAGGCAGCATTCGGTACATCTACACCACCACCACTCGCAATTCAACTAATATCCACTCAAAGCTTATTTCACTTTCTGAATCTTCGTGGACTGTTGGCGAACCTTGACATTAAATGTAGTTCATGATCAATGTGCTGGTGTATTTTAAACAATTGCCGGGCGTATGTACATATGTGAGAAGCCTAGGCCATACTTCACTACTTGCAACTGATAGAGGAGCTTGGCCACTATGAGAGGGGTGCAAGTTTGCCAAAGATGTCCTAAAATTTGAAGTCTTTTGGCCTCCAATTTTTGTTTTGCCATATATGTGTACTCATATGTGCTGTCCTCAGGTAGGGATTTCTCAGAGTTTTCAACATATGTTGAAATATCATTGTCAGCCACATTTCTCTGTAGGCAGACTTATGTTTTAGGACTTTTTCAAACTTGAACCCCTCTATTGTTCAACTTCTTCTGGCTCTGCCCAAGTCAACCACATATCCAACTATAACAAAGCATAATTCAGAGGAAATGGATTACATAAAAGTAAAGGCTACAGTTTTGAGGATTTCTACAATAATTTTTTATTGCAATGAATTTTGAAACACCAGAGACCTTACAACTTACCTTTTTTAACCCGACTATTTTTCTTCATCAGTGCATTTTTGAGTTTCTTATTTTCCAATAATTTAAAATCATCCCAAAACTCTGCATAAAATCTATCTTTTGAATCTTGATGAAGGAATTCAGAGAATAATGTGACTTGATATTTTGATATTTTAGTTGGATAATTTTGTTTTAGAAATGTGTGTATCCCACGACAAAAGTCTTTGATTGACAAAGCTGGAAAACCTGATTTTTCTGATTGTGCTGTTTTCAAGAATTTGATTGTGTTCTTGAAATCTATTTCCCACTTGTGAATAAACTCAGACACACTCTCTTCACTCTTCACCCTTGTATCATTCTCATTGTCTCCATTTAACAAAAGAATGGGCTCATGTCCATTGGTTTGGGGATCGACCAGTTTTTTCCATTGGACATTTTCAGCTGTCTTTCTTATCTCATGAGTTTTTTTTCTCCAGTCAGCCCAAACTGAACCATGCTGTTTCTGGTTGGTGTTGTTCTCTGGATATCCTTTTTGATAGTCACCCTCAAATGTTTCAGACACATGCCGCTTCAACATATGGGCCCTCCTTGTTGCATCCTTCATGAAACTCCTAAGAGCCTCATCATTAAAGACTACAAAGCAATTCCTGGCCAGAGTTGATAGGCAAGGAGTTGTAAGCTGTAAATGTATTTTCAAAACATACCCTTGTGATGATTTTATCTTTGGACCCAATTGTGCAATATGGTACATCACATCTGTATGCCACAAAATAAATCGAGCTAGTTTCTCTTGATTCAAACAGGTACCTGCTTCAATACACCTCTGGTGATAAGATTTCAGGGTGAAGGCTGTCACAATCTTGATATTCTCCCAAATCCTTAAGTCTGGATTGCAAGACAAAACAAAATATACAAATGGAAGTAGTGTGAGCTACTAGCTTCTTTTAGGCTAGTAAATCACTAAGAAAAGGGTATAAACTCGTAGGGATTATGATCTACAGAGTTTATAAGCGGAAAAACAAGGTTCTGGCCCTATACTTGTAACAAACAAGTATAGACTGCAGTTAGAGGACCTTTAAAGAAAGGCTTTTCTAGGGATTTGAGTTAATGCGCACTGAATCTTCAGTGACTTCCCTTAACCAATTATCTTTCTGACTAGAAATAAAATGATTAAGAACACTAAATTCCTTTATAGTGTTTAGTACTTTACACTCTGACTAATAGAGGTACTACGAAGGTTTAAAGTTTCTTGGTCTGATCAAATCCCAATCAGATCAAGCAGCACTTAAGGATCCTACTTCCTTAATAGTTTGATTCCACGAATGGTAATCAACAACTATGACAATATTGTGTTCAAGAACAAACACAATAAACAAGATTGAGAACCACAAGATCAAGATAACAATCACAAATAAGATAGTAAAGTTCACTTTACGAAAAGCTTATAATCTAGTTGGTGATGAGGATTTATTGAATAATAAAAAGTGTTAAATTGTAATGTGATGATGTTTCTAAATTTCGCATATTCAGAGTTTTTATAGTCTGAAGTTTGAAGATCTTATGCGCACAATTTGTGGTTCCAAGGTTAGGTTTTTATTACATATAGGTATTAACCTTTTTACTTGGTTACATACATGTTACAGCTGTGAAATGTATGTAATCTTAGGACATGTAAAAGACGTGTACTTACACAGTCTTTTACATACCTTTTACATATGTTACATATGTTAATTCATATGTATTTTGACTCTTGAAACTGAGTCTGAGTTGTAATTATTGTTTTTTAAGGTTTTTCTTATTTTTACATGTCAGCCTTTGGTACTATGGTTCAGTACTCAGGGCTGACATTCCCCACCACTAGAAGAGATCATACACCTTTATCAGGTTTATTATCTCTTTTTGATGCTCTGTATGCTCTCAGAGTCACTTTACCATTGGGAACCTTTTCTGCTGGTAACCATTCATCTGAATCAGCTCCTTGATTTTTGTATCTGACAAGATATAATATAACATCTTTGTTGTCTTTATTCTTAATTCTTTTCTCTCGTAGTATCTTAAGGAACTTCTTTTCTACTTCTGGAGTAAATTTAGGTATAACTGTTTTACTTGTTGGATGAAATTCATTTCCTTCAGGACAGTTATACTTTTTCACAAGGGACACTGGAAATACAGGATGTTTTCTTTCCATGTCTCCTGTCAGTATGAGTTCTACTGCATTAGGTCCTACTAGTTTAGATATAACAAATGGACCAACAAAGAGATCTCGTAATTTCTTAGATCCTTCCATGTTAGTGAAGTTTGTTGTTGACAACAAAACTTGGTCTCCCACTTTGAAGTTTGGCTCACGATGTGTCTTATCCCATCTTTCTTTATTATATTCTTCTGCCTCTCTAATGCAATTTGCAGCAAAAGTCCTTGCTTTACTGATCATGGAAGCAAAAGATAAAGATGTAGGATGGATTTCAACATCACGTGTCTTAAATTTATCCTTTGGTAGCCGTGGACAATAGCCTCTTTCAATTTCGAAAGGTGATTTTTTTGTAGTACTATGAACACTGCTGTTGTAGGCTATTTCTAAAGCAGGTAATAAACTTACCCAATCATGAGTATAGCCATCCTTGTCTTTGAATTCCAGACCAAAAGCACAGTACCGTCTTACTAAATCTTCCAATGTACCAATGTTCCTTTCACTCAAACCATCAGTTTGAGGGTGATAGGCTGTAGAGAAAGCCAACTTAGTCCCCATCAGTTGAAAAAGACTTTTCCAGAATTCTGACGTGAATTTTGGGTCTCTATCACTGATAATTACTCTTGGTAATCCTACGTCTGATATCAATCTTTCCCAAAAAAGTAACGCAATATCCATTGCTGAAGATTCTTTATAGCATGGTAAAAATCTTGTCCGCCTAGAAAATCTGTCTACAACTACTAGACAAGCATTATTATTATCACTGCCTCCTGGTGGTAAACCTGTAACAAAGTCCATATTGATTATTTGCCATGGGTAAGTTGGTGCTTCAATTCGTTGAAGAAGTCCATACCTCTTACCTGTAGCTTTGTTGGCTTTCTGACATCTATCACAGCTTGCTACATATTCCTCAGTGTCTAGTTTCCACCTTATCCACCATGCTGTAGTATGAATTCTTTCAAGAGTTCTGTCTGTTGACAAATGACCGGATAGAAATTCATCATGACATACCTTCAGTATCTGTTCTTTATGAATCTTTGAGACTAAAACTACAGTTGATGTATGTTTTTCTCTAAAGTATAACAACCCTGATTGCAATGATATTTTACCTTCTGCATAATAACCTCTCCACGGTGATTCTAAAGTGGTTGCAAGGCTCAAGTCTACTTTGTCTTTTGACAGAAGTTTGACAAGTTTTAGCGTATTGGGATCTGACTTGTAGCTTTCTTTGATTTCTGTAAAGAACTCATCACTCAATTCTGAAAGGCTGATACCCATCACTGGTATATCAATCTCTGCGTCCTCAGGATCCCATGCTGGATTGCTGCTGTCATTTGGCAGTGCCATTCTACTTAGACCATCCGCATTGTTATGCATTTTACCTGGTCTATGAGTTATTGTCATATAAGGTCTGTACTCTTGAATAGCTAACATCCATCTCAACATATGTCTGTTGGGTGTTTTGATGTTCATGAGTGATCTTACTCCTGTACAATCCGTAATGACTTCAAAGTAAACTCCGTCTAGGTAATAGTGCAATTTTTCTAGCGCCCATACCAGAGCTAAAGCTTCTAGTTGAGGTGAACCGTACCTAGTTTCACTATCTTTTAGTTGTCTAGAAATGAATACTATTGGTCCTTCTCTGGATTTTCCATCAATAATCTGGACTTGATGTAATGCCGCACCTAAACCTTCAAAAGAAGCATCTACATATAGTTTGAAAGGTTTAGTAAAGTCTGGTTGTAACAGAACTGGTGCTTCTGTTATCATCTGTCTAATCTTACCCCACGCTTCCAATCTTTGCTTTGTCATTTCAAAGGAAACCCCGTTTGATGTCAATTTGTAAAGGCAGTTTGCAATTTTTCCATAATCTTCCAGAAAATTTCTATAATAACTTGCAAACCCAAGAAAACATTGCATCTCTTTGATATTTTTAGGTGGAGGTTTATTTAGTACCGCAGCAGTCTTATTTTGATCAACTGCTATCCATAATCCTGACACCAAATGGCCCAATGCTTTCACTTCATTGAATCCAAAATTCGACTTCTTTAGAGAAATTGTCATTCCCATGGCTTTGATTTTCTTCAAAACTATTTCTAAACATCTGACATGTTCCTCATAGTTATCATGAAAAATGATTATATCATCTATGAAAATTTTGAGCCATCCTTCTCTCAATTCTTTGCTGAATTCCGTATCCATCATCCTTTGGAAAAATGCGGGCGCATTTTTAATTCCAAATGGCATTCGAACAAACTCATATATACCCATATGACAAATTATTCGAAGGAATATTCTACTCATGAGTTCTACTATGTTTTGGTGAAAACCTTTCAAAACATCCATGAGTGTAATATATCTTGCTTTACCAAGGTTAATCAATACATGTTCAGTTCTAGGTAATGGATATCTATCTGGTTCAGTATAAGTATTGAGTGCTCTAAAGTCTCCGCACAATCTTGATTTACCATTATGCCAAGCAATGATGACCGGCGATGTTATATCCACTTCCTCCGAACTCCCTACTTTTCTAATTACTCCCAGTCTCAAGAGTTCATCAATATGTTTTTCAATTTCTACTCTGTTTCTAGGACTAGCAGGATAAGCAGCTTTCCTCAATATTGGAGGATAAGGTTTTTCTATGGTAAGCTTAATGCTCACTTGATGCTTTTCAATCGTACCTAATTCTTTCTCACCCAATCCAAATTGGTCTTTATATTGGATGATTAGGTCAACAAATTTTTTCTTTTCACTTGCTGTAAGTTTAGGACTGAATTTTGCTTCATTGATTTTAGGCATCAAATCACCCTTATTTTCACATGAGACTTTTTCCAATTCAGGTTGGGAGTTATCAAGTTCATTAACTATTTCTTTCTTGACTTGCAATCCTGAAAGAATTGGTCTCTGAAGTGGCAAACCAAATTTTTTCTTTTTAACATCATTTCCAAACGTAAAAAATTTATCCTTACTATGAAATATATCAATCCCGTACATAGACAAGTGTTCATCTCCCAAAATAAAGTATTTGGTGTGTGAATTCTCCATAACTACGAATTCAGCTTCAATCCGGATACCTCCTTGTTTATGAGGAAATAGGACATCCAGCTTGATAATTCCTAAAGGAAATAAACTTCCGCTGCAACCTGAGAACTTCATGTTGTTATTGCACGGCATCAACTTCAATTTCCAGTCTGGTACAAGGTTTTCCAAATAGTGGTTCCCCACCACTGAGCAAGACGCTCCGCTATCAAGCAGCAGTTCTGCGTCTTGGTTATTCACAATTACTCTGGTTAAACTATGAAAACCTATTGTATGCGCTTTACCTGAAGCTGGTTTACACCTGATCAACTTGGCGTCTGAAATTTGTTTATTGCTTTCCTCAAACGGTGTTATAAGTGGCATTTCTGCTTCAGCTTGAACTTGTGCTATATCCACTGCACTATCAAAAGTGCTTTCAATAGCTGAAACATTCAAATCAGCTGAATGATGAGACTGTGTTTCAGCTACACTCTCACTGTATTCTACGAATTCCATTACAGATCCTGCGTCATCATCAGCTTGATTCTCCACATTCTCTTCAGCTTCAACTGCGTTGATAGATTTACCTTTTCCTTTACATGTCTTCCAAATATGTGTAGGATCTGTACTACCACACTTATTACACGATTTATTACTTCTTCTTTCAGATGTAGATGGTTGAGCTTTTGTACTACTGGTCTGTGCAGAGTTGTCAACAGTCTTATTGAAGTAAGTGCTTTTGCTCGGGATATTTCTCTTCACTGGCATCATATTCTTGAAAATGTCTTGAAAAGCCAAAATGAATTTTGTCCAATTACCTGTAGGTCCAATTCTATTCCTAATTGGAATCTGCAATGTACCTGGTATCATCCATAATATTTTATTAACAACCTCAGTACTTGTAGCTTCAGGCTTAAAACATCTAACTCTTTGTTGCTGTTTACTAGCCCATTTCACGCAATCACTATGGAATTCAGGCTTAAACCTATCTCTCAGGAAAGCTTTTTCCATGTCATTTTTCCATTGGCTATTTCCAAATCTTTCTTGGATAGCTTCTTTCCATTCCGCCCATGTTCTATCCTGATCACCGTCTTCATTCATCTCATCTAAAAGCCATTGTCGGGCAACACCTGTAAATACAATTAACAATTTTGACGTAATCAAAATATCAGGCATCTGCAATTTAACTGGTACTTTCTCTACCCAGTCTATGAACTCTTGATGATTATACTCACCTTCTCCACTAAAAGCTGGCCAGTCTTTGGCTTGTGGATATGATTTCCTCAATTCTTTCTGAATTTCAGCTTGTCTCAACAATTCTGCAGTTGTTTGTAATTCCTCAATTGAGCTTCCTCTTCTATATTGATTATGCTCAACTCTAGGTTCCGTCTGTGGTATGTTTACCACTGGAATTGGTAATGTAGTTTCTCTTATGGGAGTACTATTAACTGTTCCAGTTTGTCTCATGTGAGGCGGTGTCATTCTCAAAAAAGATTTATCCTGCTTTCTCGAGTTATCCATTTCGTGTCTTGTGTTACGTTGCTCAAAGTTTTGGACAACTGTTCCTACTCTGTTTGCTGATGAAGTTGCCTCTTGTTGCACAGATGCTGGTATTTGTGGATTATTCATATTCAACAACAGTTGATGAATCTGATCTAATTTATCATCTGTCCTTTGTTGATATTGCAATTGTTGATCCTGATGATTTGAAATTTCATCTGTCAACTGATTCATCTTTTCTTCTACTGTATTACTCATATTTGTATATAATGAATCATATAATTTTTGATTCATATCTTCAAGCAAGGTTGTTAGAACTAAATGATTCATCTTTGACTCATGTTGCTCGTTCTCATCTTCACTCTCATGCTCACTCACTTTTGCTTTGGATTTGCCTTTTAACTCACGATTTCTCTCACTCAAGTATTCTCTCAACATTGTTTTAACTTCAACTAAATTATCATTCATCAAATTGAAAGAAGAAACAGAAATTGAATTTTTTTCGGGTTTAATATTTTGAATAAGTTCCGAAAAGGATGAGTCAGAAGGAAAAATAGAAAACAATTTTTTATTCATTTTTGTAAAACCATCTGAGTTCTTTTTACCAACTTCATAAAGAGTTTTATATTGTTGATCTAGACATTGATTGAGATGAAAAATTTTTGAAAACATATCACTAAAACTTTTACCATCAGACTTAACACTTTCTCTTGAATAGTTAAACATGCTCTCCAGATTCTTGTTGATCGCATTCAGATACTGTCCAAAAGCATCATTGAAGTCAGCATTTCTGGATGAATGGCTTTCCAGAAAATTAAGATGATGAAACATTTCGTTCATGAATGGAATGATAAATTCATCTTGAGTAACTTGAGAAAACTTACTTAAGATTGCTCGTTCTTGAGTGTTCAGTAAGGTTGATGACGGTTTTGATTCTTCCGACCTCTGTAACCTCGACTGGAGCTCTGCTCCTCTTGAAGGAGTTCGCGGCCGATGATCGCTTGCGATCGGAAGTAACCTCTGAAATCGTCCCGGAGAGAGCCCTTGCGGCTGTTGTTGTTGTAATGAGGGGAGTGGTTTTGGGGTTGGTTCGTCGTCGAACTGCTGGCTGATGGCTGAGGAGCGTTCTGTTGAGGCTCCGCCGCTCGAAGGCCGAAAAAGTGGATCGACTGAGCTCGAGGATCCCAGCTGTCGGTACCTTTCCACAGGTACTTTGCGATCTCCTGGGTGATCACTGAGTCCTTGACTCGATACTCTGTCGTGAGTTCCTTCCATACTTCCCTTCCTCCCAAGACTGACTCCTTGAGCATCTTCTTCTTCTTCTTCTCGTTGTCCAGTACTAACCTCGCGTTCTCCCACTTTGTGTAGTGGAGACGAAGTTCTTGCCACTTCATGTGGTAGTCCTCCGTCCTGGCAATTTGCTCCTGATAGCAAAGGTAAGTCAGCTTGTTGCTGATCCACATTGATTAATAGAGGCATGGGAGGTGGCTTACTGGGGTTGGTTGGCTTTCCACCCGACGCTCTACCTCCTTTTCCTTGGACTTGGTTTGAGATTGAGGCTCCTTGTCTCCTCCCTCGTCCTCCTCCATCCTGTCGTTGGTTTGATCCGGTGGCAGTTGATTCCCAGTTTCCATATCGCTCTGGATTCGCTCGGCTACGAGGTGGCATAGGGGGTGGAATATAATCAGACATGAGTGAAACAAACAAGGAGCGGGAAAACGAAAACGTTTTGTCAAGAAAAAAAAATTTCCAGATAAAAAAGAAAAGGAATGCAAAACAAAGTAAAGTAAAATATCACTTACTTTCTATTGAGTCGGATCTTCTTACCCAATAGACAAAATCTCCTTTTTGTTTTCTAACTAGATTGTCAGAACCTCCTTCTGGTGCTAAAGATTGAAATCGGTCTGGTGTAGTTGTCCTTTCTGATTGACTAGGACTGTTGGGGTGTTTCGGGGTGTTGACAACTGAAAATGCTCGAAAGTCAGTGGCAACTGACAACTCTCGATCACCCTGCTTGAGTTCGTCGTCCGATTCTTCTTGAGTTAAAGAAGGTAGGACTTGATCTAAATTCTCTAGATTCACTACTAACAAAAATGATTATACGAGAGAAAGATAGAATAAAATGAATCAAAAGAAAACAAAAAATAGAAATTGGTTTCAATTGACTGATCTTGACTTGTAATTCTAAAAAGAAGACTGAAAAATAAGAAGTAACTTACTATTAATAGTCGATACTTCAATATGCTTGTCTTTTTCACTAAGTTGTTGAATCACTCGATAACGTTCACTATTATCTGTAGTGCAAGACCAAGTAAAGAAAAAAAAGGATATTTAATTATAAGTATGTATTACTTTCTTCTAGTCCTGATAGAAACAAAAAAATTAGAAACAACCTACTGTTATTAGATGATAACTTATCGCTGGTAACTTCGTTTTTAGTCGCTACTATGATTGAGGGGTATCGACGATAGGTTTTGTAAGAATTTAGAAACTGAGACAAGAAACTAAAATTCGGCTCTAGGAACGATGATCGGTCGTTGTTGATCTGTCAATCGTTAAAAGGAGTAGTCCGAATGAAGAAACGAAATAGAGATGCGATCTATTTAGCTATTGGACTGATTTATATTCTAAACGATCTAAAAAAAAAAGACTGACGCTACTGTTTATTGACTTTTTCGTCCGAGATCGAAAGGGGTATGATTGAATTAACACTAATTCAAACACAGTTGAAGGAAAGAAGAAGTGAATAATAAACAAATCAGTATTTCAAAGAATAGAATACTTTTATTAAATTATTCTTTGTGAGATCTTTGATGTTCTAATGAAACTTGAATTCGTACTGATTGTCGCTATTTAATCGTAGAGAATTTGCTGTCCGGTCGATCTTCCGGTGGGTGAATCAATCGATTTGATCTTCTGAAGCAGGACGAATGCACCTGGCGTTCGTAGCGGGAAGCACACAACGCGTGGTACAATCAACACTGACTACAGGGTCGAGGTGGAGGTGAGAGGGTTGGTGGCGAAAAGGGTAAACGATCGAAGATCGAATACTTTGAAATTCAATCGGTGGACCGCTGTGGCTGTCGGACCACGCGCGGGGCTTTGCTTAATTACCGCGTGTGTACAGTCACCTGACTCTACTGGTAATGTATATGTAATTAGTTGTAAGCCACGAGTTTGGCTAATTACACCACACAATTTAGATACAATTCAACAATGAATTGTATGTAATGAAGTTGTAGATGGATCAACTATTGATCCTGCTTGTAGAAAAATTAAAAAATTGAAAAAAAATGCGAAAAATCAGAAGGGGAAAAGAATTCTTTCTTTCCTCCAAGCTATTATCCTAAAAAGTAAAAACGCTGAGCTGCTCTCAGTTTTTACAAATAAAGGTTGATAAAAAAAATTAAAAAGGATAAAAAAATATGTTTTTGTATTTTTGAAGTTTTTCAGAATGAGATTTGAGTTATAAAACACTCAAAAAAAAATTATAAAAAAGTTCTAAAACCCGGATGAGGCCCCCAAATGTGAGCTACTAGCTTCTTTTAGGCTAGTAAATCACTAAGAAAAGGGTATAAACTCGTAGGGATTATGATCTACAGAGTTTATAAGCGGAAAAACAAGGTTCTGGCCCTATACTTGTAACAAACAAGTATAGACTGCAGTTAGAGGACCTTTAAAGAAAGGCTTTTCTAGGGATTTGAGTTAATGCGCACTGAATCTTCAGTGACTTCCCTTAACCAATTATCTTTCTGACTAGAAATAAAATGATTAAGAACACTAAATTCCTTTATAGTGTTTAGTACTTTACACTCTGACTAATAGAGGTACTACGAAGGTTTAAAGTTTCTTGGTCTGATCAAATCCCAATCAGATCAAGCAGCACTTAAGGATCCTACTTCCTTAATAGTTTGATTCCACGAATGGTAATCAACAACTATGACAATATTGTGTTCAAGAACAAACACAATAAACAAGATTGAGAACCACAAGATCAAGATAACAATCACAAATAAGATAGTAAAGTTCACTTTACGAAAAGCTTATAATCTAGTTGGTGATGAGGATTTATTGAATAATAAAAAGTGTTAAATTGTAATGTGATGATGTTTCTAAATTTCGCATATTCAGAGTTTTTATAGTCTGAAGTTTGAAGATCTTATGCGCACAATTTGTGGTTCCAAGGTTAGGTTTTTATTACATATAGGTATTAACCTTTTTACTTGGTTACATACATGTTACAGCTGTGAAATGTATGTAATCTTAGGACATGTAAAAGATGTGTACTTACACAGTCTTTTACATACCTTTTACATATGTTACATATGTTAATTCATATGTATTTTGACTCTTGAAACTGAGTCTGAGTTGTAATTATTGTTTTTTAAGGTTTTTCTTATTTTTACATGTCAGCCTTTGGTACTATGGTTCAGTACTCAGGGCTGACAAGTAGTGTATCTGGTGTCCATACCTGTCTTCCTTCCTCCCAGGGAGGATATGTTGTTGTCTGATGTGGTATTTGGTATTTGATTTTCATGGTTTTGATCAGGTCTAGTGTGTAATAAAGTGCAGCAGATGAACACATTTTATCTGGAGTGTGTAAGTAAAACCTTTGTATATCAATGCCTTTTATCATTTGTGCAGAAGTAGGCTTAAGCTTGGGAATGCTAGTCAATTGCTCTTTGCCTTTAGATACGTATTGATCCTGATCTTCCTTATCATGTGGTGCAATATTTTTCAGACACTTGGATGTCTTCTGGAGGAGATCAGGTGAAAATCCCGGACTGTATTCCTTAGTACCTATCCTTAGATTTTGTTCTGCCATTGTTTGTTTGAGAGGAATTTGCTTTGGGACACATTTTCCATCATTCATTCTTTGTGTATGAGATGTTGAAGCTTTGTATCTTGAGACCTCAGAAGCCTGTGGACTGATCCCTGCCGTTGCTGGTTTAGATCTGGTGAGTTCTTGATTCTTCATTGTGCCATCAGGTGCAGGTGTTTTCACTGTTGAACCAATAGATTTATATCTGCTATACATCCTTTCTCCATCATAGCTATCAGACTGTTTTGGAAACACCTTATTAATTGATTGATGGCCCAAGTCCACATTGACTTTCTTTTGCTTTTTATTTTCTCTCATCTTCTTACACTGATCAGAGCCTGCCATTTGATCCTCTTTGGTCCCACTGCCAGCTTGATTGACAGTATAGGGGTTTGGGGTGCACATTCCTTCACTCTCATTCTTCATGTGGGAGGTTGAAGCCTCAGAGCTAGAAATTTCAGAAATCAGAGGGCATTTTGAACTTGGTCTTCCAATGCCGGTTTCAGCATTATCAATTGTGATAAGGGGTCCAGGTATCTTGATGTTTGGTCCAGTTGGTTGATATCTTCTATGCACCTTTTCTGCATTGTATAATCTAGGTGTCTGTTTGGGAAAATTCCTTCTGAGTGATTGAAATCCTCTGGCCCAATCATCTTCCTGTTGTTTTTGGTTTTCTATAATCTTCTGACGTTTATGAGACACTATTATTGAATCCGTCTTTGTCCTAGCTTGACCACCCAGAATTCCCTTTGGGAGATGATTTCCGTCACCTATTTTTTGTTCAGAAGCGGTTGAACCTTGAGAGCTCAACTCCTTAAATATCAGCGGGACTTTTGAGCTTTGACTTGTCTTTCCTAATTCAACTGTGTTGAATTGTCTATGATTCTTCATGGATCCAACAGGTACATGTGTTTTAAGCCTTTTCCCAAAAGAAAGCTGTGTTCCTTGTGTCTTTTCTCCATTGGATGATCTGGGAGGCTGTTCTTCATGAAATGATTGATACCCCAATGCCAAATCAACTTCCAGTTGCTTTTGATTTTTGACAATAATTTGATGTTTGCCACTTGGTTTGTCTCCCTGTACACCTCTGGTGAAACTATGGGGTGACAACACAGTATCTATTTCACTTTCTTCAACAATGAATTTTGACTTATGCAAGCTTGGTTTCATAGATATAGTCATACGAGCTGAGATCCACACTACCACTATCACAAAAGTGTTGAGGTTTATCATTGTGTTGATTGAAATTGGATGGGAGGTTTTGATAAAAAAAAACAAGTAGAAACCTATGACCACTTTTATTGGAGGGGGGAGGCAAGGGTACTTGAGTTTGAGACACCACTCTAAATACATTATTGCCATTTGGGTAGTATTTCAAGTAATGGACTCTGTAGTTGTCATGAGATTGATTCTGACATGTATTATCAATTGTCCCATGTTTAGCATCACATCCAACTTACTTTGCAAGTGGGGTTGAAAAAATTCTGCTGACACATCAGGTGGCTGTGGTTTCAAATAACCACTCAACATTTATGAAGTTTGAATACCAATTATTCAGTCAAAGAGCTACACACGGGGCCCAGTAACTGCTGAACCAGTTCCCCCATCTGAATGACTTTTTAAATCCTTTCCAGAAGCTTTGACACTTGCATTTTCACACACAAGCAGTTGTTTCTCTGTTCTCTTCCAGACAGTGCCAAAGATTTTGTTCTCTTATTCCAATATTTTGACCACTGCCTGTTCATCACATGCTGACATCTCAACCTTGTACTTTATCACTTAAACAATTCTATTGGCAAATTCCTCTACAAATCATGCAGCACTAGCACCTATTACAATATGTTTGACTTTACTTTTCTGGATCCTACATTACAAACATTTTTTCCCAATCTTGTGCTATAGTAGGCAAGGGAAAAGCAAATAAAAATTAAGTTGTTCACATGGGGGTCAAGTACTCCTTGCAAGTTACTCTGGGTAACTGAAAGCCAAATCTTCAGCATTGAGATGTATGCATATATCTCTGGGTTGGGGATAGAGTCTTGCAGTCAAGGAGGATTTGTGATATTAGGTAAAGCATTCTGAGCAAAGGGGGTTTTAACACCATGTGGCTGTGTCTGATAAAGTTCTTTCCTATGTGTCAGATATGTGTGGGTGAATGTCACATATTCATGATAAAGGTCATAAAACAGAGTTAGATATATTTCCTTATCAATTGTTACAACATCAAATTGTAATTATCATGTATTGGCACTCCTATCAAGGTAGTATTGGTTTTACAGGGAGGAAGAGAAGGAAAACAATATGATAGTGATCTTCCTTTAGAACAGCACACAGTCACTGAGACTTAATATCTGAGTACAGGATCCGAGAGACTAAAAGTTGAAAAACATAATAAGACATATACTTGTTGTTTGCTGGTGAGAAAAAAATCTCAACAGATAACCCATGATATCTACTGAGTATGTAGTTGGAATACTTACATCATACCCCATATAGTATTGAGTTGTCCCTGAAAAATCAGCTTCTATCCTTTGGAAGTGATTTTTGAGTTCAGGATTAAGGACACAAGAAATCCAAAATGATATAAGATTTATTTGTTCTTTGCTTGTGACAAAACCTTCTTATAAGATACCTCATTCTGTCTATTGAGCAGTGTGGATACTTACTCTTACATATCCAGTCTCTGGTTGTGTCTTAGAAAACCCCTCATCCTAAGTATAAAGTTGAACTGAAACAAATCAATCAAGGATGATTTGATGAAAGTGGCATTGGTCATTTTGGTGCCTCTAATAAAAACAGAGCCTGCATAGCTTGGATTTCAATCCAAATTCATCATTATGTTTTGAAATTGAGTCAAGTACAAAGTTAATTAAAGTGTAATAAAACCCTGATATCTTTTTTGAATATCACAAAACTTCAAGTCAAAAAGAGTTTTGGTAAGGGTGGCCTCCCATCAGGTGCGTAGAATCAAAGGACGTTTTGTACCACCAGTTTTTGGACGAGGAAATATGATTTGACTTCAGAGTGATATGATGTTTTGATTTATGGGTGAATTGTAGTGAAGATTAAAACAGAAGTGCTGGCCAATGCCAAGGCTTCGATCCTATGATTTTTCAATCGATCCTTTTTAGACTGATCTTCACTTATATCGGGTTAATCAGGGACCCATAATCTTATGGATATGTTGTGCTTGTAGTTGATTGATCATCAGTATAATCAATTGCCACCAAACAAAGGGATCAAGTCATGATGATGTATTTTGATGTATTCAGAGGTGGGCGGTACATATCCTGTGGTTGGTTGTTGTGAGGTGACGTTAAAGAGAGTTAAGTTGATCAGTTGAGTTGACGATGAATGTGGAAACAAAAGGATCATATGAACAACCGATGAGAAGTTGTTTGACTTTAGCACTCTGACTTCAATCAGTGGTCAAAGAAACCGATATCTTGAGGTTCTAATCAAGGAAGCTCTGCATCGGCATCAGTTTCATCGACTTCCTAGGTCATGCTTTCCTTGTTTTTTGGAGTTTTCTTTTGCCTTGAAGGATGATCGATTGATTATCACCCTTGCTGAGCTTCTCTTTCTCCATAAACCGCCTCGTCAGCTTAATCATTAAAGCCTCAAACTGACTAGCTCAGCCTTGGTTTTGACAGTGAGTTATAAAAAGCTTCTCTTCTTCCAATTAATTGAACCATCTTTTTCGAGAATCATCTTAAATTAATAAAAAAATCTAATCAAGAATCGTTCATCCCTCATCTAACCTTTCTTTCGTTCCGACACAAATTTTTGGTTTTTTTTGTTCAGGAACAATCGAACTTCAAGGGAAAAAAAACTTAATTTCTTCAAGTAAAGCCCCGGTGGCCCATTTCCAACAAAGTGCCCCAAGAAACCCTCTCGACCCTTGATACAACTCTGAAGGTCAGCTTGTTGACTGTTTTTCACCTTTTCTTCAATAACTTGTTTTGCTTACGTTTTTTGGATTTGTTTTCAAGTGTTAGACTTCAAGCTTTCTAATCAAAAGTGATTGCGATCTAAAATAGCATCATGACGTTTTACATTCCAGTACCTATTGGTCAGTTCATCTCCCAATCAATATCTCAACCTGTACCTCGGAACATTTCTTCTTCTCGGCTTCAAAGATGACCTCGAAATGGAGATGAGGAATTGCCATAAGAGCGTAGTCAAACTTTAACGACCTTGCAGTTTCCTCCAATACACAATCGCTGCTGAACTTTTGAATATGTATTGAAACAAAGCACCTTCCGCTTAGAATTTCATCAACTTTAAGCAAAACATTTCCCCAATCTTTTTGCTAATGCTAAGCTTTTGCTTAACCTTCAGTCGGACATTATTTTCCTTACACTTTTATGAATTTTCAATACACTCAACTCACAAAGCTCAAGTTCAACTCAGCCTTTCTTTACAAATGAACATATACCATTTTTTGAGTAATGGCTCGCTGATTCGAAAGTCCAACTAGTTGACTTTTTCAAACCAAAGACTTTCAGATTCTCAGCCATCTCATCACGCGCATTTAGAATCGACTTTTCAACTTCAAACCTTGCGACTTTTCCATCACCACTATAAAACACTCTTATTTTCTCGCTTCTCTCGCTTCTCTATCCTTCAACCCCATTGCATCAGAACAAAACGATCTCGGATTTCAAAACGATTACTAACCTTACTGATTTCTTCCATTGCCTCCACAACGATCTTCACAACCATGAATACCACAACCAACCAAACCCAATTCCCACCAACCCAAATCTCTCGAACCCCACCAATAGCCAATCTCAACCTCAATGCTCGTACAGAAGTTTTAAGTCAATTCTCAGCCAACCTCGACCCAAACGTAAATGCAATCCCCTTACCAATGGAATTACAAGTTGGATTATCACCTCAAGAATGGGACCAACGTTCAAAAGACCTCTACAATCACTTCTCTAAGTTTGTTTGGAGTAAACTTTTGAGGATTTATTTGATTTTTTCTATTCTCTTTACTATGCTTGGACCTGTGATTGTCAATGTGGTGGTTAACAAGTGAGTCGACCTTTTTGGCTCTTTTTTGCTCAATCAATTCATTCAACTAACTTTTTGTGTGTTTCTTTTAGGATTTTTTTCGATGGGGTTGCTCCTTTAAGACTGGATTCATCACCTGAAGAAATTACTGAAAGGTTATCACTCTTAAGAAAAGCTCATATTGTTAACTTTGCTATTTCTATCTTGGTAGTTTTATTGATTTGGGTACCTTATTATTCAATCAAACTTATGGTCAGTCAATTCCTTTCTTCCCCTCTTCTGAAAGAAAATCGATCTGATAAGTATGATTGTTTTTTATCATACAGGGACGAAATAAATTAAGAGCTCTGTTAGGAAACTTCAATAACCAAGACGCAGCTAAAGGTAATATGTCAGCATTGGTTTGGTCATGTCCCAGAACTTCAACTCTTCAAGGAAATGCCACCGTATCAATCCAACTACCAATCTCGTAAGCTTTCTCCAAAAATCTGTTCTTTGTTTCTTTTGCAATAAAATGAGCTTTCTTTTGAAAAGAAATTAAAATGATTTTTTCAAATAATTCCCATGTGATCCCATCAGATTATTAGCCGCAAGACAACCTACGTTGTTTTCAAATGGAGCTTATTTACCTCCTTATTTACAAAAAGAACCTACAATGATGAACACTCAAGCTGCTCCTGCATATGAATATCCTCCTGCTGAAAGAAAATAGAACAAACCAATGAACTTTTTTTTTCGTACGGAATTTCTTTATGTGAGGAACTATGTATAATCATTGACAGATTTCTTTTTTTTTTCGTCTTTTTCTTTGACTGTCTTTTTGTTTTTTGTTTTCTTGATGAAATTCATTTTCTTTCTTTTTTTTGTTTGTGTAATCTCTACATACATACCTCGTTTTTTTCAAAATCTCATTTTTTGTTCAAAAACATGTAACCTAATCTTGACTTTTTATAATCATTTACATCATTCTTCTCACAATGATTCTTTAGAGAATTCATTGATACATTCTTAGGTTGAGTGGGAAGACAATTACTCCAGAGGGTGTCCACAAAGCCATGATTCATAAGGAGAGTAGCTTTGTTTCAAAAGGGTGACATCTTTATATTCTGAACTTCCACAAAATTGAAGACTTGGGCTTGTGTCTAACAAAACAAGTGCCTCTGATTTGTGCAAGCTTTGGCAATAAGAGTGACTTACTTGTAACCTTGACTTTCCTGGTGACAAGCCCAATCACCTCTCGGTGGGAAAATTGGTAGCCATAGAGGCCTTTTGCATTTCATTTGTTCAATGCTCAGATCAGGTATTCCTCTATACAAGGGTTTTGTATGTTGTTTGGCCTAAGCATTCATATTTTCATTCAACAAACAGTGGTTAAAGTATTCTGTCAGATTGTATGTTGATAGAATTTGGAGTGTATGCTTTTAGCACTCAACTTGAAAGATTAGCCTTTGTAATTTTATGCAACTCTGGAACATGGTCCATCTGTTTGATTTCTATGTGTTGTGAACCCAGCTTCTTGTTTGCTGTGTTTCCAGTCATGACACATTCAAACATCATGTTAACTTGAAAGATGTATTTTAAAGAATATTTATGGGTTTATTTCCTGTTGGTGTGTTGTAAAAGAATAAACTTTCAATCAATCTCAATCAACACTCAATTCCAATCAAAAGATCTATATCTGTTGCTTCCAAATCCAAGTCCATGAAATACAGGATGATGCCTGGTTATATGGTACAGTTCATGGTATTGGTTTCTTAATTCTTTTTCACTCCTCTGTTCTCCTTTGGCACATTCTGGTGGCGAATTGTGATTCCACCATCAGAGACAAACTTAACAAAGTCCTACTCGTTTTGAGCTGTACTGGCCAGCTCAAACGAGGGACTTACGCGTAATGTCCAAAAAATGGTGTGAGATCTGTCGGGGCTTTTCCCAAAAATCTACTGGGCTTATGAAACTTACATTTTGAAACTTCACTAGCCCCAAAACAAAAATTGTACCTCTTGAAATTCTCTATAACCTGGTAGTAGGTACTCTTGGCTTCTTGATAGTGTGAGTGGTTGTGCAGATATTTATATAAGTGCTTCACAGCTTGAAGCCAAAAATCGAGTAATTTTGCCTGATCTGAGTCTGAAATTTGAACTTTGTTGTAGACTTGAAATATGTTTGCAGAACCAATCAAGCTATCAGGATTCTGAAAGCATTGGCTTGTAGCCAAAAGCAAGGCACTCATCTTTCATTTTTGGCCCAGGAAAGGTCAGAATGGTAAAAAAAAGTTTCATAAGGCAAGTAGATTTTTGGGAAAAGCCCCAACAGATCTCACGCCATTTTTTGGACATTAGACGTAAGTCCCTTGTTTGAGCTGGCCAGTACAGCTCAAAACAAGTAGGACTTTGTTAAGTTTGCATCAGAGATACCCTGGCAGTAACTTGGTTTTTCATCAATCCTTTCTACCTCACCTCATGGCAGTGCAGAAGAATTTCTGCACCTGCTACTCTCAACACTTGAAGTCAAAAGATGAACCACACAACATAGACCAACCTCAAAATTGAGGAAACATCATAAATTTCAAAAATATAATGTAATATAGACTGAGATGGCAATGTATTTCAATTGATAGAAGTGTAGTGAAGCTGAAAAACCATAATGTAGCTTGATGGTAATGTATTGACTCTAGACATCTGGGGGTGGGTTTCAATGTTAAATATAAGCTGCTCTTCTGCTACCTCAAAATATACAAGTTGACAGCATAGCAGTGCTATACTATGCATACATGATACTATACACTACTTCCAAATATAAAATTGAATGAGTAACATTTGGCAGACCTCTCCTGACATTTTTCAAGCTCACCTATATCCAAGTGTGACAGCAAAGAATTTGTAGGTGATGGAGTACATGGAAGTAAAGTGTACAAAGATTGACCAAGTCCTAGGGACTTATACAAGATTTCAGATCACAAATGGAAACCTCGATGAAGATCTTGTATGGTAATAAAACAAATATTACACGCTGAACACTGTGTGATGGAAAGAAACCTTTGAAAAGGTGCAAGAACCAGTTTATCTAGGTTTTGACTAGACACAAGCTAGAAATCAAAGTAGGAAGAGCTCAAAGTTCTTCTGATATCAAATAAAAGAATACTAAAGAGTATTATGAAGATAAAAAGTGTGATAAAGTGTTTAGTGATCATTGTGATGATTATAGGAGTAAGAGAAATTTCAATATGAATCTCACCTTTAAAATCTAATTTGGCAGTGGTGAAAAGCTTCAAAAGGGAGAGAGGAGGGGTCAAGACACTGGTGGGTTGATAAGGCAAAAACAACCCTAAAAAAATTTGAACAAGCATTGCACAAAACAACGAAAATCAACAGCTCTAAACAAAACACAACTAGTCTATCCAAATATGTACATTCCCCCACCATCAGCCTCATTACTTTTAAATGCTACTTAAGCCTTCACAACCTCCAAATATTTCCTTGATAGATTGGTGTCTTTCACCCTTAATGGTCTTGATACAACCTTCAAGAATGATATTCTCCAGCACACCCCCTCAAGACCATTTTAGATTGTATTCAGATGTGAAAGAACAAAGATTATCATATACAAACAAGCTTGGGGACCAAAAATAGGCCACAATGTGCTGCTGTCGCTGGGGGGTTGCCCATCAGCACAATGTTTTTCCCCACTTATGCACAACACAATTTTCAACTGGGAGCCTTGCTGTGTTGTGCAAGACATAAGGCATGCAATGACCAGATCACCATGATGTTTTCCACCACAAATCAAGGTAGATCAATGAAAGCCCCACCAACTGCAATGAAATCCCCCAGAGCCTGTGAAGGGGGGCTTGTGACTTATTGTCAAATTTGGCCCAATACCATTTTCAGTTTGGCTAGGGCTATCTCTAGCTGGCATTTGCCTCACCCTGTATCAAAAAAAACCTCATGGTGAACTATCAAAGGTCTTGGTGTTGATCTTTTTGCTTTCTTTGTGTTCTCTTCAGATTTTCCATATTGTTCATAACTGACCAGGAAGTTCAATGTTCAACTTTATTCAATTTCAAAACTTTACATGTGAACGGGCTGCAATCACAGGTTTGTTCACATATATGACTGTGTCTTACATACCTCTCTGATACACCATCCACATCCAAATGGTTAATCTCCCCAAGAGTGAAACTTTTCAGTTAGCTGTCCAAATGAATTGAATTACAGCAGTCACTTTTGGGCCTGAACTTTGCCCAATCCTCATTGATGATATGTGGCTGTCAGAGTGTGCCTAAATTTTGGCTGCGTCCAGTTCCATTCTTTCCTCTTGATTTTTGATTTTCTTGCAAGTGACTGTAATAAAAAAATATTGTTCACCATCAAAACTTGAAAGGGACCAAAGTTTTCCTGAAGTCTTGAAGAATGGATAACCCGAAGATGACCGGGTCGGGTATCCTGGGCTGGTTTCACATACTTGCGATACAGATTTCACACGTTAAGTGAATTCGTTGACAGTTGTGGTGAACTCGCACATTTCATATTGCCAGAGCTCGCGAAGTTTTCCAAAGGTTGAACTTGAAGCGAAGAGAGCAGAAAAATGAAAAGTCGAACAAAAGTCAAAATAATAAGTTTGATTTTGATTAGACTTTTAATTCTTTTATATTCTAAATCGTACTTACATCCAGATGAACATTTTCAATCAACTGAAATTGGAATTCAAGATATCTTCAATTTCAAAGAGAAGTCTAGAACTTGGGAATGGTTAATAAAAGCTTCTCAGCAAGAAATCAATAGATATGAAGTCGGTGTTGGACCTTATCGTAGTATCATTCCGGTTTATGTTTTCAGTCATTTTCCGCTTTTCATTCTAAAATCAGTTTCGTCTTTCTTTCAAAGCTACCAAACACGTTAGTATTCTCTTTATTCTTCTCGTTTACCGTTCATCAAGTTGATGGTTTTATTTCTTCTTAGTTCCTTCAACCTTTCTGCTTATCATCGCACCCAGAATATCTTTATTCTTTCTCAGTTTACTTATAGATTATTTGGTATTATCTCAAACTTCTTCTCTCAATCGTCAAATCATTCAACCAATCTATATTTTGTTTTCTACTTCTCCTTCTACTTTAGTTTTTTTAACTAAACCTCTCATCAATTCATTTGAAACGATTTTGTTTACTTTAGTATTTTTCTTAACTATATCCATCTACAATCGTTTTCCTTTTGATTTAAATTCTTATCGTTATTTCATCAAATTATCAATTTGGACAATCTTAATAAACTTTTCTATATGGTCAAGATTTAGTTTCTCACTTTTTAGTTTCCCATTAATTTCTTTAATAACCTATGAGTCAATGATAAAATCAAAGTCGATCTTATCATTTTTAACTTTGACGTTTTTCACGCTTTTTACAATTTTTTATTCATGTTGGATTGATTCCAATTATTTTAATTATTGGCCCTCGATACCTCCATTAAATCTGTTTTTATATAATTTAGATTGGAGTAATCTATCGTTACATGGCTTACATTCTAAATGGTTACATCTTTTCGTCAATGGTCCTTTACTTTTTGGTCCTTCACTTTGGGTTTTAACTTTTTGGGGAATTTACAAGATGTTCAGATTTCGAAAGAATCTACATTATCTTCGTAAGCTCAGCTTTTTCTGTCTTGAGAGGAATTTTGGATGGGATTTCTGATTTGAGGTGTTTATTTTTTAGTTTCTGGTAGTGTGATTGTTTCGGGTTTGGGTCTTTTATCCATTCAACCACATCAAGAACCTAGGTTCCTTTTACCACTCCTAATTCCTGTTTGTATAATCGCTTCGCATACGCTTTTAACCCTCACACCTACATCTCGTAAAGTCTTTTGGGTAAGAGCTTTTTTCTGTCTTTTGAAGCTCTTTCAAACTCATTAACGATTATTTTGGTTGCTTGATCTGACTGTTTTCAGAAACTTCATTTCTTACATACGATTCTCGGGACTATCTTTTACGGTTTTTTGCATCAATCTGGTGTGATACCTACTATAAGTTATATAAAAGGATCTAATCAATTTGAAGATATCAAATCAATTGTGATATGGAAGACCTTTGATTTTCCAAAAACACTTTTACTCCGAACATCAACATCCGATCTAAACTTGATCAATCTACAAGGTTTGAACGAAATATCAATGTTGGATAAAGTTTGCAAAGAATTAAAAGTTACTCAAAAAGGAATCTTAGTGTTTCCTTTGAATGCTTTTAAAACTTTTGGGGTTCTTGATTTAGTTGTTTGGAATTCTTTTGGTTTTCATCTTGATATGGATAGAATTGATGATTATTTTGAAAATGGGTTTAAAGCTAATGGGATTTGTGTTGTTAAGATTTATAGATTTTGTAGTAGGTATTTAGAATTTGATCAAATTTGATTACTTGTACTTGGACCACTCTTCTAATTATTTTATTACATTTAAATTTGTGACGTTTGATTCTTTATCGTTAGTTTTGGTTTTGAAAATTTCTTGTTTTATAATGCATGCAATGCTCATCACAAATTCTTTTGTATATGGAAGAATATTCATCTTAAGTTCATCTACTAACAACAAGTAGGATCTAGGACTATCCCTTGCTCGTGTTTGACAATCCGAGGATACAGATCCGGAGTTCTCTCTGAAGATGCCCTGTGGAATAGTTGTAAATCAGCTGATCAAATGTGATCTTGTACAAACTTAGCAAAGTTCACATACCTCGTGCGCGGGGTTTAAACATAGTAAGCTTAAGGGTCCTCACACTGTCAATCCCAAACTTTGAATCTGATCACTTCTTTGACAAATTCTTTCAAAGACTTCAGATCATATTCCTCAACTTTGTACCAATTAAAGGTATCTTGCTTGGTTGATAGATTTTGGTCTTCTGTCTTGTATGAATTCAGGTTGCCTAAGCCTTCTTGCGTGTGTTATGACCGGCTTCAGGGGTCGTCGTGTGAGGGAACGGAGGGAGAGGATGCTAATGAGATGGTATGATTATTGTAGCATGAGGAAAGCAACAGTACAGGAAAAGCTCTGCTTTAGAGTGGGCTCAAGTGTCTCCTCTGTCACAGGTTGTGACACCTCCGTGATCCGTGATCTAGGATCATAACACTATCCCCCCCTTACGCCCAGGCTCCCTGTTCGCGGCCCTGCGTTCCTCCCCGGGGCTTGCATTAAAAAACCCGGTGGGAAAAAGCTTCACCCCTCTTACATGCGCCTTGTTCTTCTGTGAACTTCCACTGCCTTCGGAAACCTTAAATCAAAGGCGCTGATCATCTCCTTCGCATTGATGACGTTGGCGATCGGCTCCCATGAATCTTCGGCACGGCTACATCCCTTCCAGCTGATAAGGTACTCGATTTTTCCTCTTCTTGACCTTTTATCTAATACTGCCTCCACTTCCCACTCCTCCTCGCCATCGATCTCGATTGGATGTGGTTTCTCCTGTTGGCGCTCTTCAATCAAATCAGGTGAGCATTTCCTTAATACCGACACATGAAAAACTGGGTGATTTCTACTCATCGTTAATGGGAGGCGTAGTTTATAGGCTGAGGTGGATATCTTCTTTTCTATGCTGAAGGGTCCCAACCATCTATGGTCGAGTTTTGCAGACGGTCGTGTCGTCGAGATGTGCTTGCTATTCAGCCACACCTCATCGCCGACGTTCCAATCTGGTGTTGGCCGTCTACCTTCATCGTAAGCTTTTCTCATTACTTCTTGTGCTTGTCCTAAGTTTTCTCTTAGCTCATTCTGAATCTCTTCAATATTCTTTAGGCGCTCCTCCACCTCTGGGATACATCTCTCGCGAGTTGGTATTCGTCCGAACGATAGATCGTACCCTAAGTTGGCTTTAAAAGGTGAGTATCCTGTTGATGAGTGCGTCCCGTTATTATATGCAAACTCAGCTAATGGTAGGTGTTCTTTCCAATCGTCCTGCCTGTAGCTCACGAAGTGGCGCAAATATTGCTCCACTGCTTTGTTAACGATCTCGGTTTGGCCATCGGATTGTGGATGGAATGCCGTCGACGGGTGTAGCGCAATACCTAATTGTTTGTTCAAAGATTCAGTGAGTTTGGCAATAAAAACACTACCCCTATCCGATACAATAGTTCTCGGAGCTCCATGTAGTTTCCATACGTTTGACAGCATCAACGTTGCTAACTCTCCTGCGTCCATTTCTGTAGTGCAAGGAATAAAATGTCCCATCTTTGTCAATCGGTCGACCACCGTCAATATGCAGTTCATGCCGCCCGACTCTGGTAGATCAGTGATCATGTCGTAGCTGATGTCGGTCCAAGGTCCAGCGGGGATCGGTAAAGGTTCGAGTGATCCAAGTGGTGCCATGCTGGAGGGTTTGATACGAGCGCACGAAGCACAGCCATCTACAAACTGGTTAACGTAAGTTTTCATTGATTTCCACTTGTATTGCCTCTGTACCAGACTCAATGTCTTAGCTCGTCCTGGATGTCCGGCTAATACGCTGTCGTGTCTGCTTCTCAGGATCTCAAATTTACATTTCTTGTCATCCGGAACTTCGATCAATCCGTTGTGGTACAGGATACCGTCATGTACTTGGTAATCTTTCAGCGCACTCTCAATTTCTGTCACTTTTGGTCCACTCAACGCATGAATCAGGCCTTGGATTCTGGTGTCTTCCTTCGAAACTTCCCGTATCTGGTCAATAATTTGGTCGTCGGTCCATATTGGTGTCAGCTCTGATCGGTCTAGGGCATCAATCTCAATTGGTTCCGGGGTGGTAGGTTGTATAATGTCTTGTTCAAACCACATTTCAACTTCATCATGCTCCACTGACTCGTCCTTGAACCATGCTTCTACACTGTCGAGGTCGGCTACAAACGATTCATCAGACAGGTTCTCTGGTCTTAACAAACTCCCGAATGATAGTTTCTCGTCGGCATGAGGCTCTAGGTCCGGTCGTCTCGAAAGTGCGTCTGGATTTGAGGAGTCTCGGCCTGGTCGAAACTTTATATGAAAATCGAAACAGCCAAGTGTCTCTGCCCAACGGGCTTGTCGACGAGTAAGTTGCTTCGTAGTCATAAAAGTCTCGAGGTTTTTGTGGTCGGTGTACACAGTCACTTCAAGTCTGTTTGGGTTTCCCTCCAGATAGTGACGCCATTCTTTAAAGGACGCCACCACTGCTAACAGCTCTTTATCAAATATTTCGTAGTTCTTTTCCGCTTGGACTAACAAACGAGACAGGAACACTACAGGGTGGAGGACTCCGGTATCATCATTCTGCGACAAGACAGCCCCGAGTGCGTAATCTGAGCAGTCACACTCGAGGACAAACACTTTGTAAGGATCAGTGATCTTCAAAATTGGTGCGGTAGTGAATGACGTCTTAAGGATATCGAACGCTTCTTGTTGTTTTTCGCTCCATACAAATGGTACGTCGGCGCAGGTTAAATCATGGAGAGGTCTAGTGATCTTGGAGAATCCGTTGATGAATCTTCGGTAAAAGTTAGAGAATCCTAGGAACCGTTGAATCTGAGAGACGTTCTTCGGGATCGGCCAGTCAGTCACTGCTGACACTTTAACCGGGTCCATTCGGACTTTATTCTTCGAAATAAGTAAGCCAAGATAATCAATTTCTTTCTTTGAAAATTTACATTTTTCAGGTTTTAACCAAATATTGTGTGCCTGTAGGATTTCCAGTACTTCAGTTACCACTTTCTCGTGGTCCACTCCTTTTGGCGTGTATATCAGTAAGTCATCTAGATATGCGGCTAGGTCCTTCCCAATCCTCTCGCGAAAAATGTCCGATATGAAGAATTGAAAATAACCGGGCGCTCACGTGGGGCCAAAAGGCATCACTAGAGGCTCAAATTGACCTCGTTTACAGATAAACGCCAGTTGCTTCTCATGGCCCTCGAAGACGCGAAGGTTGTTATAGCCGTTGCGCATGTCCAAACAGGTATAGTCCTCCGCGTCCTTTAAACTGTCTACCAGTTCCATCGTGAGAGGTAACGGGTATTTATTCTTTACAGTTAATGCGTTCAGTTTCCGATAATTGAAGCAAGGACAAAGGTTTCCGTCTTTCTTGCCGTTGAACAGTACAGGCGCTGCCCACGGGGAGGTGGTACGTCGGATAGTGCCCTTCGCTAGGCCTTCGTCGATCATGGTATTGAGTGCTGATTCCTCCGCAGGTGATAGCGGTATCATCTTGCTGCCTTGTGGTGTTGCTCCCGGAATCAGATCCACTCGAAAATTGTATCGACAGCGTGGAGGTAACATCATCGAATTCTTCTTTTGAAACATGTTAAGATATCGGTGATACTGAGTCGGCAATAGTTCTTCTACTGGTTTCTCAGGTTGATTCTTCACCTTGTCCGCCGCCAGTTTGGGGGATACGTTCCAGGAGGTCGTTGCCGCGCATACTGAGGGTTTAACACTGTAATCGGGGATCTGAAGCTTGTCAACTGGACCAGGGCTACGGTAGGAAGGTGTGTTGGACTCACATCGCGGGGGCTTAATCTCTCCAATGGAAAGAGCCCCCTCGCCATGTTTCCTAGTGTTCCCCTTCCGGGCCTCAAGGCAATCTGGGGTGGTTTTCGGATTAGGCGACACTGGACTACCAGTGGCGAGTTCTTGGTCTTCTACTTGGTGGTTTCGATGGTTTGGTGGTAATTCTGCAAAAAGTAAGTCATGTTCCTGCTTGCTAAGTGTTTCAAATGGCAAGGGTGATGGTGTTCTATTGGACTCACATCGCGGGGGCGTAATATCAGTCATGCTGATGGCCCCCTCGTCACTTTCCCTAGCTTTCCCCTTCCGGGCCTCAAGGCGATCTGGGGTGGTTGGCGGGTTGGACGAAGCCGTTTCAATGGCTGCAATGTCAGTAAGTGAGTCTTTCGGTCTTAGTATTCCGTTCTTCCAATCGATCCAGTGTCCATTCTCGCGTAGCCAGGGCATACCGAGAATGGCGTCGTATGAATCTTTTATCTGAGTGACTAAAAATTTTGTTTTGGATTCGTCGTCGTCAATGAATAGGTCGGTGTCGTGGGCGACGGTTCTTGGGGCTCCATCAAACCCGTACACCTCCCCTGCCTTCTTTAGGCTTGTCATGGGGAGTCCAGTACGGTCGGCAAATTTCTTGCCCAGTACCACGTGAGTTGAACCACAATCGATCAACGCACGGGCTGGGACACTGTCTGGGTTGGGGGACGTGGCACAGGAAGTCTGGGAAAGGGATATAGATGTAAACACACGAGGATCTTGGTTTGTATTTGCATTTGACATCATAGCATCCGATTCCATAACTAACTTCTCCGTACACAGGCCCGAGGGTGGCACGTCCGTCACTCTCGAGCGGCGCCATTTTTTGACAGGTCTGCTGATGAACTACTTGAACTACTAGCTGTCAACACACTCAACCCCCCTTCCATTGCCGCAATTTTCGCCTCCAACTCCGCAATCCTCCCTTTACCACTGCCTTTTCCTTTAAACCCATCGCGACGATCTCTCTTACACCAACGTGCTCGGTGGCCGGATTTGCCACAAGTGAAACATAAGTTGTCTGTTACCCGTCGGTTGTACTCGTCTGAAGAGATGTCGAATCGTGCTGACAAGATGTCCATTGCATTAGGGTCCGTTGGACGTGTCGACGGGACTGGATCGGTGTGTTCTCCGCGTAAATCATTATTGATGGCGCAGGCAAGTTTGGTAATGTCCTCAAGGTTGTCGAATTGGTCACGGATCATCGGGATACGAACATTGCTCTTTAATCCTTGGCGGTAATGGCTGATCAACGTAGGTAGTTCCCATTTGGTCGCTGGGGCCAGCTGATTAAACTTAATGGTGTACTCGGCGGCTGATTGGGTTTGTTTCAGGGCGCGAAGGGCAGTCTCGGCACGTTTCTGTCGGTCAGAGTCGAAAAAGACAGATTCAAAAGCACGGGTAAACTCCAGATACGTGACGGTGTTCTCTTTGGTTGGGTGTAAGATACGTTGCAAGAAAGGTTGTGCCCATTTAATGGCTTCACCGGTAAGATAAGAAATCACAAACATGACTTTTGAACGGTCGGTCTGGAAGAGGGCTGAGTTCATTGCGATATAAATTCCAACCTGACTAGCATACGTCTCTGCCAGTGCTCCTCTGGTACCTTCATATTTATCCGGGGTGGCAACCTTAATCATGTGTGGAGTCGTGGTGGTGGGTGCTGTCGTAGTAGCAGGTGCAGGTACGGCTGTAGTGGTAGAGGCTGATTGTGGTGCGGTGGTGGTTGTAGCGGTGTGGCCAGTTTCCAGTTGGGCAAGACGAGCTTCTGCCTCCTCGCGGCGCGCGGTCTCTTGAGCCAGTTTCGCATTCAATTTGTTTCGATGTACCGTCTCCTCAGCTAACCGGTTGTTCAATTCGGCCATCTGCTGAGCCAGTCGATTGATATCCTCGACTGTCGCCATTGATTCAGGCTCTAGACGGTTAATTACGACCTCGTGCCAGGAATCGCTTTCGACCGAGTCAGAGTCGTCGGTGGGGGTTTGGAATGAAGGCGTGATGGGAAATGAAAACTCCTTTACTCTGTTAACCTTTTCTTAAACTTTTATTCTTTTAAACTTTATTCTTCTTTTATTTGAACTTTGTAAATCTTCTTTCTTTAAATTTTTCTTCTTCTCCAATTTTAATTAAAATCTTTTCTTTCTTTCGTCTTGGTGTCCTCCCGGTCCGTTTCAAGTTAGATGCTACAATGTGTTATGACCGGCTTCAGGGGTCGTTGTGTGAGGGAACGGAGGGAGAGGATGCTAATGAGATGGTATGATTATTGTAGCATGAGGAAAGCAACAGTACAGGAAAAGCTCTGCTTTAGAGTGGGCTCGAGTGTCTCCTCTGTCACAGGTTGTGACACCTCCGTGATCCGTGATCTAGGATCATAACAGTGTGTCCGCCGCTGCGCACCGACAGAGGGCCTTGCAACCAATGTTGGACTTATGGCATGAGAATACCTGGTCTGTTTTGCAATTTCTCTTGCCACACATTGTGTGGGGGCATCAACATTCATGTGATGTGGTTCTGCACGCCAGGCCTCCTTCAATCTTTTTTCTTTCTCCTCTTTCTGGTTTTATTCTGTTGAACTTGCAGCTGCTAGACCTGGTCCTTCTTGCCTCATTTTGGCCAGTTCATTGTTTTTTTGTAGTCCTGCATTGATTTCTGGGTGTTTACCAACAGTGCCTGAGTAAGTCAAGCATGTGAAATCTGTGACAAAAAATTACCAGCAGATATAGAGAAATCTGGAAAGGCCTGGTGTGCTGGAGACACACTTTCATGAGGTTTGAAGCCCTCAAAATGGGTAGACAGGCAATAAGTGAAAACAAGCGTGGTCACCTCATCCCAAAGCTTCAACCTGTAGTCTTGAATCTCTTGGCAAAAAGTACAATCAGATTTTAGTAAGGAATTCTGTTTCATTACATTTTTTTGCAATCAATTACAAAAGTGCTTCAGCTCAAAAAGTGATCCAATCCAATGTTGTTATGAGTTTTACATGGATGTGTTCAGTTTTGTCAATGTCCACAAAAGGGTAATTGATGTGTGGAAAAACCCAAAGACTGTGAAAATCCATTGGATATTTTGAGGGGTGGCTGTACTACATAACATGAAGTTCTCTACTTTTATTGGCGGAGCGCTCAGACCCGCTTCTTGGCTAGGATCATAGTGCAGGTGGAGCAACCCGCCCTGCTTTTGCTTTTGGTGGTGGGAAGCTTTTGGTATTGTCTGTAACTGTCTGTACTGGTTCTCTGGACCCTCCAACAATTCATATTAGCTGGACAACTGTCATTTTGACCCATGTACAAGTGCTTGCACAAAAGATACAACACCAGTTTAGTCTGCTGGCCCTGACTGTGGTCACTATTATACAGGGATGTGATTGGGGCCAGCAGACTAAACTGGTGTTGTATTGTTTTGGCAAGCACTTGTATGTATATTCTAAGTCAACAATTGTGAAAAAATGTTGGCACTGTACCTTGATCACCTGCACCAAACCTCAAACCCACCTCTTCTTATCAAGGTAGTCTAACTCAGCCAATCCACATGGCAAGCAGACAAATCATATATTGATATCTTTTCAATATAATCCATTCACACAAACCTTCAGTACAAATCATAACTTGTCAAGAAAAAACCTCTGTGCTGAACTGTAACAATCTTCCAATTTTGAATAAAAAAATGCAAATTGAAAAACAATCAAGAACCCAAGACTTGGATATGCAACTGATAACAAAGAACAATCCCTAAATACACCTGCCTAAACATGAGAAAAAGAAGAAAAGTGTGAGCATGTTTTGAGAATTCTATATATTGAATTGATAATAATAAGAAAATAAGACCTCTTCTTTGGTTATTCCCATCAAATAGAATCCAAAGTGTGAAAAGGTGTTGAGAGAACAACATGAATTTTTTTGATTGTGTTATTGTTTGTAAAAGCAGAACCTGTGTTGGTAGACATAGACCACATTGGATCTAATCCACTATGAGATTCAAACTTTCTCTATTGTAGGGGAACCTTATGTACCATCTTTTGGTCTTGACCTTCAACACCCTATCCCAGCATCTCTTCAGATACCTATTCATATAATACCTCACCACTCTCCAGAATATATCACCTAGAAAAAATCAAATCTCAAAACTGTTCAGATACATCATAACCGCCATTCTTGTGCTCTCCTTCTGTCCCGCCCTCTTGCTCTGTAGCAGCAGCATCTTGTAAAGCATTCCAAAATGATACATCTCCCATACCACCTAAGAAAGGATGCTGTGAAGATTGAGATGCAGCAAACAATGTATTGAAGGACATCAATAAGGCATTCCCTGATGTACTTTGATTCTTTGAAACAGGCTCAGTTTGGGTGTATACCTGTTGTCCTGATTCTTCCTTGACATTGTTATTTACAGACCTATCTACTCTTTCCATACAATAAGTATCTCTTGGATCTTGTGATAGTGGGTATAGGTCTGTGGATGCTTCATGGGCATTGGATACTGGTCTAGTGGAGCATGATGAATCTGTTCTGTTACTTGTAGATTGATATTCATCTCCCAAATTAGTTGAATTGGTATGACTAGAACTGAAATGTGGGACCATTTGATTGAAGCTTTCCTTCACCTCTTGTGATCCAGAATGGGACTCATTGATATATCTTTGGTGATGCCCCCAAAGTAATGATGATGTGTAGTTCATTTGAGAAGATGGTGTTGAAGGATACCCAAGGGCAGAAAACTCAGCTTCATCAAGGGTTGTACTGGATGGGTTCTGGAAGGCAGAGTCTAACTGATCCAATTCCAAATAAGGCTCTGATGGATACCCCTGATAATTGGAGAGAGGATGACACTGTGTAAAACATCCTTCATGTGAATCTTCAGGAGTTTGGGAGGTGAAATAATCATTTGGATTTATTTCTGTACTACCTTCATTCCTCCTGTGATCATGAGCTGGAAATATTTGTCTATCCCTCTCTGAGAGATTGTAATGAAAATCAGGATACATCTCCCTTGTTTCTCCGGATGGGGTATCCGTCCTAAATTCACCCCTTGAGACTGTTTGAGAAGATTGACTACTTTCTAGCAAATAATCTTCATCTGGAGGATTATCATCTTTTTTCACAATCACTGAATTCCTGGCTGGCATCACACATTCAACCATATCTAACTCTTCATAATTGAAATGGCACTCTATGCGTGGGTCTGACTGTGCAATTTCTAACGCAAGATTTCCAGATGGGCTATAATTCATCTCCTCCAAGCCATGGTTCTGTTCTAATAAACGCGTTAGGCTGGGACCAGATTTATTCACATCCCGACTACGATCGCCAATGTTGCGTATAGCTCCGTGAATTGTATTCACAAGAGGACTGATAAATCTAACACTTGGTTGATGAGCTTTAGAATTATCTCGCATGGGTGAGGTTTGCCCGCGTGATGGAGTCTTGTTAGCTGCGAGTGTAGTGCTGGACTTGTTGGGATACGGCGATCCACGTCGGTGTTGCTTTTTGTTCGAGGAAGACCTGCGAAGATGACTGTCTTTCCATATTTCTTTTCGGTCGAGAACCAATTGATCAAAACATTCGGAGTATGTCTTGACTTCAGGATAATGCTCAGCATAGACCCACAAAGCCCTTGAACAGGAAGCGATAGGGTCATCAGGAGCTTCACTGTTTGATTCTTTCGTATATGCTCCAAGGCTTTCTGGGAATTTTTCAAGCATCAAAATGACTTCTGGGTCTTTGTCAAGTGCCCACAATAGAAAAATACCTGTCATGAACAATTTATGAAGCATGTAAATCGATAATGGGCTTGTTGATCGCCTTTTGACCCTTTGATTCTGGAGTTCGCATGATTGCATAGCTGCTATGACTGCTTGATGAAGATAAGGATCCCCTGGAGCTGCCGTCAGCGCGTACGGAATAAGCAACAGCTGTATTGCCTATAGAACATTCAAGATTGTTAGATTTTCACTACCAAAACAACTTCACTACAAGGCCGATTCCAGACAATTGAGAGTGGAGGTGAAACTGAAGAGACTGACATTGTAGTACCTAAAGACGTGCGGAAAAAGGGTCAATTATTAGATGTTACCCAAGCACAACATGTGAATTGAATGACAGAAAGAGATACACGTACTGCAAATCAAACCAATCATACACATATGGAGGCTTTTTGGGGTTTCTTGTGTAATCTTTCATTTCTCTCGCCTTTGGATACGGTTCATTGGCGAGTCCATAAATAAGGTTACCTGGATCTTCAGGATGAGCCGGTTCACCTTCCCTGTCAGCACGCTGCCACTTGGGGCTATTATTTCTCCACGTGTTTAGCTCCTCGACAAGTTTTCCCAAGTTTTCCTTTTTTCGGAAAACATCCTCTCTCTTGTCACCTTGATGGTTATAGACGGTTTCCTTGACCTTGGTTAATATCTGGCGTAATCGAATGTGATGCAGGGACGATGACATGGAAGTGATGCCCAATGGATAGGGATGGTCTTCAAGGGTGGTGTTAGATTCTCTCAGGGCGGTTTCAATGGCGGTTTCCCTCTCTCGAATCTTATGCGCATCTGTGACGAAGCAGTCAATATCTAAGGGGAGCTGAAGTTGCCATCGGGTATAATCGGGATGTCAATTTTTAGATTTGCATAAGCTGTGCTTCTCCGTATGCAACATGAACTTTGCGAAAGATATGAACCGACCGGTATGTCAATGTCTTTGTCTTGGATTGCTATTGGCCTTCCAAGCTGTAGCGCTATAGTCCTTTCCAGACAATATACGCTCCACCAGACTCTTTTTCTTGTCTCTTCCTCCCAAGGGTGCTTCGTTTTATTTCTTGGTGTTTTTCGATGTAGTCCAAGCTCAAGTGCAGTTCTGATCGCCAAGCCGCTAAGATGCCAGGCTGAAAGTCCTTTTTCTGAACGAAAAGAGTACATGGCTAGAAAGAGAAGCGCTTGGATCGTGGTGATGTTGGATTGGACATGATCAAAGTATTGAAGCGCTGCCTGAAAATAATGCTGCGTCAAATTCAAGGTTAGCAGATGTAAATGCTCCTCAAAGATGGTACGACATGCGTGATGGATGATACGAACTTCATGCGATGCTAAGCCGTCCAGCGCTTTGCCGCGTCCCTCTAGTAGTCTAACCCCAATGGCATATGTGAGCCATAAAAAGAAGGCAGCGGTACGTTCATCACTTTCTTGAACTTCCTGAGATCCGCAGAATAGATCTCGTTGTTCGTGCCAAACTCTTAATAATGCAAAGTTCATGAAACTGTAGCGGGATTGGATTGTTGAATACACGGTTACAAATATCTCATTCGATAAAGATTTTGATGTGGGCAGAAATGGGAATAGAAACTTCGGTCGAATGTCAAGGGGAATCCGAAAAGGCAGTACTGAAGAAGATGACGAATCTGAACAAACAGACGAAGACGAAGATTGCGTTTTCGAATGTTGCCGCTCGGTAGGCACGGGGAGATCCGGAAGAGATTGGGAAGGAATAAGACTTCTACCGCTCACTGAGGAGCTACCCGTACTACGTCGCAGAACTCTGTTGTGATCGAAAGCCGAAGAGCAATCAATCAACGTGACTCAGGAGTTCTGGAAGAGACGCAGGATGTGGAATGACTTAAGACGATGAGAATATTCGACCCCAGCTAGCGCCCGAGCTTCCGCCGACGTACAACGGCTCAGCCCCGGATGTAAGGCTCAAGAAACCGATCCCGTTTACGAGGTCATCTTCATTCACCATGCCGTTTTTTCTAGCATCCCCTGGCCCTGTGTCGCTGGCAGTTGCCTTAGGTCCCTGCATCGTCGATTCAGCGTTAGAAGAAGTAAGATGAGAAGATATTAGGAGGGCGATTTGATTACCTTAGGTGGCTCGTGATGGGATGGTCGATTCCCAGTGATCGGAGCATGGACTGAGGTAACTTCCCGAAGAGCAACAGTTAAGTCGCTGATGCGAGATTCGAGTACAGCAATGTGCCTGTGAAATTTTGTTTAAATGCATGGGTGGACATGATCAGTTCTTGTAGATATTTGTTCAGGTAAAAACGGGACAGAAGGTCCGGCCTTGCCTCCATAAAAAAAGAACGTTACGCACTCTCTGAGCAAATGTTCACCAGAAGCGTCCTCTGGAAAAATACATTCAGCTCGAGATTTGGCACAGTTTACACAGCTGTAGGAACCGGAAAACGATATCAAAAACGGAAAATGGCGGCGTGTGTCGAGAAAATGTGTGAAGAGATGATGCGTCAGGCTTTTGTGCGAGCTCAAAAATAGACACTTCGGAGAAATCGAAGAAACGAACGTACGGGATGCTGAGACCATCACAGCGCTGTTTTCGAGTACGACATCTGATGCACGCATTAGCTGCCCGTTTCCGCTTGGCTGTGGTAGAGGTGAGATTGGGCGCTGATTGATCGAGCGAGATATTGGATTGTGAAGTCTTTAACATTGTGCAGCATCAATGAGTGAACGACAGATGACCGCACAACGTGCTTGAGTCAAAGTGAGTGGATCCAACTCCAATCAAGACAGTAAGAAAAAGTAGTATGCTTCAACTTTTCGGACGGGCGTGGAGAGACTGTGCTACTCTCTGACTTGGGGTACTTTGCTTCCTGCGCCAAGACTGGCACTGCGAGCGTCTTCCTTCTTCGCCACTGATACTTTTGATCGATGAGAATCCAGTATTGGGGTAATGAGGAATTTAAGTACAGAAACTGACTCGCAAGAGCTCTGTGAAGTCTTTCAAAGCGGGGAACAGATGGCAACAGACTTGTCGAAACTGGGTAGCTGTGGATCTGAAACAGCTCTGCTTGATTATCCAGATATCGGTTGCAGTGTTAGGTGAGATACGCAGGACTGAGGCTGGCCGCAAAGTCAAGTACGATAGAAGTATACTTGTAACGTTCATTGATTCACATCATACTGACGCATACACGATCTATGAAATTGTTCTGAATATTGTCAGGTCTCCGTCAAGTGTGGAGTCACGATGGTTCTGCTCTAGAAACGACAAACGGTACGTACTCAAACCTGGCGTCAGATTGAACCTGGATGAGGATAGGCTTGGCAGCCTGAGCCGTCGCTTCCGATAACTCCTAAGATAGTTCTATTTGCGCAACGATCGACGAAGGTTCAAACATAGTCCAGAGGCATGGATGATAGCTCTTGTTTTTGCCCATACTATCACGGTCTACAAATATGAATTCAGAGAAAGATAGACTTTGTTCAGAAGTTTTTCATGACGTCATAAAAGTCAGCGGCTTATGCCCCGACCTTGACCTGAGACCAGCAGGGGTTCCGAGCATCTTTGCTTGAAATCCCTTTTTGAGGGTTCTAGATGTTGTCAAAACTTGTAATAAATTCAGAGGTGCTTCTTCAAGCTTTTCTGCTTCTCCTTTTCCTATTGTTACCCTGTCACCACTTGTAGATTGTGGGGAAGTTGCATTACAATATCAAGTAATCTCAAAGGGTTCTGCACATAGGCCCGCGCCTTGAGTATGACCCAGATTTACAAGAACTCAACAGCTCAAATTTGTCACTTCACTGAAGTAAAGTGGTGCTAAAGTGACACAAGTTTGTGGGCAAGGCTTGTAAGAATCCCTACTGAATTTATTGCAAACTTTTACAACATATAGAGCCCTCAAAAAAGGATTTCAAGCAAAATTGCTTGTAACTCCTGAGCTTCTTATAAGCCTCATGCACATACCACCCACTTCGGTAACCGGTGTGTGACGTGTGCGACCAACTGTGCACCACCAAAAAGCTGCACTGATTTTTGGTTGCATATGTGACCCAAAAAACAGATTCGGTAAACCAAAATGCAAAAGAAGGTGCATACGCATTTTTGCACATATGTGCAAAAATCGTGCGCATTCTTGAAAACGACTGAAAGTCAAATTTTTTTTTGACATATGCAACTGCGAGTCCTCTTCTGTCCTTTTTCTCTCTCCTTTTGACCCCTCACTACCTCTTTCTTGGGACTATGCCAAATTTCATCTCTCTTTACCAGCAACAAATCCAACATCTCATCACACGGAATTCATTTGCTTTTGAATTCGGATCATCAAAACTCTTCATTCTCAGTCTTGAGATACCTTTTCAATCTCTACAGCCTTCCTTTTGTTAATCTCAACAATTGATATCTGCATTTAAACTTAATATCTACCTCACTTTCTTCCAAATCACAAGTCATTATGTCATCTCGGATGGCATCTAAGCATTTCGGTTTTGGACTCAATTGTTACCTTTCAAGACATTTGTCTGCCACTATTAGATATTGTTTATCTGATTTGAATTTGTCACTTCAAAAGGTCCTTTGTTTGCAATTCATTTGATAAATTTCAATCAAAAAGTTTTTAAAGTTGAATTTGAATCAAATTGAAGATTTGCAAGAGACCTCTTTGGTTTCAAGGGTGGAAGTCAAGAAGCGAAAGATGTGGTGCTAGTGAGGAAAGAAATTGAGTGAGAGTCAAGATTGTAAGACTGGTTGATGTTGTTTACCAGATGGCATAAAACGTTTTCAACATTGATGGCGCTGAACTTTGATCACATTTTGCTTTCTTACCATGTTACCAAACGTGCTCAAATAGCAAAGTGTTGTGTGATTTTACACATACACACACAATGAGGAAATTTCTCACTGTGATGTAAAAGTTGCATATGCAAATTAGTGCAACTTTTTTTACCCACTATTTGCACCATTGTGCTTGAGCAAAGTGACACAGTCAGACTCAAGTTGTTGAGTTCTTGTAAATCTGGCTCTTATTCAATACAGGGCCTACACACGTGCCTGACCCATTCAAAATCACTTGATTTTGGAGTCCAATTTCCTTGTGATGCACAACTGTTGAAATGCTAAAGCTGGTACAGAGTGACACAAAAGACCTTGAACACGCTTTTCTCAACTTTTGGTGAGGTTTCATGATGTTTTGAGCCCTCATATTGAGGATTCAAGCCAATGCACTTGGAAATCTTGCTGCGCTCAAGCCAAACCTGGGGTTTTGTTCATAAACCCCTCTTCAAGAGCAGATGTGGCTGTGTTGGAAGAGGGGTTAGATGAGATTACTGTGAGCCTCTACATATCCTCTTTTGATTCTCAAATTCCTCATATCAGATCCCAGCCCCATAGCATGGCTGAATCTTATTTTGATTCCAAACAACTTTCCACATCCCCATTGCTCTCATCAGATACTCTGCAAAAAACATCAGCCACCAATCAAATCCTGTGTGGTTTACACTTGATTGATCTATTCACCAATTAGGGTATACAAATATGTTCTGGAAATTTCCATCCAAAATCTGCAGCTGTCTGGGTCAAGTGATCAACAGTGATCCCCCACCTTCAGCCAATCAAGCAGCTCTCACAAAAATCCAATTGTCACACTGTTGGCCTTTGACTTTCAAAACCTTGGCCCTTAAGATTTGAAGCAGGTTTTTAAATGTATTTTCATCTTGAGAAGGATTCATTGGTTTCAATTTGCACTTGTTTCTTAGTGCTCAAATGTCTCTCAAAAGGAAACAAGATCCTCAAGCGCACAAAATCAATTGATGCACAGTGTTGTTTTGTATCCTTTTTGAGATTTTTTCAGTCTCATTTGACTTGGTGTTAAGCTGCAAATATGTACCTTTTTGAATCAAAATGATTGTGGTTAATCTTGTTTTGCTTTTTTAAAACAATTGTTGTTGATCTCGTTTGATTTGTTAATTTCAGACAACTTTTCAAACTAATGAGATCATTGTTTCCAAAACAATCTCTTTGAAAACCATGTTAGTTCCTACTTGCAGGCTTTGCTCGTTTTAAATCCATTTCATGTTGACTGTCTTTGTGATTTTTCTGAAAACCAACTTCACAAAGAAGTTGAAAATTAATTGAACTCCTCAAAAATTTGATTTCAATTCTCTAATTGAGTCAAAAATCTTTTCTCAATGAAATTTGATTCAAATCTTCCAGAAATGTTCTATCTCAAATGTCTGATTGACTCGAGGATTCAAGGTGAGAGTAGTGAATTGTGATGTGATGAAGTAGCTGATGGTGATGTGAATTGGTGCTGAGGTGAGTGGGGATGAGGGCTGAGCTGATGGAGTTGGGTTGTGTTCATGGGGTTTCTGGCATTCTGGAAGTGTGGTGCATTCAAACTTGCCAAATGCCAGAACGCCAGAACACACCAAAAAAAAACTTCTGGTGTTCTGGAAACAACCTTCTGGAAATTTCCAGAACATATTTGTATACCCTAAATCTACTACTTGACAACCATCCCTCAAACTTTTTATTCACCTTCAACCAACAGTAATTGTCTTGATTTCACTTCCAATGTTTCTTAAATAAAAAAATTCAAACAGAACATTTGGGCTTGTTTAACTTTTGTTTGTTATATTTCAAAAAAGATTCAATGAACAAGAACTCACATGTTCTGATGTTATTCTGTTTAAATTAATGCAAAAGATAAAAACTTTGAAAGATATCAAAGCATAATTCAATTGGGATGGAGTAGAATGAATCAAACAAATTCTCAAGTTTTTTGTGTACATGAACCAATATTACCCAGGTCAATAGGTAGTATTTCAATCAATCAATCATTTCAAAGCTTGATTTAATTTGATTGTCCCCATTGAGATAATTTAAGGGAGACAAGATTGGTGAACTGTGGTGGAGGCAATTGGATTGAGATGAGATAGGCAAGATGAAGTCACAGGGGCAAAAATAGATGCTCACATAGGGGTGAGCATAGGAATCTTGGAGTTTTCTCCGTTTGTTCCAATTTCCTTCCAAATTATTTCCTTCTTATTTCTTGTTTCCTCCCTGCTTGTCATCTGATTGCATGATCAACAGGAGCTGAGCAGATGGACTAGGTCTTCTTCAGGCTTCATTCCCAAGAAAAGAAGCCTGAGGGTGGGCTGGCTCATCTGCTCAGCTGATCCTCAGTTGCATCCCTTGGAGCCTGCTCCTCTGGGGGAGGCCTGCGGTGGGTGTCTCTGTTGCTGTGGAAACCCCTCCTTTTTTCACACAACTATCCTTCACTACACACCCATGTCAACATGCTCACTTTCACCTTTCCCGCATCTCACACATGATAAGCACCCTGTGTAAAACAGCCACAATAATCACTTCATGAAGTCATCCATAAAAAAAGTGTGCTATAATTAGGCTCTACAGTGAATCTCACAAAGCTTGAAGAGAGTTTCAAGCCAAATAATTTGAATTTTGCAGGTAAACCTTGGTCAACCTTTTTGAAATCAACTGTACATATATCAGCTCCAATAATGCATGCCAAAATAAAGATGGATAACTTTGTAGTTTCTTTGACACCGACATTGCAATTTTACCACAGTCCGCAGAATTGACTGGCACCAAAAGAAGGTCATTGGGCTCCAGGGCATATTGTAAGAGGCAAGCTACTGAATTCAAATTTACTGCCAAAAAATATCTGGGCATGAAGACGGGCACATGCCCGGATTCTACTTTGTATCCCGTATTTGGTAAGCTGTTTCCTCTCATATCCCAACAATAGGACCCCGGAAAGCTCCAGGGGAACTATCCGACCTAGAACCACCAAGATTGACCTTACCAATACCCTGTGACGCAGTAAAACCCCAAAAATTGAGCGTAAACAATTCCGGTTTTGTTGGTAGGTTCAAAGAGCAAAAATCACCAAAAATCTCTCAGGAGAACAATCCATTCATTTTTGGTCGGTACGTACGTTCAAAAGAGCGTGTTTTTGGCCTTTTTTCCGGCCCAAGACAAAACCATTCCTCTCACGTCGGTCGGTCTGAATTCAAAAAACACAGTTTTGGCTCCAAAAAAACCCCAAAAACACCTTTTTTGTCGGTACGTCAGTGTTTTTTTCAACCCTCAATCCACTCCGTTTAGGTCGGATAGTTCCCCTGAAGCTTTCCGGGGTCATCCAACAATCCCATGTAAAGATTATTATGGATTGTGTTCTGGCACTTGAATACCTCCATCTGTCTAAGTAGTCTTGACCCACTCTGCTTCTTAGAATAATCTGCCGTGACTCCGGATACCTCCACCAAACTTAGAGTCTACTTACGTATCAGAACGCTTTTGCTCTTTGTTATAGTTAAGAGAACAGAAGAAAAAACCATTTGCTGGGTCATTCAAAATGATACATAAACGGTCAAACTCTAAACCTAATCAAGTCCAGACTTTGAGTGACACTGGCCATAAGGAAATAACAGCACAGTGCGAAATACGGGGTTCAAGTGGGAACACTTGCTGCACAAAAAGAAGATTATGCATTGAAGGCAAGAAAAATACCTGTGCGGAAGCTTTGTGATATGTGACATGCAGTTCAGCAATTTCACTTCATCGACATTATGGGTTGCGTGATTATGGGTATAGCAGGGGCTGCGGTTTAAGCATATGTAGCAGCTCAAGTTTTGCCGATTGAAATTATGTCCGCAGCAGCCCTCGTGATATCATCACTGTTAGGGTTATTCAATGTTAGGGTTGAAGTTTCACTTGCATGCGCAACCGCCAGTGCATTGCCACTGTATCGTCATAACACACCTCACGCTCGACACGGCCCCTGCTTCCAACGAAGTCAGCCCCAGTTGAGAACCTATCGCCTGACAGACGATAATTAACTTTCTTCGGATCATCAAAAATGGTCAATCTCCATCGCCTATCCTCATAAGCCCATGTATCATACTTCGTGCTGACATCCCTCCGCTTTTCCGACACCGCTTCCGGTTCATTGTTTCTTGGATCATCACGGCGCAGCCACCAAAAAAAGGAGTCAAGGTCGTCAAGGAGGAGGCCAACGTATCCCTCGGACCTCAAGTCCGTGAAGGAGAACTCGTCTTCGGCGTTGCTCACATCTTCGCGTCTTTCAACGACACCTTCGTCCATGTTACCGATCTTTCTGGTCGAGAAACTGTCTCTCGTGTGACTGGTGGAATGAAGGTCAAGGCCGATCGTGACGAAAGCTCCCCTTACGCTGCCATGTTGGCTGCACAGGACGTCGCCGCTCGTTGCAAAGAAGTCGGTATCACTGCCCTCCACATCAAACTCAGGGCCACTGGTGGTACTCACACCAAGACCCCCGGCCCCGGTGGTCAAGCTGCTCTCAGGGCTTTGGCTCGTGCTGGCATGAGGATTGGACGTATCGAGGATGTCACTCCTGTGCCTACCGATTGTACCCGCAGAAAAGGCGCGTCATTCCTACTGAGCTTTCTGTTTCTCCACTGGCGATTGCACCCTTCTCATCCCGGCTGACTTTGATCTTTCTGCAATGCTTCACCCTACTCTCGCGGCATTAGGTGGTCGTCGTGGTCGTCGTCTGTAAAGCTACTTCGTGTTTGGCTATACTTCCTCATCCGACTACCCAGCTTGTGTGCATTGTCCTTGTTGCCACGTAATTCATCATGTCGTCCTCACATGCATGCTTGATATCCAAACCCTCTCTGCTTTGCATTGTCCGCTGCTACTTGACGCCATCGATGAGAGCCATTAGGTTTGACTCAATTCCAAAGTGTCATTGAATGTAACTGGACGCACAAAGTCCTCCTTTCAGCTGTTTAAGGCGGGGATCGTGGCTCGACGTTTTAGCCTGACTCCCGTCGATACCACAAGCAGTCACCGCGACATGCTGGGCCCCATTTTGCCGTTAATTGGCCACAAATTGGTGACAAATCCATTACATTAGGTGTGAAAGTTCCTCTCGTGACTCGGCCTTATCATCCACGTCAACACAGTTGAGCTCCACTTTCCCACTTCTCAGAGCAGGTGTGGCCAGGTTTGAACCCCACGATTTGTTGGTATGTAACCCGGTGAACTCCGCCTGCGCCTACCAAAATCAACAATCGGGTTAATATGCTGCTGCATATCCATCCATCACCTCAAGTTTGGGCTTGAATCTGGGATTTTGGACTTGAATCTCCTACCAAACAAGCTTGACACACTCCACAATCTTCCGCTTCCCATTGTTTAATCTGAAAGATTTGCCTACCCCATGGGCCTAATCTCATACAATTTTAATCAGTGAGATTTGATAACAATGAGTGAGTGGACTTAGTGAAGCTTGAAGCTTTGGCCCAAAATCAATCATATGCTTTTTTGTGAGACAGCAGTTTTTCACAGCTCAATCAGGCCCCTGAATCAAACTTAGCTAGAGGGGTATTGTATCACAGGACAGCGAGTAGGACTTTAGATATGTAAGTTTTCCCCCGGATAGCTGCACTACAACCTACCAATGAAACTACAGCCAAAACAAAGTCATACCTACAAAGACGTCATTTGGGGGCAATTAAGACCTTTTCCTCCTTTTTCATCCTTGAAATCCACCTTTTTCTGCTAACATCACGAGGGGCTGTTTATGTGCATTTTGACCCGCAAATGGTATTCAATTTTGTCTGGGAACCTAAAGCAAAGATAAGCTAGCTGAGCAGCTACGAGCAGTACGAGGAGACCTAACAAAATGCTTTTGATTTATGTACAGTTGATAGCAGAAAGCTTGCCAGATCGGTCAAGTCCTCTGCCTCACACCTGATCCGTGCACTCGCTTATGAGAAGTTTAGATCCAACTTTTTTTATTTTTTTTGTAACTTTGTCCCATCACCGATATCTCCATGATGGAAGTATTGGCCAACAGCTCACCCCCACGGTGGAACTGGTGGACCCTCACCCTCATCGATTCTCCTTCCACTTCCCTCCCTTTCATTAGTCGATTTCGGATTTTTCTCATTTCCCATTTGCCAAATCCTCAGCATCTTTCCTAATGCCTCAAACTAATGATTTCCTTAATCACACATAAGTCATCTTATCATGCCTTCCACATCTATGTAATGTTGATCTTGAATCTTGAATCTTTTTCTTTTTTTGGCTTTGATTTTGATCTTTTCTTCTTTTTTGACCTTATAGATCAAACAGTGCCCCAACTCCCTGTTCAAACGGGCACTGTCACACGCCCAGTTCCGCTACACCAACGCCGATGCCACGGTCCCTGAGAAGAGATGTGAAAATGGTCATCCTGTTGGTCGGATTGATATTACAAGTTCTTCTTTCACCAATCTATTTTGTTATTGAACATCTTTGATACTTTGAAATGTCTTTGAAATGTTGTGTTGTCTGACTCAGACCGATAAATCAATGCAGAACAGGAGAATTGGCCAACTTTTGTTTAATCTGCCATACAAAACATCAAATTACTAATCTTCTTAATTCAGATTTGATTGAAAAAGTTTTTAGACCTGAACTTGTATTCTAATTGCTAGAGACAAAACATTGACAAAGAAATGATACAAACATTATTGAGATTTCTTTGAATAACTTGTCAGCATATAGTTGGAATCTTTTTAATACACAAAAGAAATTTTCAATCAAGTATTGTTGTATTTGCTTGAACAACTTTTGATATTCTAGTTGAGATTTTGTTGAACAAACTAAATATTGAATCCTCTGTTTCATCAAGATTTGATTGAAAAAGCAAGGAGATTATTATAGTCTCATTGAATATTTTTTGTCGATACAACAAAGGTAATGAAAAAACAATGATCTGAATGACAATCTGCTTGATTAACTAAAAGTCATTTTTGGGGTCAACTTATGTTGGATCATGAGTGACATGGATGGGGCTTTCTCAGTTTGTAGGCTCATAATTTTAAAACACATTGAACTTGCAATAATCAAAACAAAAACAAGAAGTATCGTCACAACCAAATATGAACTTCAAGAAGATATACTAGGATAAGCATCAGTCACTACAACTTGACAAGTCATAAACATGAACTATAAGTTATGATATTGTAAAGCAAAACCTATCATGAGGACACATATTTTGTAAAAAAAAGGAAACAATGGTCTGGTACCAGAGATAGCTCAATTACAAGATCTCCCCAAATCAGTCATAATCATCTCAACAGTGAGTATCATCTTTGCTTGTGACAGTGTCCGTTTGAACAGGGAGTTGGGGTACTGTTTGATCTATAAGGTCAAAAAAAAGATCAAAATCAAAGCCGAAAAAAGGAAAAGAAAAAGGATTCAAAATCAACATTACATAGATGTGATAGAAGGCATGATAAGATGACTTACGTGTGATTAAGGAAACCATTAGTTTGAGGCATTAGGAAAAATGTTGAGGATTTGGCAAATGGGAAATGAGAAAAATCCGAAATCGACTAATGAAAGGGAGGGAAGTGGAAGGAGAATCGATGAGGGTGAGGGTCCACCAGTTCCACCGTGGGGGTGAGCTGTTGGCCAATACTTCCATCATGGAGATATCGGTGATGGGACAAAGTTACAAAAAAAATAAAAAAAGTTGGATCTAAACTTCTCATAAGCGAGTGCACGGATCAGGTGTGAGGCAGAGGACTTGACCGATCTGGCAAGCTTTCTGCAATCGACTGTACCAAAAATGCAAGAATTGAACCATAACAAAGTAGCTGAGAAGCTAAGATCAATACAAGTTAGAAACTCCCCTCACTGTGTCCGGGTAGTGTTCGCTTGTTGACGAGCGCGCATGACTTCCCTTTCTGCCTGAAAGGGAGTTGGTATGCGCTCGTCAACTAGCAAAGCCTACACAGACACGGTGCCTTGTCCATCTTGCTCTTTTACATCTTTGGACAGCTAACTCAACTTTGAAAGCTTGGGAGGACCCTGATTGAAGGAAAACCAATCCAGAGACCTTCTTGGGTTTGATTTTCTGACCTTAAGAAGTAATAACAGATGATTATGTGACAGATATGAATAATGATACCCAGCCATATGCATGTTATTTTTGAAAAAATGATACAAAACAAAACCCTAGTCAGGTTTGGCCAGCATATACATAACTCTCTCACTAGTAACATAGCCAAGAACATAGCCAAGCTCTTTCCACCATAGGTTTCAGTGGAACTATCACTGGACGGAGAATTCTGTAGCAGGCTGCATAAAGGCACTGTCTGGACTTATGATCCTGATACTCCCAAACTCCCGCAGACTCAAATGATATCTCCGCCCAGCAAAAATTCCACACATCTCAAACTTAAAGCTTGTTAGCTTCCCTTCCGAGACACCGGTTTTCTCAGGGTTTTCTCATCAAGTTTAGCTCTACGAATTTGTATTTTTGATGTGATATGTACAATCGAATCACAAAAGCTTGTCACAAGATCCCCGCCAATTTGCTTGGATTTAGCCTGATTTAGAGGGCAAAGTTCTTCAAGCTTTTGTGATTTGACTGTACTGTAAACTTTGAAAAACTTGTCCAATTCTGAACAAATTTCCCCACAAAACTAGAGCAAATTGCTGCTGAAACTTTGGCAAGCTTTGTGCAATCGACAGCACTCAGATCAACACTCAAACCGGACCGCAGTGAAGTGGACTACGGTCCCTGCAGCGGTGTGGTACGGTTTAAATTCAAAACCGTACCGTAGTTGTAGAGAAGTCATGGGTATTCCTGACCCAGGCTGGACACTACGGTACGGTCAGCCCGTAGTGGGCCGTGCCGTAGTTACCGTAGCCGCCATAGGCTACAAGTACACAGCGGCTCAAATAACTAAAAAAAGGCCTGTGATGAATACTTACATAAAAATAGAAAGTAACAGTTTACAGCCATATTAAATGAGATAATGAAAAGAAAAAAGAATGAAAGAGAGAAAGATGGGTGAAATATCAACCTATCTACAGGAATAGAAAAATTGGACAGACACACGCCTACCATCCTTGGAGGCTGGCGTGATCATTACGGAGATTGTCTTTGACGATGAACTGCGAATCGATTACCACTTTCTTCATCACTCGCGTCTCTCTTGGAGCAAATGTGGCATCATCCAGGCAGTGCCATTGGTACAGCTGGTCATCGACAAAGGCTCTCAAGTATTGGGGCTAGGAGCTTGAATCCGCGAATTACAATCAGAAAGAACTAGAAGACAACTTGAAACTGAGTTTGCAATCGAACAAGAACATGAATTAGAAAGACAAAGAGCAGAAGCAGTTTACCTAGTTCAAAAAGCTAGACATGAACAACAAGAAAGAGAGATCTTAGAACATAATCAAATTGAACAAGAACGATATCGTGAAGAATCAATCAGATGGGAAAATGATAGAACAAGAGTTGAAGTAGAAAGAAAGAGATTAGAAAATGAACAATTAAGACAAGAAGTAGTGAGTAATATGCAATCAAGAGAACATGAACGTAGACTAAGACGTGAATTGAATTTAGCTGGTAAAGGCTATTTTTGAACATATGGGTTGAAGTGATAGCATCTTGATTGGGAATAATGTCGACAGATGCGCTGGTTTCTTACCATCTTGGGATTTGTATATGGGAGGCTGAGTAAATATCGGAGTGACCGTTGTCACTTTGAACTACGGTGATGTACACTCCGAATACGGTGAAGGCGGTACGGTACCAACCCCCATATTCCTGGGGGTTTACCCCACTACGGTACGGTCGACCGTACCGTAGTCTGTTGTACCGCAGCCTACGGTGTCTAGACCATACCGCACCGCACCGTCGGCCGTATTTCTCGGCGGTTTGGTTTGTGTGTTGCTCAGATGCAATTCACAAATTCACAAAACATGGGGTATTTGACGACAAAACAAAGATCATATTGAAGCTGATGAGAAACAAGAAACAGATCACTGTGGTGGATTGTGATCATTTGATTTGCAGATTAGTTCGGGATAAGATTTGATCAAGATTGATGGATAGATATACAGTCGTTTTCAAAAAGCTTGCCCAAGTTTGCCCACAAAACTCGAGCAATTTGGCAGTGAATTTGTGGCAAGCTTTTTGAACACGACTGTATTACAGAATGATTGCAAGGTAGGTAGGATAGACTTCTTTGAGTCTCTCAATCTTGGAGACCGAGAACGACCGGTGTTGAGAATGACTATGTATGCAAGGTGCACTCTTGTTTGCACCACCAAAGTTCACTTGTAACTCATGACCCCTGTCCGCAAGGAAAAAGGAAAGGGGTGCAGCCGGAGTCACCAATGTGGCAAGCATGAAGATATGTAAGGTTCTGGACCTCCTTCAGGTTCTGAAAATCTGTGAGCCACTTGAAGTGTTCAATTTACAAACTCGACATCACCAATACCGTATACCTCTGTATACGCCGTTTGAAATGGGGAGGTACATTTTTACACTGGGTGGTTTACACCCATGCTTTTGGTGTAAACCCGAGTAGGTGTAAAATTACAAATAACCCCGATGTATTTATAAATTTACACTGACTTGCATTTTTTTAGTCTGTGTAATTTATTGTGGTGTAAGTGAGACAGTGTAAAAGTTGTGAACCCGGCCGTAATATTTAATTTTACACCGGGTATTTTTGTTTCTTTTCCACCAACTAATACAGTGTAAATTATCACGGTGCAAAAATATAAATTATTTTACAGTGTAAGAATTTTACACCGTGGAGCCTTTACACCAAAAAGCACGATGTGAAGAACCCAGTGGAGAAATTGAAAATCAACCCCCCAGATTCGAATTTTACACCGTATGTTGTGGTTTTTTTACACTGACTACGGGGAAACCAAAAAGGACCCCACACAGCTCCACAACACAACCTTCGCACCCAATGACCATCTTTTAATTACAGCATTTATAACAATGAGGAAGGAAAAAAATAAGGAAAAACAGAAATAACCATAAAACAGAAAAGTGAAATGACCATCTCTAATCACAACAGAAGAGAAAGAAATAAAAGACACAAAAGCAGAAAGGAGACACAAACAATAAAATCAGAGATAAAATAAAATCAGCAATGACAGTAGAGAATCAATATAAAGAAGATAAATCAGGAGATAAAATGATATCAGAAAGGACTGTAGAGAAATAATTAAATCTAGAAATACAAAAGTAAGAAAGACTCAATCAAAAAAAAATAAAAAAAAAAATTGAAAAAAGGAAAGGACACATCAGTGTTTTTTACCACCTTTTTTTCTGATGGATTTTACAGGTTTAACATGTTCTTTGTCAACAATAGCCTTCTTTAAACGTTGAGTCCTTTGGACTGAATCAGAAGGAAATGTTGTCAGTAGGAAGACAAAGATATGATTTCAAGTAAGTGACTTACGTGGCTTCACATCATCCGTACTGGTAGGCCTTTCACCATCTTGGTTTCTTTCTGGTTCTTGTGCAGCCAGTTTGACCTTGATTTTGAAATGCTGAGGAGGAGGAGGAGGCTGAAAAACAGGGCTTGACATCAATTCTTCAATGATTGCTTTGTCTTTGAGTTCCTGATCTTTGAGTGATTCTTCCTTAAGTTGGTCAACTTCCTCTTCTGCTTCCACTTTCATTTCTACAAGATCTTTGTGATTGTGTTCTTCATTAGCGGCAGCTTTGGCAGAATCTTCATCTTTTGGCAGACCACCTCCTACAGGGAATCTGTCCGAGGGCATCAAGAATGGAATTAAATGACTTAGTTTCCTTGTAATGAGCTTTAGAGAGACCATTAATCCACAAAAGAAGGACTGGTACAAATTGTTCAAGTTTTTCGCAGTACATTGAAGTCGTCAGTAGGTAGCCATGATTAAAGAACCTGTAAGTAACATCGGATAAAAGGCCGCCTTCATAAGATTTGCCGTTGTCTTCAAGCACAAGAACCTCGGCCATCAAATTAGTCTGGAAAGAGAAATGAATGTCTTTGATATTGAAAGATGCGGACACTATGCACATTCCATTGCTGAAAATGGAAACATGGTAATGGAGAGAGAAACCTGGGATTATAATACAAATCAATAGAAAGGAAAAGGAAAAGAAAAATTGAATTTGACGTACATGGTCCAATAGATCAGTTGATGGATTCATCTATCACCACCGTCTGGGTACTGAGAATCAGTCATCAAGCCTTCTTGTACCAGGAAATACCGCTGAAGATAGCCTAAGTGGTCAATATGTCCAAAGGATGGATGTGTATCCACAACTGTTTGAATAGGAGCCTTTCCTACATGAGCATGTCCAACCTACGGTGGAATTAATGTCAGCACTTGGTCAATATACCAAAAAAGAAATACCATGTACCTTTAAACCCAAAGGACCAGTTGTTGGGTCATTGGTGATGATTTCTTTCAATTTTCCCTTTGATAGGGGATCTGCCTTTTTAGCATTGGGCCAAATATGCTTGTGTTTGCCTTGGTGTCGCAGTATACTCCATCCGGTGTTGTACTCTTTGTCAAATCAACATTTAGCATTACATTCAACATGTTCCTGGATGCCGTCACAGTCGTCAATGGAACACACAGTGCCTCTGTTTGAATATTAGAGTGGTGGTAAGTCTTTCATACAAAAAGAATGAAGTAATTAACAAAAAACTTACTGATTTAGAAGTTTTTCAATCATCTTGTACCCAGTCGGAGGTGAACCAGCAAATCAACAAGAAGAGTTTGAGCACTTCATCACTCCAAGACAGGTAAATCTCAATGTGTTCCAGTCTTTGTTGGAAGTATCCGTTTTCATTGTGTGTCCAAGCAACATAGCAACCATGTCTCCATTGGGGTAAATCGGGTAGTTTTGCTCGTCAACAACACAGCCATAGTCGATGAGAGTCTCAAATTGGTGTTTTTTGGAGGGAATCCAAAGGTGTGGGCGGTTAACAGCTTCGTGGCTATCAGGTTGTTGAGGATGAGAGCTAACAGGATTGTGTTCTGAAGTCAAATTGGATTTCATCTTCTTTTTTTTCTTACTTTTTTCTTTTGAAAGAGATGGTGGAGGTGACTCTGATGGCTCATCCGGGGACGGTTTATGCTTCCTCTTATTGCACTTTTTTGCCTTAGACTTTGCGGATTTAAGAGGTGAGTCAGGTTCATTCTCAATCAATAATTTTTCTTGATGTTCTCGATGTCGACGTTTCTTGACCTTCTTTTTTGTATCAGAAGGGGGTGAGGGATCATGATACAAGTTTTGTTCAAGATCTGAATCAGTCATTGTGACTAGATCGGATTCCAATCTTAAAGACTTGGTAGGTGAATTCGAGTAAGGTTGTGCTCTGATTTGTTGCGGTGTTCTTGGAATATAATCAAAAGGTTTTCTTGTAATAGTTTTGATTTGATAACTGGAAGGAGGATCTTTGCAATTATACGATGAATGAAATTGATCTGTTTGAGCATTGTCTGCTCCATTGCGTGATACATTTTGACCCATTCTGATCAATCAAACAAGGATGTGATAATGGCAAATAGGTAATTTGAAGATTTGATGTTATAATTAGGGTGTTCAAACCTGTGCAAGAAATGTGCAAGACCGACGTGCAAGATCCGTGCAAGATCCGTGCAAGATTTTTTGCACTAATCTTGCACAGTAATTTTTTTGACAACCCGAGTTATTGTGTTCCAAACCGTGCAAAAACCGTGCGAGACCGACTCTTGCAAGTTTTGTGCAAGATCCGTGCAAGTTCTATTCATATCTTGCACAGAACTTGCACAAAACTTTCATGAATTGATTTTGAGGTTTGAACACCCTAAATGTCAAATAGGAAATTTGAAAAAAGACAACAAGGGGAATGAGAAGAGGAATGGTAAAGGAGAAGGGACTGGTTTTACGTCAATGATGATAATGATAACCCTTCTTCCACTCTTGTGGGCAATGTTTAAGGATTCTTTGGTCATTTTAGGCTTTGATATCAGGTATTTATGTCTGATATCGGGTTGAATCATGGTTTGAAATGTTTGAAATCTTGAAGAATTGATATGTTTGTGGAAGTAATGCGTCAAACTGTCGGTGGAAACCATTGAGGTGTGAAATTATACATTACAAGGGTACTGTGGTACTTTTACCCCTTACAGTTTTCCACCCGGGAACCCGGTGTCAATGAACCCAGTGTAAAACTCTAACTAGGAGCCCTATCTGACAATTTTCCCCTCAATATTTTTACACTAAGGGTACTCAAAGTACTATGTGGCACCACATATCTGGCGTCACATACTTTTCAAATTTCATTTTTGACACGAAAATTACCATAACGAGTTGAAGAAAAAGACATATTGAATTATATTTGGCAAATTGTAATGTCAGCGTAGGTCATTTTGCCTGTCAAAAACAAAATTTGAAAGTATGTGGTGCCACATATGTAGCGCCACATACTTGCTTTGAGTACCCTTACTGTATAAGTTGGTGGAAAAAAACAAAAATACCCGGTGTAAAAATAAATATTACGGCCGGGTACACGACTTTTACACCGTCTCACTTAGAGCATCTCCAATGGCACCCTCTAAACGTAACATTTCTGACATACACATAAGGTGTATTTTACGTTTAGAGGGTTGGGTCAAAAAACAACCCTCCAGCGGTACCTAGTTTTCTCACATATGGCCACGTGTGTGATAATGTTTTTGAGGAATACCAGGTATCCCATGTCAACACCTCCATATGTTCAGGGACTTCGCCAAATTTCCAGATGATGGTATTTGTGACATATTGGAAATGATGATACCACATTTGTCCCATGATAACCAAATATAACATTGTCAAGAAGGTAAAATCTTGAAAGATCAATCAAACCACAATCAATCGTTTGTTCTTGTTGGCTCAGCTCTGGCGTTTGTGACGTTTTTGGTAGGGGCATGATCCTGGAAAGCTCTGAATGATTTGCGCGTTGGAGCAAACTTGTTTATTGAGGGTGAATACAGGCTGCTGTACGTTTTGAGTTGACACTGTCGCCTTTTACCGGTTCAGAACCGTTGGAGATGCTCTTACACCGCAATAAATTACACAGACTACAAAAAATAGCAAAAAATGTGACTCAGCGTAAAATCATAAATACACCGGGGTTATTTATAATTTTACACCGTTATTTATAATTTTACACCTAGTCAAGTTTCAAAATTATTTTTTTAATTTATTCAATCAACAACTAAAACAGACTAGAACTCCCAACTCGAGCCAAAAACATTCCTTAATGCATCAAATGTATCTGCCGCAGGCAAAGGAAAACCAATGGGAATTGTAAGCCATTCTGTGGTTCTGTGAGCAATAAATTCGGTACAGTTGAAAGTGGATTTGCTTGGTCTGTGTGCTTGGTAGCCTCTACCACCCCTCAACTCAACAAGAAGGGGTTCGTGGTGTACTCAACCCGGAAAAAAGGCAGCACCAACTAAGGGCTTTCAAGTTTGTTTTACGTCCTCATACGCTACACCAGGGGGTAACTTTTTGTCGGAATACGAGCGAGAAAGAGGTCGTGTCGAGATCTGGCCGAACGCTGGCTACAATCCCAGCGTTCGACCAGATTTTGGCTGGTGCCGCTATACCAGCTGATTTCTGGTCAAACGCTGGGATTTCGGCCAGAAATCAGCTGGTAAGCCGGCTGGTCGGTCTGGCAAGAGATCGACCAGCTTTTTGGCGAGCAGAAGACGGTAAGAGGGAGTGTCTTCAAGGAACGTGAAACCGGAGGCTGTGCAATTAAAGTTCCTTCATCACATTTGCCTCCATTGCCGTGGTTCTAGCCACCCCTTTTTTATTTTGACAACACGAGAGCTCCTAGAATCCATTCTTTGGTCTAGGAGCTCCTTGCCATGTTGTTCTATCTGAATCCCTCAACCCACATGGGGTGGATGGCATGGCTGAGGGAAGGAACAATCAGGTTTGCTGATCGGCTCCCTCATGATCGGCGGTGTACAAACTTTACTCGGAGACGGTCTTTAGGCCGCCATATGGCCCATCTAACGGAGGTCTGGCAATCTCGCCTTTTTCTCGCCGCGCCACTGACCATCTGGCGGCGGTTCTCCACTACCAAGCATTTCTCGCCTTCGGATGGTATTCCATGACCGCCATCCGATGGTACGAATTACCCCGTGGTGTACATACAACAACTTGACCGTGGTTGTAATATATGCGTATATTTGTTTTTTAAATCGCAAGACCTTTTTTACGAATTTTGATTTGACGACTGTTCCGATATTTTTCAAGATTGCAAAAATAAACAAATTTGAAACCCCTTAATAAATCGAAAAACTCTTGGACCGCTGTACAACGACCGTGCTTTGATTGCGCTGCAATTCAAATGTGTTCTAATGCTCTCTCAATTCGGAAAAAGAATTTAGAGGCTCTCACAACAGTCGCATACTGCTGTACTGCGCGGGCTCCATTTTGTCTTTTTGAATGGTGGCGACCTGTGGCGACGCCTTTGGAAGCGATCAAAAAGCTTTAAAAAGTCGTGCTCGAGACTCAAGCAACAGAAAACCTGGCTTACCTCTGGAACCCCCCAACGACCTTTTCATTTTACATACCCACTCCCAACACATTTGAGTCAGAGCTTTGTGTGTGAAGGCAATGCTCTCTATGGCTGGTCTTAGACCTTTTTCATCTGCTCATCCAAGGGTTGCGAGTCTCAATTTGTCTACTTCAATCTCCATCGTTCTTTCGAAGCATTGGCCCACCTCACCTCTTCAGCGACACTACCATTCTTCTGCCCCATCATGGTGGACAACGCTTGCACCCGAGCTTGCGTCTAGATCCCTCCTAAACGCAACAAGGCGCCGGCGTGTCGAATGTCCTTCTTCCTTAACAAACGGTTTTCATCGTAGACTGGGCCGAAACTCGTTTCCGACATCTTCGTCCCCAGAGTACGGCAAACGCATGTCACTCCAGCATACAAATGGTGGGACGGTTCCCTCTTCCCACGAGGGTGAGCCATGATCTGTAATATTGTATTGTGGTCAAGAGTTTTCTGACGGAACGTGATTCGCACATTTTAAATGGTCGCGCGCGCTTTGAAAATACTTGCCTCCCCTGAACACTTCTCAAGCTCTTGGCGACACCGGGCCCAAAACTTCATTAGCTCAACTGGATTCGGAACCCATTGATTTCAAAAATGAAAAGTGCCTCTGTGAGTACAATCCTATCAAGCTGAGACCAATGATGGAATGGGTTTTTCCCCGCGCTGTCTCAATTGCTCGATCCTCAGGCTCCATAACATTCACAGACATAGCCCATGATAATTGGGTTGAATATGCAATTAACCTCGCTAACCCCTAATTCTTTGGCCTGATTTTGATCTGGTTTTATTGCTACATCGATAGCCTTGTGGTCAGACATCAGACCGGTACTGGCTGTCTGCTCAATCCCCGAGCTTCACAATCATCCATCCTCCAAGGAAATAAGCCGGGAAAATAACATCCTCTCACAAGTAGCATCCAAGTTGCCGACCACCAAGTCAGAGGCCCTGGAGGTCCTTCGAGTGCCATCTAGTAGGACAATGAAAGAGAGTTACATAGCAATCGAGCTTCCATTCAAACAACAACCACACCTTGCTCAATTGTATCAAGGTGGGCATTTTCTTCGATTACTTAACCCTTCCTTACCCATGGTTGATCATGGTATGATTGCTCTTCATATAGGATGTGACGCTGTTATACGCATAGGCAAACTGCTGGAAGGTATGTATTTTTTGTTTGTCTTCTTTTCGCTCATCACTGATATGCAACTGTTTCGCTGCAATTCAATTACATCCTCCACAGATATCGACACTTTGGCTTGTATGATTGCGTGAGCCAAGTTGAAGCTTGGAAGCGGTCTTATCGGCTGAGAAGTCAGCTGCTTTACATATCGGAGCGCTCATGTGTTGTTCGTGGTTTCGAGGGGACTCAAACAGACACAAGCATTGCCTTCCTACCGGTGCTTCGCCCGACCACGCCCAAAAGATAGGCCTCATCTTGATCACAGCCGCCGTAGACCGGTAAGCAAGCCCTCAAACAATGATAACTCAATCTGTTCACGCCCGAGTTCCAAGATTGCTCACCTTGCTGCTCTGCCATATTTTTCTAGTATCGACATGATCCGCCCATTACATTCTGGCGAGGCAGAAGATCTCAAGCTTTCAGGTCAGACCTCTCACCTGTTTGATGTCATGCTCAAGCTTCCTCACTTCAACAGCTATATCTTTAACATAGCATTGACTAAGCCTCCAAAATCCGCGCTTCCATCACTGCTCGGAATGTAGGACATGTTTTACACACGACCACCTCTGCGCTCGAAATATTAGTAAAAGTGTCGGCTGTAGGAAGCGAAGAGAACAAAACCGTCATGATTGCTCGTGTGATTATGGTGGCCCGTGATATGGAAACAGGTGTCAAACGCACTATACCCAGTCTCCTTCCAGCTCTTGATGATCCATCGGAACAATCACTGGCGGGAGTTTTCTCCCACGTTCGAGCCAAAAGGCATGTTCCTCAACTTCCAGTCGAGAAGCCTCTCGATCTTGTTCACGACCGCTTTCGGCCCACCTCTAGTTCGTATGACCTCATTTCTCACCCACTGGTGAGCATGACAAGTAAGTATATACAGAACGCTAATCGCTTCGACGCCGTTGATCTGACTTCCCAATAGACTCCGTTTCCGATCTTCATATGAAAGCAGTCCGTTGCACCGAGACGCGTCTTTCAGACTCAGCTTGGTGCCACCCTCAGAAGCGGGTATGTTTTCAGACGCTTGATCCTTTTTACGAGTTCATTACTGATGTAATTCGATCTCTGATTATACTTTTATTATAAGAATTTATATGTGCGTATAAAGTTTAAACCTGTCTAAGATAATCAGGCCAGTGACATGACTTGCTCATGTTTCTTTCCATCCCCGTTTGATTCAGGGCGCAGTCTTTGGTGGCTGTAAGTATTAATTTGAATGAATTCTTTGAAAACGTCAGGCATCTTTGGACACTATGAGTATGTGACACTAATGTATATGGGTGCATCCACCTTCTCTTTCCATGGGAAAGACCTGATGAGACTTGCATACGAGGTTGGTTACCCATTGGTACTTCGTTTCATTCAAAGAAGCTCGCGATGCTTATCTTGTCATCCATACTTTGCTTACGTTTTTTGTAGAACGCGTTCTGTGCTGCTAGTCTTTTTGCTCAAAAGCCGGTTGAATTAGTATCCCTTGAGTAAGACGAATTTTTTTAGTCTCTATTCTAGATGGGGTATGTATGCCTAAATTAATCATATGTTACCTTTATAGCAACTTTGAATTCAAGAGCTCCGTTGAGGTTGGCGCCCTCCTTCAGCTAACATCTGAGATCACAAGAATCAACGACGATGAATTAGGATCTATTCAGGTTCCTCTCTTTCTTTGTTTGAATAGTCCGTCAACTATCAAGGATACTGATTGACTATCGCTTACCCTTAGGTATATGTGCAAATCAATTCGACAAACATGATGACAGGCAAAAGCAAAATTTCAAACAGAGCTTATCTTACTTTCAAACTCGTAAAGAGTGAGGAGGCAGTGGAAAAATTTGTGATTCCCCAGACCGATGGTGAGCGTGTTTTCATCGGTTCCTCATTTTGAGGTGCACTGTTGGTTCTTTGGCTAACTTTCAATTACTATGATCATCTATCCATCACTCAGATGAAGCCCAACGTAAGCCTTTATATTTTGGCTGTTTCTACAAACAATTTTTTTTTGATGTCTGATTTATTTTGTTTATAGGCTGGCTTGAAGGAGAGCGTCGAGCTTTGAGTAACATCGGGATGCGAAACCTGGTGCTACAAACTCCTTTGTTACTTTAACTTCATTCTATCTTTTCTTGCATCTTTTATGCATAGTATTTTGGTCATAAACCAAGTCAACTTCTCTACATGAATCGGTCAGCTAGTCCTCTCTGGTATTGAATTGATGGCATGGCTTTCACTTCATTTTTCCTATTTGTTTTGAATTATTTATACGGGTTGATCGGTATCCAACTCGTCATTGTAAGGTGTATGAGCTCTTTAATTTATGATGTAATGCCCGTAACAATTTCCAATTTGTGATCCATTGGAATCTTTGCTTCTTCTCAAGGCATATGAATCCAATGGACACATCATGATTGATGAACAAGTTAACTGTTCAATCATGCTGCACGACCACAGAGTAATGAAGAGTTTCCTTTTGTTATCAGAATTCCATTTGGCTGTTCCTGATAGCTTTAACCTACTTTATCTCCTCAGCATTGCCATGCAGCGTCGGTGAGTTCAACACTCGAATGATGTCCATTGTTCCGAGCTCACCCTTATTGTAATTTGCCGAGCGTGGTAAATTCACTCTGCTTCATGTGACTAGATCGGTGAACTTGACAAAATCCCCCCGAGGTCTTAGTCTTAGCTTTTCAAATGATCAAGAGTGATGATGTCACATTGATCACGATCTACCACGATCCATTCCTTGATGGATAGCTGTCATGAACAAAGTTGCAAGCTTAACTAAGTCCCTCTCCCGACGCGGCCACGAAAGTTGTTACTGCTCGACTATTTCTCTGCCGACGTCGCAACACGTCCTCTTCCTTTCCAGCAGGCGGAGATAAGGGTGACCACGTGGGCCTTTGGCAGGTAAGGCTCCAATTACATACTAGAGTCGAGTTCCCTTGAGTTACATATATCCTCAACAGCAAGCACAATTCAAAAGTTACTTTTCTTGACCGCGGGCACAGTACCTGCACGGATGAGCAGAGGTTCCGGAGCGCTTCTAAATCCATGCGCTCACATGATTTATAGGGGTTGGGCGAAATTTAGACCAACCGGTTTGCAAAACCCATTCAGTCGTAGTTCAATGATTTAAGAATGCTTTCGAGATGGCTAGAAAGCAATATTGAAGCCACCCTTAACCGACCAAAACTTTTATCGATCTTTTTGCTTTGCAAAAATACACACCAGTACGAAGCGTTTCTTGAGAACTCCAAAGCTTCACCCGTTCAAAAGGCTTACAGGGCAAAGCAATTTGCGCCGCTGGGCTCGTAGTACAAGCCATGCAAACACCCCTTTTGCACCTTTCACATATCCCCTAACCCATCTCTTCTGGCAAAAGCTTGCCTGGGTATCGCCTAAACACTCTTGGCTCTGGGCTCAGATCCGTAACAGATCTGTGAAACCCAGAATACTTGTCCTCCGCCATCTTCGACTCCTTTCGGGAGGCTTCTCAGAGGCGCAAAACCGGTTGGTCGAAATATCGCCCAACCCCTTATATTGACTGTGATAAGGATTCCTGATACATGAAGAAGATAGGATGAAACATATCAAAACAGTCGGGGTGTTGGAAATGAAATGAAACGCAGACTGTATATGATAATCAGTTTCAAAAGTGGCACACTCGAAGGCTGTTTCAAATCCATATCATTTCCACAAGTCTTTCTGCCTCATGATGATGATAAACTTTAAAAGGTGTGCTAGACAGTTTTACCGATAACGTCATAACTTATCTGTGAAGGAATAAGCTGATGTGGTGACGTATGAGCTCTTGTATCTGATGTTGATCGCAAGAGAGCATTATTAGCAAATTCTCAAATTTGCAACTTTCTTGATGATGAAGAACCACACATCCCTTATCACTTTGCCAATAACGGCAATCTTTTTCCTTTGTCAAATTTGTTTATCATCAAGTTTTTCATTTAGTCTGATCATTAACTTGTCTACATAGCCGATTATTCCCCAAGACACCCACTTCGCACATTTCTGCTTCTCAGCACAATTTTATTCTTCCTTTCGATTCAACTCATCATCAACAAGTACTTTTACTCCTCAATTGCTCTGAGTCTTGCTATATACCTTTGCAAACTTCATCTTTGTTTTTTCCCCTACAATGGCAAATCCTTACCGCATCCTCAACGTATCTCCCAACGCAACTCGCCAAGAGATCCGTGCAGCTTACATTGAACAGGTTCATAGCTCCACGTTTCGTCGTCTCAATCTTCTCCTCATGCTAACTCCGTTTTTTTCAACCCAGGCGTGTCAAAGTCATCCATCAAAGCAACAACCGAATCAACACCCAGCAATTCAACAATCTCGTTTTAGACAGGTAGCTGAAGCGTATACTCTTGTCGGAAACGGTTAGCCCGTTCACAAATTATATTATTCCTGGCCCTTCCATTTTCTCTACGAGCTCACTCTCTTCCTCTTTATCAGATTCGAACCGCCAAATCTCAGACATTGCATTTTCCCTCACAAACGAAATTTCAATTTCAACACCGACTCGTAATCGCAATCGAAGTGCATCTGAGGCCACTGGAAGAGATGGGATCTTCAACTCTCGACAAATTTGCGATGTACTCCCACCTGGTCTAAAATCAACTCTCATTGAGTTAGATCCTATCAAAGTCTTTAATAGGGCTCTAAAGGAGATGGAGGATGAGAGAAAACGGCATTCGGTTCAAAAGCTCACTCCACTCTCAATGGACCATCAGAAGTCTCCTTTTCGTAATTCGTCCTCTCCGGATCATCATCAATCTCATTCTTATCAATCTTTATCACCATCAGGATTACATCGCACTCCTTCCTATCTCAAGCTGGCTTCTCGAGATAATCATCAATCAACTTCCCATTATCAACAATCACCCCACGAACATCATCCATCCCAATCTTTTCACAAAACCTCATCACAAACTAACCATCAATCTCCACCTTACACAAAAGAACTACACCAAGCTTTAAGTTGTCAAAAACTATCCTCTGCGGAGCATTCGCATCATACTCCACAATCACTTTCATCCAACCCAACATCTCGGGAACGACCCACATCAATTCTTTCAGTTGCATCATCAAGCGCAGGTCGCATGAGTTCTAGAAGTAGCAATACATCTTCTAGAAGAAGAGTTTCCTTCACAGAAGAAACAATCAAGACAGATGAATTGAAAAAATTAAGAGAATGTTTGAAAAACGAATCTACATCGAATGCATCATTTTCTAACCCATCATTATATGATTCAGATCTAGATAATGGACATGAACGCAATTTATCATCTTCTTTACCAATCGACTGTTCTTTCTTATCTGATCGTATGTATCAAAGAAGAAAAGAAGAAAAATCAGAACCAGTAGAGAAAGAAGACTTTCCTTGGTCTAATTTAGATTTTGATGATCCTAGAATGATAGAAAGGAATCCTAATCATCATCGACAGAAGACCCCAAAAGAAGCTTCCCCTACCAGTTCAGATTTGAAAAAACGGCTCATAGCTAATGGGAGTAATACTCTTAATAATCATATTCATAAAGCACTGTCATCAACCGAAGATGAAATGCAATCATATTTAAATTCACTTGATCTGGACCGTGCTGAAGACCAAGAAAGGATACTCGAACGGTTTTATGAAGGTGGAATGAGCAGAAGAGACAACCTCCGAGATTTAACCGACGATGAACTATTAGAAATCTTGGATAAATTGAAGGAGCTACACACCAACAGGTGACATCCCTTCACGGGCTGTACCTATTCAATAACATGGGATGTATTTCATTCACTACTTTACACATATGCAAACTGTATCAATGAGATTTATCTCCTGGTTGGGATAAATATCTTTGGCATCAGAATCTGTTTATCCTACCGACTTCATTTATGTAAGGATTATGACAACGCCTCTTCTAAAGATTGGAGCACGAGAATAACAAACCTATTCGAGAGAATTATCTGCAGCGGGAACTGGATGATTCACTTCGCATCTTCTAGCTTAGTCCATTTCAATATACTATCAACTTTCATTTATCAATTAAAATTATTCTACAACTAATAATGATCGTACCAGAAGGAATCATAAAAAAATCTACAAAATCATTCTATCTGCCATATTTTGGTTTCGGCTCTCTTTCTCTCTTATCATCAAACAATTATTTACAAATAATTTTCCATTTTATGCTCTTGATTTATAAATTTGTTTTACCTTTTATTTTTCATTACTTTATCTGTCTGTCACTCAATTTGCATAGCCCTTCTATATAAAGCTTAATGAACCACTTTTTAGCATCATGTCAGGATCTAGAACTCAATATTATTTTTTCCATCACATGTTTTGAAAATCAATCATCTTTAACATTCATGACTTTATTGCTATGAAGGAACCTTACTGATATTTTATGTTTGGACCAAGGATTATGTAGATTCACAGCTTTTTTTGATTCCCCTTGGACATCACTTGCTTGCTATGCAGCCCATAATGCTTTAAGTATAGTCAAACATGGAGTGAAGGTCAACAAATTGTATGAAGGAGAACATAGACTTATTTTTTGACACATTGATGGAGTGGTGTACATGAATTCACTTCACTTGTGGCAAGCCTCATAGAAAAAGACCTTTGGAGCTATGTATCATGTTGAAACCAAGGCAAAAACAATCCACTGTCTAATCCTCTTTCCACCAACAGAAGCACCTTGTGGACTTAAGATGTCATCAGGTGTCACAGGAAGCCTGAGATGACGATTCAAGGTTTCTGCTACCCCATTACAATGCCTCTGGTCTTGGCCTCACTTCAACTTGAGGTGACCATTTGAGGACAGCTTGGATGATGCCCTAAAATTCCATTATGTTGGTGTTGCTCAAAAAGGCACAATGTAGGTCAAACAGCCGTTCCTTGTGAGTAACAGATACAAGAAAGGCACTGGAGTATTTGCCTTGCCGTAATACTTGGTGAGACCAACACACAAGCACAACAAAACACAACAAAATTGTCCAAAATCTTTGTTGTATTGCAGGTCCAATACCTGTCAAATGTGTTTTGCTGTATTGCTTGTGCAATGCCTTGAGGACCAGAAGACATTTTGTTGTGTTTGGCGGCAACACAACAAAAGAAAACAAAAATTCACATCATTGTGCTAATTGCCCCCAAAAATAACTTGATTTACTCAATTTCAACTCACTGGATGGTGTGGTGATGCCTACAGTCAAACATCTCCAAAAGGGTAAATAGGCAGGAAACATTGAAAAGATGCAATAGGATGTTTTGTTGTGTCAAATATCAGTACCAATATCTGTGACTGTGGTGAAATGCTTGATTTATTGTTTTCATTCCTTTGTGGAGTATCCAATGTCAATTTGTGGGTTGTGATTTTGTTTAGCCACGACTAAGTTGTGTCACAATTTGATCTCCTATATTGTACCTTGTGTGTTGGTAAGACTGTGGTACAGGCAAAGCCACTGGAACCAATCTTGGGTATGGAGGACAAGAGTCGCAAACTAGGAGCACCTCTTAACCCTTATGCATTATGTGTTATGTATGCACTATGCAACAGTGCTACCCACTGTGCACTGTGCACTGTACTCCCAGACACATCTGGAGGTAGCCGGATCTGTGATAAAGCAACAGCATCAATTGATCAACCTCCTAAATAAAAAATTCTATTCATGATCTCTCCAGAGACACATTATAAGATAAGCCAATAACACTGCAAATATAATGTATTTTTCCAAGGTGAAAAATGATTACATTTATTTCACAAAATGATTAAAAATGCATTAATTCTGCATTAATTCTGCATTTTTCTGCATTAATTCTGCATTATTAATCATTTTGTGCATTAATGTCAATCATTTTTCACCTTGGAAAAATACATTATTTTCACAGTGTAAGCCTTGTTGGGCAGCAAAATATTCATAGTGGTGTTACAATACAAGCTCAGTTGATCAACCTTTTGATGAATTTTAGATGAAGGATTGATTTATTGCTCAAATTTCAGTGTCTGGAACTAGAAACCCTGGTTTGCAGATGAAGGATTGATTGACTCACCACCTTCAAATTGAATTTTTCTGAAGGCTTGACTTGTTATATACACCTTTCCAACAGGTTGAATAAGTAACTACATTTGTGGTTGGGCAGAAAATCACGGCAAGGTCTCATCAGGTGTTTTATTGCCACTTACTTTGCACTGTAGGAGGTCATTTTCTATCATCATTTTGTATATAATGTCCCAAAAAGTGGTCTTTTATCTGTTTTCCCATTTATCAAATCTTGTTTCATATAAACTTCTTTACCTTTTCTTTACCTTTCCAACAGAACCTCCTTGTTGTCAAGATATCTTGTGTTGTGCAATTGTTTCATTGCTACTCCAAATAGAATCATCAAAGATATCATGTGTTATGTAATTGTCTCCTTTGTTGGTCTTTCTACAATGCAAACTCAAAACAAAGATCAAACCAGCTCCAATCAGGAATTTGAAAACAATCACAATCAGCCAACATATCCTCAAGATATTGAAGAGGAGACAATTTTTGAATGTGTTGCAGCCAGGATGCAAGGAACAAAGATTTGATCTCACTGTGATGGCATGGCTGTCCCTGGTTGTGAACCACTTGGACTCACTGTATCAAGAAGTATGGTAGTATTACTGCCTATATTAAATCTTCACCACAAGATAGATCAGTAGTTCAAGCACACTGAGCCAGAGTCAAGAAACAAGGCTATCATATGAAGGAACCCAAGACTCAGATCTTGTGAGATACTGGGATTTTAATTAACATGTATGATATGCATTCAATACCTGATCAATTATCTATCAGTTTGCAAAAAGACAATATTCGACAAGGGCTGAAAACCCCTGAATTGCAGCACAGTTCACTGTGCGCAATCTGTGGCTGCGCTGGTCACCAGTGCATTGAGATTGGCTGAAATTGACACTGTGCCATTGTGCACCACAACGGACAGCATTTCTGCCGCTGCGCACATTTGCACCACACCACAGCCCAGTCTTTGCTGTTGCAAGCTGCTTTTTACCTGCCAATTATGACCCCTGTGCTGCACTGCGCTTCTATGTGTACAGTGCAGGGGACTTCCCATTTTTGACTCACTGCACTACTTTTGCAGCATAGCACAGTACTCAAAGTCCAATTAGAAGTGCAGCACATTTTTTGTGCAAAATGTGCTGCATTGCGCTGAGGTCGGGGGTTGGGGCTGGTGGTTCTGGAATATCTCATTGAACAAATGCAATTTTTATTAACTGGTTCTCATTGTGACACTGGGTACAACCACATGAAGAATGCCTTGGCTGTAATACATAACATATGAGTCAACAGAGACACTGTTAGATCTTTGCTCCATCAAATTGATCCTGGGGGTAGAAGCACAGATGTTTTGGAATTGCAGTTTGTGGGTTCATTGAGGCTTGATCTTGCAAGGTTTTGGGTTTGTATGTTGGTGTCAACAAAAATGATCCACAAATAATTGGTCATCACTATCTTTATATTGTTGAAAGGTTTGGAGGTATTTCCAAAAATACATGAACATATCATGGAACTGAGACCATCAAGATGGCTGGGTTTGAGATGGAATCTGCTCAAATATATGGTGGTTTAACTCCTGAGGGAGCTGAGTCTACTTATCTCTATACAAGCTCTTCATGCAATCAGAATATCAAAAGTCTTTGGTCACTGGTACACAAAGCAATTGGTGTCAATATTCATAATGAGATAGACATGGGTATAAGGTGGGGAATTTACAATGCTAGTGTGATCCCCTACGGAAGTGAGTCAGTCAAGGGATTCTTACTTTTCTGTTTTGTTGATACTTATGTGATCCCTGCTCCTTTAGGATGCTTTTCCTGCATCTTTGGATCCTCATTGTGCAAAAACTCCCAGATGAGTATGCTGAAATTAAGAACACCACACACAATCCACTCACTCAAAGATAAGAACAAAAGACGTGATGGAGGGGAAAACATGAATGAGCAAAGGTTATGGGGTATGGAGACCTAGTTTGACAGTGTGGCATTGTAAACTTGCGGTCTAAGTGGAAACTAGACAAGTACCTTTCCAAACGCTGAGCATGTTTATGTTCTAAGACTTCCCTGGCCTCTGACATTCACTTTGCATCGATTCAGAACATCTTCAACCTTCTCCTTCACACCAATTTTGTTTAACCGCAAACGTTGTGGAAATCAGAATTGGGGTATATAAACCCCATTATTTTATTAACTTTCATTTTAAAATACGAGAAACTACATTTTTTAGAACATTACATCAATAATGTGTTTTTAAATTAGTTCTTTATTTAGTTCATTTCTTTTTTTTTTATTTTCTTTCTCTCTTTACTTAATTTCAATTTTCATTTTTCATTTTTTATTTTTTATCTTATTTAGTTTGATCATATATGTCAAGTTTTATTATGTGAAGTGTTATATTTTTATTTCTCTATTTTTCTTTTTATGGGTTATGTAGTTTGATGGATGAGGTGTAGTGTAAAATGAAGTCAAATTTCGAATTTATGGGTTTAGAGGTTATGTGTAGTTGAATGTTGTATGGGTTACATAGGGTGTACAGGCTTAAACTTGAAATTTCGAATTTTATGGGTTTAAAAAGTCATGGTTACAGATGTGTATGGTTTTAACAAGTTATGTGTAGAGGAATCATGGTTTTGAGGTATGGGTTTAAATAAGGCTGAATTTCGAAAATCCAGCAACTCAGACAGATGGTGGTAAACTGGGGTGGTGGTAAACTGGGGTGGTAAACTGAAAAAGCAAGTAGGGATCGGTGTGAAATTATAAATTCATCAGATTATCAAACACCAATATTGGCAAATACAAAATCACAAATGAAAAGGATGATTTTGAAACTCAAAAATGGCTTTCAAAATTCCATAAAAGGCTCCATTTTCAATCATGAGACTTTATTTCAAATGTACTACATCAGTTTTTTAGAGGGTAAATCATGTGGAAGGCATCATATGGGCGCATCTGAGCATGAAAAATCAATTATAAACCATATACAGCATTATCAGTGGTAATATCAGGTGGTAAACTGGGTAAATTCAATTTCGAGTATTTTCACATAAAATCGAATTTCATTTTAAGGGTACAACCAATAGAGTTAGAGTTTAGCTTGGCTGAGAAAAGTTGTAGAGCGGAAGCAGACCTTTTTTTCTGTCTATTCAGATTTTTGATACAGTCCCTATTTCTTATCTTTTTTCAGGTTTTAAGGGTAAATTTGATGATAAATGTGTGCTTGAAAATTTGTGAATGATACATGTGGGTGAGTTGAAGATGTTTATCAATTTTAATTTGGGGGTTGTTCAATGAATTGTGTGTGAAAAAGTTGTTTGAAGGTGGATTTCGAGTTTGAGGGTTGTTTTTGTCTTACTTTCTTTTTTTGTGTGTGTTTCAATTTTGATATAGTCAAGGGTCTCTTTTCTTTCCCTTTGGGAGCCTTTTAGTTAGCAAAAATAATTACTAGATTTTTAGAATAAGCTTTTATCTTTTATTATTATCATTCAGGTAAACAACTAATGAGAGTTGGAATTTTATAATAATAAGACCCTTATTCATCTTTTAATTAATTTCTTGTTGAGTTGTAAGCTCATTTGCTCATTTGGAAGGTGCCTGAGTGCGCCTAGATTGTGCTATTTTTGAAGTTATTGTCCTATTTCAGCCTGGTTCTTATTAATCCAAAGACTTGAAGGTCTTAAATTTAATTCATTGATAATCAAAGTCCCTGTTTAAGAAGGGCATTTCTTTCTTTGATTGAAGTCTTTCAATTCACCATCTCAAGACTTATTTCTCTTTTGATTGTGTGTGTTTGTTGATTTGTGTCTTCATTCCTCCCCTTCTTGGCTCTGCTTTCAGCTGTGTACTGAAAGAGTTCTACAACGTTCAATCAATTCAATTAACTCTGTCCTTGTCATCTTTGGGTTCATGTTGACGTAACCTTTGATTGCCTCTTTGCCTGGCAAGGAATAATGTGCGTGTGGATATGATTTATAGGGCTTGATGGATGTTGAAATGTAGCCAGATGGAGGAAGATAGGTGGAAGGAGGAGCCTGTGCAGAGAAGAAATATTGACGGATGTATTCGAGGCTTACGTCTTCTAGAGTACTGGGCCGCCAGGCTGGCCTGTTCCTTTGCTTCTTTATCAGATGTGTTCCACCCGTGAAAAAATCCGTATGTATCTTCTGATCCTATGTTAACATCAAGCTTAGCTGGGAAAGCCTCCAGAAACTCCCAAGGTATCAAGTATCTTACTTACACAACACGTAGCTGATAGTTTCAATTCCATCTCAAAACACTGTTCAATGTCAAGATTCCCTCCCTCTCGCAAGGCTAGCAGCGTAAGCTTAGAGCTACTTGGGCTACGTGCCAAAATTCTCTCTTTGGTTTCTTTTGCCCAGCGTTCTAGCCCTTTACCCCGGAATATATTTTGATCCATGACCTCTTGAAGTTGAGCGATTATCATCTCCACCGTGGCTTGCTTGAAGCAGTGATCGATAGCTTGTCTTTTTGAACCAACACAATCGTGCATTTTACGGGACGAATCTTCTATGAACGTATCGACTGAAAAATTGGTGAGTACACGATTAATGGCATCCAAGCTCCGACCCTCTCCCGTCATCGAGAGACGGTCTTGAAGGGAGGCTAGAGATGCTGATGAGATATAGTGTGACGCAAAGCCAGATTGACTGTGATCATGCGACCAAGAGCGGGATGTCAATAATATGATATGAGTTGTAATGAGTTGCGATATATTTACTAAGCTTGCCAGCCATGAACTTCGACGCCAGTAAGGCCAAAATACGCTCCTAGTTCGCCATCCATCCGAGGAAGGAAAAACGTAGCCCCCACCTCCGGGTAGAGTCCTATAGAGGTCTGGAAAAGAACCCACAGTTATTTTTTGGTCTGGGTTTGAATCTGATATGAACTCGGCCTGGTCTAGTACCTCACCTCGGGAAAGGCTATTCGAGTATTTTCCGTAGCAATGCGAAAGGGGATGTGAAGTGCCAATCCGAGTCCTGCGCCGACTACATGATGCATGCCCAAAGTCAATCAGATTCATGTCAAAGACCCTCATGTACACCTTAGTACATAAACAAACGTACATGTGATGCCGTCCATGAAGCAGACGACCGGTGTAGACATCTTTGCAAGAAAATTTTGCAACCGATATGACTGTTGAAAAATCTTGACGGTCAATGATGTTGTGTCGGGTACGTCGGAGGAGGCAGGCTGCATCAAAGCTAGTTATTTTGGTATGATTTACGAGGTGTTAAAGGAAAGTTGAGTGTGCCAATTGGTTCGATAGAAATCTTTTGGACTCACGAATCAAATCTCCTCCGGCACAGAATACTCCGCTACTTGATTTCAAAATCACCAGATCAACCTCTTCACTATTCTCCCAATCCTTTTTTGAGAAATCATGAATTCCAAGAGCCGTAGAAAGGTACATAGTGATAGCATCAGACAACTTACAACGAGACAAGAAGTCATAGAAACGAGCATCTGCGGAGTGAGTGCGTTCAAGACCTTTGGACGATTGAGGATCAAGACCCTCATGGTCCCTTCCGAATGTGTCTGAATAAATGACTATGAACAATGTCTCAGAAGTGATCAATCACACTCAAAAGAATTACAAATGCCAATAGTTTCAAGATCGGTCTACACACCAGGTCAGCTGAGCTGAGCTCGTCGATCTCATTGTTCGAGGTGTGGGGATGGGGCGAAGCAACATGCATCCCAATCATTTGCAAGCGTTGGCTGGTAACGCCTGACTTGGACGCCATAAGGGGATAATGAGAGCGAAAAATGAATCTGAAGAATACCAATGGGTGAGCTGCAAGTCAGATCACTGGACGATGTAGTAGCCTCTCGTTATAACAAGATCAGAGGGTCGAATGCCAAGTTGCCGCCTAAAGTCGACCGCTCACCGCCTGTGCCTTGCTAGAGGAGGATCGCGAAGCCGGGGTTGCGGCTTCTTAATTCTGTCAGGGGATGTCCTCCTCGCTTCACGCTTCGTCTCCGCATCCCCGCCTTGCTTGAAATTTCGGGGAGCACCAGGGTCCAGAGTGAGAGGATTGCCGAGAGCTGTATGGATGAATAGGCGTACAAGAGTTAATTAAGCCCATTAGTTCCAACCGTACGATGGACGAGAGAGGAGGGTGGAGGACAAACTCCGGAACAGCCCGAAACCCATTGAATTCGGCATCCATAATGAATAGCGAATAATGACTCTCGTCCTCCATATTAGATGTTCTCTCTGACTTGGGGGCTACACCACTTGAAATTTTCATGTGAATGTTTTATGATCCAATTATTTTCAAAACTTGATGAGACATGGACTGAATCTGAAAAATCTCAACATTTTTGTTTTCTAAGAATTGATTGGAGCAAGTGAGTTTGGACACAGACATCAAATCTTAATTTTCCACTCATATCAAAAGGACACCTTGAAGATGATAAAGACAAGCCTATAAGACCCCCACATCAGCCTTGGTGGACAAGTAGAGTTGCAGAAGCCTGTGAATATTGAAGTTTCAAAGCAATACATCATGATGCGCCGTGTCTTCTATAACTTCAACCAACAAGGCTTCGTCAATTCGTGCTGTGACAAAGGCATTTCGGACAATTCAGAGATTTTGAAGGTCTGCTTTATATGCAGGCCTTGTAAGATTGAACCTTGACTTGAATGTCCAGTACGCATACATAAAGACAAAGGGGAAGTTCCATGGCAGAGTAACATGGTCCAGTCAGGGCCCAGGGGTGATACTGGGCAGGGAGAAAGTTTCAAATTCCACAACCACATCTAGCCAGAAAGCGACAAGATCTCATGGCCGTTGTGTATGTGACTCGGGAAACCGGATGGCAAGTCTTGATGTAATTAGCTACTCAAAAGACATTGTGCTAGGGCCATGTGCAAGGTTGGAAAGCAGAATAGCATAGCATGCATAAAAGTGGGTGATATTGGCATGGTGAAGCACAAGAGAGCTCTTCATCATTACTACAACCATGTTAGATAGACAAGACACATAGTGATTATAAGATTTTAGGTTTCTAGTAACCTTCCTTTTCCTTTTGTTTTCGTTTCTGGTCACGCTCTTCAGCAATTGAAAGCTACACGAAACAAAAGGACGAGTCAGCTGGGAACCACAAAAATAAACAATCTGACTGATAAACTTACTTTGACACCACCACCTCGAGGAAGAGAGATTCCGGCCTTACCGTGGGTACCGATAACTTGAATGTTACCAATACGGGTGGAGAAGGCTCGGTCAAGAACATCACGTACGTGGACAATATCGTATCCTCCGACTGAGATAAGACAAAAAGTAAGTATGACATGTAGGTGGCCAAAAGAATGAACAAGCTAATTTACTGTGTTTCTCTCGATGTACAATAGTTCCAACACGACCTTGATTGCGTCCACCAGTGCACATGACTAAGCTTCCGGCCTCGAAGGGAATGTAATCAACAATCTTGTTGTTTTCCAAGTCAAATCGGATAGTGTCATTGACTTTGATGATTGGGTCAGGGTAACGGATAGTGCGTCCATCGTGGGTGACAAGGAATGGGACCCCCTTGGCGCCGAGCTGAACACGTTTAACCTTGCAAAGCTTGTAGGCGGCCTCTTCAGCACTGATTCGGTGGATGGTGAATCGACCTTTGACATCGTAAAGGACACGGAAGTTCTCTCCGGATTTCTCGATCGAGACAACGTCTGATATAAAAGGACAGCGGTTAGCTCGAGACGAGCGGAATGCGACTCTAGCGGTTGAGACGCAGGATGATGCCAACTAACCCATGAAACCAGTGGGGAATTTAGGGTCAGTTCGGACCTTGTTGTCGACCTTGATCAAACGTTGAGCAACAATCAAGGTGACTTCTCGACCAGTCAAAGCATATTTGAGTCGGTTACGGAGAAGGATCTGGGCAAGCAAAAGGGATAGCGATGTCAGGAAACGTCTCTAGTATTAAGCGCCGATGATGAGACAACCTACACTCAAAGGCAAACTCTCCCTGAGTTTGTGAGGACCGGGGTTCGATCGGGGAGCGTAAGTACCACCGAGCTTGTCCAACATCCATGACGAGGGAGCGGCCAGGCTAAAAGACAAGTCAAAACAAAGGCAGGTCAGAACTGGAAAAGATGCCAATAATCAAATAGAGAAAAAAGCTTACCGCTTCATGTGTTTCTTTTGACCTCGGACACCCTGCGAAGCAAGGAAGCAAAGGAGTCAGGCCAATGAGCTCCAATGCCATTTTTCCGTCCGATCACGAGTGGTCTTATCTGTCCACCGAGCATGGACGGAAAGGTATAGCAAAAGCAGATGTTAATGACGAAGAGTGAAGCCTACCATGTTGAATTATTTTTCAAGTCGAGATTGCCTTGAGGGTTCGTTCAGGGAATTGGGTCTTCGTTGATGGCAGCACCAACACGCGAGGGGCGCCAAAACGGCTAGCGATACCAAGACCCGACCGGGTATCTCATCATATTAGGTTAAAATCACCCAACACGACTGAGTAGCTCAAGCCCTAATGGCCAAGTCACGTGATGCCTCAAATTTGTCTGCCACAAACAATGTTCGTTCAGCACATCTGCCGAGTGCCGAAAGCCATGACCTCGCATTGACGTCTGTTCAGTTTGCGCTCTTGATCAGCTCGTCGTCTTTTTTCGCATCTCACCAATCTCAAAGTAATAACGATGCTAGAAATAACTTCAGACTGCCTCGCAGAATCTTCTATAGAGGTCCACCGGCTGAAGTTCTTCCTGAGAAATTCTATCCTATGAACTTATCTTGCAAGATGGAACATATAAGGAGAGCCGCCCCAGCGAATTGTACATGCTATCACAAGTTGATGCCTCAATATACGAGATGACTCAAATGCCTACTTGATTTATGAGGCAGTGTGCACCTCTGTGGCCCTGGTGCTCTGGGCATCGATCACCCAGTTGGGTTTCTTTCTTTCGCAAGCACTGGGTACCGTACACATTCATACCACACGGCTGATCAACAACCGCAAGGTATGCGCGACAATCAGTCGAAAACATCCCAGGCCGGGCTTACCAACCAAATCTTGATGCATCTTATGACATATCACTCAGTGCTTGCTTAATTAAAAAAATGTTATACAACCTGGACAGTGAATTGATAGCCAGCACACCTCAGCTCAGCTTTTCATACACCAGCCAGTAGATTTTTTACTACAACATAGTAACATACAAAATCAAATCTACAGTAAGATTCTGCTAAAAGTAAAGCCCAAAGAAAAGATCTAGATGATCATAATCAAACAACTTGCTCAAACAATAGTTGTACATTCCTTAATCAATTCTCAACCACTTGCTTCTCCAAGTCCTCCTTTTCCTTTTTAAACAATTCCCCAATCCCAGTAGCAGAAGAAGCAGAAGCAGGTGATCTAGCCACATACTCCCTCCTGATCCTCTTCATACCTAAAAAGGAACTCTCTGTCAGCCTTGATTTTATAAGAGAATAATAGAGAAGACTTGATTAACTGGTGATGATCTGAGCACTGTGGTTCACAAATAAATCATTGGTAAGTGCCTGTAGTAGCCAAACTTTCAATTCTGTCAACTACTCCTTCAATCTTCTTCATGACAAACTCCAATGGTCCTGCATTCTCTGGTTCTTCTTAAACCCTTTATTCACACACAAAAACCCATCAATTTCCTCAATCTCTGACACTTTAGCATGTCAATGGGGTACCAGAAGGAGATACTTAGCAAACCACTGAATTAATGTTGTTGTATGTCTTGAGATGAAGGTATAGTGCCAAACGCAAGCGCTTCAGCTGTTGACAAGTCAATAACTTTCCTCTTCTCCTTCCGCTAATGCTTGTAGATGCTTTCTGATATGCATCTTTTGTAATCAAGGATGCACATTCTGCGGGTTCTTGTTGTATACATTCAAGTCAATCTGCTATCATGTAGCATGAACACATGTTCAGAACCAATGCTTGTCAAACTTACAAAGTATTTTGGGGTTGTCACTGATGCCTTTCCAATATCTCTCAATCTAGCAACATCAACAGCAGTCTTGAGTATATTTTGCTCTGTAGAACCGCTGGGAGCCTGATTGCCAGGGAGTGGCTTCAATTCCATCAAATCCTGATTCTTGCTATGAGCTGCAATGTCAAAACTTTACCAATTCTCTAAAGCTGAATCAAACTCTTCATGGGTGACACTTTTCAGATTCTTGACATTGTGATTGGTCATAACTTGGTTTCCTGCAAGTTCTGCTTCATACCAAGTTGGTACAGTGTCCAATGCATTGATCTTGTGGTACATATGTGGACTGGTATATGTTGGCTTCAGAAAAATTGTCAGCTACTTAATTTTTCTACATCATCTGTACCAGTCTCTTAAGAATTCTGTATCTACAAACCTTGTCAAGCCTTTATATTTGATGTTTTTTTTGGTAAAATAGATTTGGAAGTTATACTGTTGCATCATTTTTTTGTGTGTTGAATTTTGCTACAACAGAGAGACAACTTCACTCATTTTGTCCCCGTTGTTGATATACCACCAAATCAACAAGAATGTCTTTACAGAATTTGCTAAGATACGGATCCAAAATCAAGAATGACAATCCAACACTTCAATGCCTTGATTCATAGAGCTGACTGAGAGGTGACATAGAAGAAGTAAGAAGATGAAACTTTCTAAATGCCAAAGTTAAAGAGACAGCATGTCAGACATCCTCTGAGTATTGTCCATTGACATGAATGATAGGAGCTTCAACGGATTTGCCAATATCAATGGCATAGAAAGACCCTTGCCCTTCAGTGGAAACCAGGTGGCAAAACAAAAGATACATATATTCATAACCAACCTGGCAACAATAAAATGCTCCAAGGCAATCAATTATCTTTGCTAAAGAACACTGTTTGGGTGAAGTATCCCTTCTACCCATGCCGATGATACCATCTACAGACCAAAGAGTATTCTTGTCTCCTAGTTCCTCAACCATTTTATCAGGCAGAGTTTTAGATATCTGAGTTGATGGAATTTCCTCATTGACATATCCAGACAATAAGTTAAAGCCGTATCAACAATGATCTAGGGCGGGAACTGGTGGTTGAGGTGTGAGACAGTGAGGGTTGAGAGTAGCTGAAAAATGGGCATGACACTAATGATCAAGGAAGATTCATTGAAACTTTTCTTTGTGTTATCTAGCTGGGTAGCTGATGAAGTTTCAATTTGACTGACTATGTAAGAATCCACCAAGGGCACAATTGAGGGTTGATAGGCTTGGTTGTAAAGTTGTTGAGGGTTAAAGGCAGGTAGTTCAAAAGTATTATGGTGTTGATAACCTGTTTGGGTTTGAGTTGTTGTTCCAGAAAGGTATTCATTAGTGAAGAAGTACTTGATATCAAAGTCAATAAGAAAGATGTTAGTCACCCCAAGCAGGCGGCAACTGAGCTTGAGTGGAATAGAACTCCAAACAATGAAGTGACCTTTGATGAGGTTGGAATATGGAGAAAGTTGAAGTTGCAATACCATCTTGAAGCAATAAATGGGTTGGAAACCAGAACACTATCCTGTGATTGGTCATGAATTAAAGGTCATCAGCCATGTGTGACATCATGCATTCTTGGAGTATAGCTCCGGTCAATCACCACCAAACAAACCATGAATCACAAGAATTCCACTGGATAAGTGCTGTGAACATATGTACATACCAGACACACAATGGATATCAGTCTCTTGAAGGTCAAAGCTCAAGAGCCATCAATTGACAAATGCAGTGTTACTCATTATCATTGTGGAGTTCATCTGCTCAATTGGAGATTTTTTTGTGTGAGCATACAACTTTCTGATAAAAGCAGAGGCATTTAAATGATCTTTTTCCTTCCATCATTTTCAAGGTGCAGAAATTCCCTCACAGATATGCACTCAGGAAAGATGATAATTGATCATTACAATGGCAGGGTTGGATTCATGATATATGGGTTTCTATCTTTTGGAGTCTCTCTCTCCAAGTCCCAATTGTAATACTACCCCATCAGAACAAATCAGAGCACAGGTGGATAACTGATTGAGAATCCTCCTCAGTTGTACTGATTGTGCCTCTGCGAGAAACATAGTTGTCTGCTTGTCTTTTGATCAGGTGATAGACCAGAAACAAAGAAAACATGCTTAAAGTTCTTGTTGTCTAGACCCACATCTCACAAGAAACCAATGATGTCTCTGTGCGCTGAGATGGACATCCTTCCCAATATTTAGTAGTGCAAGTGATGATTTTGATTCCTTGGATACCCTTGCTTTGGTGATGGGTCAAGTGCAGATGATAGTGTGAGAGGAGATAGACCAATGAGCCTTCTAAACATTGCAAAATGAACCTATCTGCCTCCTGATTGAGATTGCCAGCAGGGCGGAAATTATCCCAAAGAAGTCTTTTACTCCAAATTGGACCATGGCAAAGAAAAAAATTATTGAGGTGGATTTCTATTGTTTTGCGGAACCTCTACCTTCAGATTTGAAACTTCAGGATGTTCAAAGTGCTTGATCACCCTCAATCGGTGTTTGGGATCTTGAATTGGCTTCCTGGATCTCTTCCCTTCTTTGGACATGTATCATGCCAACTGCACACCATCATTCCTCATCCCGCCAACACTTGTTCCTCGTGGATCTTGTGCAGTTCACAACAGGCATCAAGAAGTGCATAGAGAGCTGAAAGAAAATAACCGCAATGTAAAACAAGAAACAATGTTCAAACCACAAACAGTAGGCCCTTCAGTACCAACCATTTACTTGGTTACTCATGTGCCACAACTCACTCTTCAATTATCCATCTTTGGAAAAGCTCTTATGCAGCAGCTGTCATTCTCACATCACTCAACAATTTCCCATAAGATCACAACACTCTTGCACCTTTGCCATCCTTAAGAAAACAAATGCACATCTCATCCATTACAATAGGGGGTTTCAAGTTAGCTTTTTTTTACATATTTTTACACTACAACAACTTGCCCATTGTTGTAAAATATGCGTAATTTTTTCAAAGCGAGACACCTTTTTAGGTGTCCCAAATTCAAAATACATCTGTTTTACAATTTTTTTTTGATGAACAGCTTGTCTGATTTTTTAAAAAATAGACAAAAAAATCCAAAAACCCCCAAATATTGCCCGACGGAGCCGAGGAATACAAAAACTCAAAGGGGATTACACCGTCATTTGTCCTTTGCATATAAGGTATCATTCTCTTCAAGCCCAGTCGTTTGAACCTGATGATAGATACCAAATTGTTTTCACAATTATGTTCAAGGGGCCCTTGCTGGTCATTGGATGTAACAGCTAGGTTCACTGAAGCTCAACAGGAGCGTGATCATCACACCAAGATGACTGATCGTCAGGTAGATGAGGGTCAGTATGCTACATTCCAAAAAGGAATCGAGTCTTGAGGCGCAAAGAAGCTATAGAGTAATTTTTGCACATATTTAAGGGCTATCTGATTCTTACTTGATGTTGACTTATCTCATGGCTGGAAACTTGACTAATGATGATTGAGATGTTTTGATCATTTTGTTAAGCGGCTGACGGTGATGATTGGGGCTCGGCCAACTTTTTGTCCACCACCAACCGTTCAAGTTCGCCAGACTTGTGCATTTCCATCATCGTGTCACATCCTCCCATGAATTCTCCATCTACATATACCTGTGGGATGGTAGGCCAATCACTATTGTAGTTATCAAATTATCATACAACAGGTGATCGAAAGATACGTTGGTCAGCTTTTGAGATTTTCAGGTCATTCCCTCTGGATGGTGATCAAGTGAGATGATGTAATCGAATGTTGAGAGTAAGAGCTTACCTGAATTCTTTGATGCCTTCACGAAGTTCCTGATCCTCTAAACAATTGTAAGTCTGAAGTTTTGCGGGAGAGACAGAGTGTAGGTCGAGTAGTTGGACAACAGCTCGAGAGAATCCACATTGAGGAAACGAAGGAGTTCCTTTCATGAAAACGACTACAGGTCGAGCGGCGATAGCTGAGGCAATCTTCGTACGTGCCGAATCGGAGAGATATCGTTGTTGTAGGCCAAGCGAGATTGACTGACCAGAAAGCAATCGTTTAGATACATCGAAGATTCGATTCCAGAGAATCCCTTCGACTCACATGAATAGACGGTCGCAGGGACTTTCCGAATGTGAAGAAGGTCATCCTGAATACGGTTATGATTTTTCAGAGTTCAACCGGCATGGCTTGGAGTGCATACATACGTACACCCCGTAGCCGAAGAGGCCCGAAGACTCGATCACTCCGACGGGGGATCCCCGAGTTCGAACTTTGCAGGGTCGGATTTTGCATCAAGTCTGGTGGTTTTTTTGGTGCTTTCATCATTCATGATTTCACAAGATATGTCTGATATAACATATCTCTTAGCTTAAAAAAGCCCTCTCTGCGCGGCCGCGTCCGCGCCCTCGCAGAGGGGCTTATGACTAGTCGTTGATTCCTGGCGTGAGGACTACAAGGATTAAGTCTTCTTAAGTAGTTTCTTTTGTTTATCCGCTTCCCTCACTGACAAACATCACTTTACCCCGCAATTAAAGTTGTTCATAATGATTTTTTACAGGTGAATCTCTTGCTATCAAGAGTGAAATACCACCCCATCATGCTGTTATTGAGGCAAGTTTTTGAGCCTTATGTCCCACTTGTAAAGGGGTGTACAGCATAAATTCACGCCGTACCTAATTTTTGAATTCAAAAAAGTGACAATACAGGTGTGTTGTAACATTTATCAAGCTACTTTTTTGAGCACACCATTCACACTGGGCATGATGCTAGGCTATGTGATCATGTAGAATTTTTATTAGAACAACTTTCTCTGCAGAGTTGGGTGAAGTTTGTTTGTGAGGGAAGTGTGAAATTCCAAAAAACCACTTAAGGACACTTAATCCTTGTAGTCCTCACGCCAAAATTCCATGATTAGTCATAAGCCCCTCTGCGAGGGCGCAGACTCGGCCACACAGAGAGGGCTTTGTCAAGCTAAACATATCTCATACTATCCTATACTACACACTAACTCTTTTAGTTTCCCTTATAACAGGTCTACCAAGCCATTACAACAGATTCTGTGAGTTAATCACCCAGTATTTAAAATGTCAAATGAAAATAGGAAAAATAAACAGGGAAAAGGAATAGAGTGTGATTGTGACTTATTAATTATCTAGATATGTCCCAAATGATTGAAGCTCTCAGTGGCTTTGATAAATTCTGCTAGATAAGAGCAAGTGTATCTAAGATTGTTAATGCTGAAGAAGGTTAAAAAAGCAATAAAACTCGGGAGGGCAGGGTGAATTGCCCTTGGGAGTTGGGCCTTGAGTCTTGACTCCTCAAGGCAGTCTTAAAATAGGCTTGCATCCATGCCAAATCTGTATGAGTACTATAGTGGGTTGTGTCAAGACTGTGGTAACCATAAGTTTTGGCACAAAATCTATGGCTGGCCACAAATCTAGATTTTTCAAGAAACTGAATAATTTCAAAAGACTTCTTTACAATCTCATTCTGAAAACAATTTCTCAGCCTGATCCATTCTCTCAGTTTCTTACTTTCTAGGTAAGAACTTTATAAGGAGGTTAAGTTTAACATCTTATCCGTCTTGTGATGAGGTCACTTAACCTCGCTTATTTTATATTTAATAACTTGTTTTCTACAAGTTTATATATGTTTATTCGACCTTGGCCTGTTATCACGGCTGAGGTCAAATCTTATTCGGGGGAGCCCGGGCAAGGGATCGGCAGGCTTTTGCGTCATGGTATAATAGCCGCTGACGTCAACCGATTCCTCGCCCAGCTGGGTGGGTGGGTGGATTTTTAAATTGAAAGATCAATCTTTCCACCTCTGAGAATGGGTCTTGATACTGAGTTTCTATTGAGTGGTGAGTAAAAGCGGAGGATTTGGAGTGTGTATTACCACTTCCAAATCTCTCTGTGAAAACTCTGTTTGTTGTTTTATGGGTTTTACTCTCATCTCAAAACTGTATCATGGAACTATGCCATTAAGTCGTCCCTTTGTTAAGGCTGACAATCAAAGACCTTTTTCTTCATATTTTCATATTTTCATTACAGACACATAAATTTCTCACTGGAGACTTTACAGAACAGACTTATGGGTTCCAACAACAGTGGCACAGCTAAGGTGAGTTAGCGCTTAGCGATGCATTAGCTTAGCAATTTTTTATTGCTAAGCTAACACTAAATCCTTAGCGCACTCAAGCTAAGCTAATCAATTTTTGATTTTTCCTTTAGCGGGTCTGCGCTAAGCTAAGCCGGAAGCTTAGCTATCAAAAAAAACATGTTTTAAGTGCAAAAAAGGGCCGCTAAGCCACTATTAGCAGTTTAGCGGCCAATTAATTGGCTCAGCGGGTGTCATTTTACACCACTAAGCTAATGGCTTAGCGTTAGTGGAAATCCACTAATATTAGTGTTAGCGGATTTTTCCTTAGCGGCTTCTAGCTAAGCTAAGCCAAGGTGGCAAAAATCCTTAGCTTAGCTTAGCTAGCCACCATTGGTTTCAAGGTGTGGTGTCACTGTTTGAAAGTGACCAATGTCTTGAAACAAACAACCATACTTACCAAGTTAATTCCAATTAAAATCCTTCAAGTAAATCCAAAAAAAAATATTCCAGAACAAAAAGAGCATTATATTTCTTCCCATTTCTTTTCAAGCATTTTGTGCCAACACTGAGCCCTCAATTGCAGTGACAATTTTTTGTCAATCAGACGGCACAAAAACCACAAAAAAGTTGCGCCTGGTAGCACCCCAAAGCTTGAAAATATGTAGGCGCGCGCCCTGTTTGTCAGCGGGTTTTCGTCAGTTTTGCAACCCATCTCCATCAGAAATGCCTAGAGAGGACTCTGAGGAGTGTTGCTTCATCATGATATTAAGATTTTGGTCCAACAGTCTACCTCACTCTGAGCTGTTGTCACTTTAAAGACTGAAAAGACATATGTAAGCAAGTCACTGTAAGAGTTTCATGTGTATACCTTTAGGGCACGTTCACTTAAGCAAATTCTGGTGAGAAATCACATTCTGCAAAATTTAAAATGTCTATTTGGTGGGGCATGTTACATTTTTGCATTAAAAAAAATTACAGAATGTGATTTCTGGTCAGAAATTCCTCAAGTGAACCCGCCCTTATAGAATCACAGTCAACTTCCTTTGATCATGATATCTCTTGCAATTTACCTTACAATCAATGACTCAAATTCTCTTATTGACAAGTATGTATTTTTTGGCACTGTAATACTGTGGCACTGTGATACTGGCCTCTGCTGGTGTACAATAGGGGGGCTCAAGTCAAAATATTTTACTACTTTTATCTCAAAGTTTTTTTCCCAATTGCATAAAATTTACTGAAAATTTTATGCAATTGGGAAAATTTATACAACATCCCAAATTTTTTTAAGCAGCAAATTTACACAAATTTGCGTAAATCTGCTGCTCAGAAGGAGATCCAAAAAAAATTTTCACAGTCCTTTTTTACAAATTGGGAAAAGTTTTTACAGCACAGTACTGTAAAAAACTTTCCCCAATTTTTTAAGAAAAGGCCGCAAAATTTTTGACTTGAGCCACCTTAATAGAAGTTTTTTTGCTGTTTTTCTACTTTTTTGGGAGCAAAGCGCGCCCTAGTGGCGCCTGCATCAGCTCAACTGAGATTCTTTGGGCCTGGGCGCGCCCGTTAGAAAAAGGACGCGCCCACAACATGAGTGCCACTGATGCCATGCCTAGACCCGAGGGTGCGCCTGTGAGCAATCTAGAGCGCCCGCGAGCTGACTTTGGGCCGACTCAAGACTCGGGTGGTGGGCGCGGCGCGTTTGGCGCGTCCAAGATATATTTCTCAAAACAGGGGGTGGCGCGCCCATACGCAAGACTTGGATGGTCTGAAGCATAGGAGGTCTTCTTGGGCCTAATCTTGGGCTAGAGGAAGCCTATGAAATTGTAATTCTGGTCCGTTTAACTTTCAAGGCAGAGAAAGCCCTACATATGAGCTCATCTGAGTTGGGAGACGCTTAAACTAGTTCTGGCACAAAAACTTTCAGTGATTCTTATCTTGAAAGTGTGGTCATACTGACTTGAAACAGCTTTTCTCACATCCCCATTTGTGTTTGAGCTTCATCACAGCCTTGATTGCTGTTTCTGTGAAGATTTTTTCATGGTTTTGATGGTTTTTTGCTTCAAAGGCGCGCCCACACGCCCCCTGCGATTTGGGCGCGTCCCAGACAATGGATTCTGCGCCTGGGCGCGCCCCTCTCTGCCAAATCCGCGCCCACCACCTGACTCAAGACTCCAAGAGACTTTAAGATGATTGATGAGCTTTGATGTCACAGGAAGACTAGATGTTGGTAATTCATTATTAACCGATGGGAATGTGATTCAATTCGGACTGTAAATACATGTAACGATACTGACGGGTCGGATCTCTATTTACCTTTTCTTTTGGAAACAACTATGATATCATAGTCTGTTTACCACATTCCGAATTAATCCCATCGTGTTTACCTCCGTTAAAGATCATCTTTATCTTTACGTTCTGATTCTTTATATTTTTTAACAAAAGTTTTTGTGGCCTATATAAAACTCCTGTTAAGCACTCTTACTGTGATCATTCATCTAAAAAACTCAAAAAACCACATCTCAGACTCGTTTCTAAAAAACCGTTCATATAAATCTTAATCTTTGCAAATGAGCGATGCCAGCTTCGATTATGAAGCTGCTAGAGTGGTCGCAGAGAAGTTGGCCACCCTCACAGCTGATTATCAAACAGCGGGTGGCTCTAACTCAAAAACAATGCACCAAGTTCGATCGTTATTCTCTTCAATCGTACCCTACTCGTCCAAAAACTGGTATAAACAGTGGTCGAAGTATGCTTCAGATCTCATTTCCCTGGATAAAGAGGCAAATAGACCTATATTCTCAAACAAAGGGCCTGTACCTACCAGACCCGTCCTTTCCAATGACGACCCAGTGTATGTTTTCAACCTGGACGATAACACGACTTTTCCAAATGATGCGCAATCCAAGCATCCAAGCCGCCAACCTTCTCCAGAAAGGAGTTTACAAGGTAGAGGGGGAGGAGTCCACATCCTTACTCAAGAGGAAATCAACAATGCCCAAAAGGCCAGAGATCTTTTGGATTCGCAAAATGGACCTCACCGTTCC